CTTAAGAAGACCGTGTCATGCGGAAATCTCTCGGACATATAAATTGGGTTAGGGCTGTGAATTTTGATTTGTGAAAAGAGGACCCTCTTAACTTGAACAAAATTGAATTTGCATTGAAATTAGACGAATGGTGTTTAAATGGCGGGCTTAGGGAAATGCTGTCTTTTTATACAGTTTACATGGAGAAAGAACAAATCGCTGGATCAAAAAACCGAACATGCCATGCGGAAATCTCTCGGACATATTGCTTGGGTTAGGGCTTTGAGTTTTATTTTGTGCAAAGAAGACCCTCTAAACTTGTACAAAATGGAATCCAGATTCAAATCAGACGAACGGTGTTTAGACTGTTGATTAAAGAAATTGTGTTTTTCCGGACTTTTATACAATTGATATACAGAATGAACAAATCGCGGTCGAAAGAGCGACACTTTTACTTGGACCTTTTGCTATTATTTTTCTTGCGGTAGAGCTTCGAGCCTTAGATTGCTGTGAAATTGATCATCTTAACTGATATAATCAACTATATAATTCTTTTTTTTTCTTATTTAAGTATGTATCGTTTATTTTGAAATAATTTACTGTGTATGACCTCGAATCATGTAAGAAAGCTCTCTAAAGTCCGTTCATTTGTAATACTTGACTAACTTTCATTTTTTAAAGGTATCGAAATATTGGAAGACCCCCACCCCCTAACTTGAAAAAAAATTGAATTTGCATTTAAATTAGACGAATGGCGTTTAAATGTCGGGCTTAGGGAAATGGTGTTTTATACAGTTTATATGGAGAAAGAACAAATCGCCGGAACAAAAACCGAACATGCCACGCGATAATCTCTCGGATATATTGCTTGGGTTAGGACTTTGGGCCATTTATTGTGCAAAGAAAACCCACGAAACTTGTACAAAATCAAATCCCTATTGGAATCAGACGAATGGTGTTTAAACGGTTGACTGAGGAAAATAGTGTTTTTTAATACAATTTATATAAAGAAAGAACAAATCGCCGTATCAAACAACGACAGTGCCATGCGGAATTCCCTTGGACATATTAATTGGGTTAGGGCTGTGACTTTTATTTTGTGCCAAGAAGACCCTCTAAACTTGAACAAAATTGAAATTTTTGGAATATATGGATAAAAAACAAATCTCTGGAACAAAAGCCGAACATGACATGCGGAGATCTCTCGGACATATTGCTTGGGTTAGGGCTTTGAGTTTTATATTGTGCAAAAAGACCCTCTAAACCTGTACAGAATGGAATCCACATTCAAATCAGACGAACGGTGTTTAGACTGTTGACTCAAGAAGATGGTGTTTTTTTCCGAACTTTTATACAATTGATATACAGAAAGAACAAATCGCGTCCAAAGAGCGACACTACTTTTACTTGGACCTCTTGCTATAATTTGCCTTGCAGTAAAGCTTCGAGCCTTATACTGCTGTGAAGTTAATCATCTAAACTGATATAATCAACTTGATAATTCCTATTCTTTTTTATTCAAGTACGTGGCGTTTATATTTAAATAATTTACTTTGTATGACCTCAAATCATTTAGAAAAGCACTCTTTAGTCTGTTCATTTGTCATACTAAACTTACTTTCATTTTTAAAACGGTATCGAAATAATGGAAGAGCCTCTAAACTTGAGCAAAATTGAATTTGCATTGAAATTAGACGATTGGTGTTTAAATGGTGGGCTTAGAAAAATGGTGTTTTTAAACAGTTTATATGGAGAAAGAACAAATCGCCGGAACAAAAACCGAACATGCCACGCGGAAATCTCTCGGATATAATGCTTGGGTTAGAACTTTGGGCCTTTAATTGTGCAAAGAAGACCCGAGGAACTTGTACAAAATCGAATCCCTATTGGAATCAGACGAATGGTGTTTAAACGGTTGACTGAGGAAAATAGTGTTTTTTAATACAATTTATATAGAGAAAGAACAAATCGCCGTATCAAAAATGACCATGCCACGCGGAAATCTACTATATTGATTGGGTTAGGGCTTTGGGCCTTATCATGTGTATAGGAGACCCTCCAAACTTGTACAAATTAAGTTCTTAACGTAACATAGTAATTTGGTTATTCATAAATTGTTCCATAAGCAATATTGCAATTAAAATTTACATTAATTTAGGTGATTTAAAATATTCATAAGAAGTTCTTTTATTCAATCCTCATTTATGGTGGCTGATTTGTGCCATTTGTGTTTTCCACCTGCGACCCCGCCAAGCGAAAAGTCGAGCATTGGCAAGTTTAAATGGCAAGAGCGAGGAGCGAAAATATGCCAATAAGTGGGGGCGTTGGGCGAAGTTTAATAAATAAACCTTCGTCCCACAGGGTCGTGGAGCGAGATTTAAGACATAAAGCGGCAGGGTGGCTAGCAAAAACACGCTAATTAGCGCCCCGCGACCCCGCAAAGTGAAAAGTAAAAAAAAATTATCAAGTTAAAATGACACGGGCGAGGAACGAAAACTTTTCTCTTCGCGCACCCGCCGTTTTATTTCTTAAATCATGCCTTGCGCCCCCGCGGTGGCGAAGTTTTATTTATTGAACTTTGCACTGTGTTCCTCTAATAAGCCTGTCTCCGCTCCGCGCCCCCGTCATTTTATCTCCTTAAATGTCGACTTTTTGTTTGGCGGGGTCGCAGAGCGACAACACGAATGGCACAAATCAACCACCATAAGCATCAAACATTATCATACTATCGTACTATTTTGATCTTTATAAATGATACTGTTAATGAAATCGAATCTTTCATAATCCTCTTTGCTGATGATACCAGTCTTCATGTTATAGTTGAATATCCTAACACAGCAGTCACACTTCTTCAGTCTGACATCCAAAAAATCTCATTTTGGACAAAAAGGTTGTTAGTCACCTTCAATCTTTCAAAATCGGAATACCTACTTTGAACCAGAAAGCGAAATCCTCAACATCATCCTTCTTTGCATATCCAACCAACAAATTCCAGAAGTTTCTGTACACAAACATTTAGGCATCATTCTTGCTTCTGACTACACATAGCACAAACATATTAATTACATAACTAGTTAAGCTTGGAAAAGAGTTAATATAATGCGTAAACTGAATTTTTCTCTCGTTCATAAATCTATGTAGCATTCATTAGACCTCATTTGAAATACGGTGATGTAATTTGGTCTAATTGTACCCATTACGAACTCAAACAGCTTGATAAGATTCAAAATGAATATGCACGCATTGCAACTGTTGCAAATAAGCTTATCTCACTAGCAACTCTGCAGAAAAAAAAATTGGGAATTGTTATCCGAAAGAAGATATAAACACAAACTAATTATGTTTAGTAGTCGAACAAAACACCAGATTATCTCTCATCATTATGACCAAATCCAGATCAATCCCGATACAGCTTACGAAACTCTGTAGATATTAGAGGAATTGCATCAATGACTACTCTGTACCACGGTTCTTTCTTGCCATCAGTTATTCGTGATTGGAACAACTTGCCTGTTATAATACGGAACAGCCCTACAATATCTTCATTTAAATCTTTCTTAAACAAGGACAGGAAATATACACCAAAATACTTTTATACAGGTAGTCGTAAACTGCAGGTCCGTCACACTCGGCTTTGAACGAACTGCAGCGCATAAAATCACCACCTGTTTTTTGAAAAACATTTCTCTTACCCCTTTGTGTAATTGTGGGCAAATTGAAACTACCCGACAATTCTTTTTTGAGTGCTGTGCATATGATGCCGTCCGCAGAAAACTCCTCCTTAACTTGCAAGACTTCAGCATAAACCTTCATAAGCTTCTCTATGGTGACCAATTTTTACATACTATGGCAACGTTATTATATTTACAAATGTAAAAAAAATATAGAAAAAACGAAAAGATTTATTTAGATTCATTCTTATTGAGACTATAATCCTCTCATCTTTCTTCTCTTTCCCACTATTTTGTTTTCTTCTTTTATATGATTTATATTCTTTCATTTTAGACATATACTTGCAGTAAATTTACATATACAAATATATATTTTTATGTGTATAAATTAATACTTATTCCCTTGTCTAGTATATCCTAACTATTTACTTATTTAAGACTATATAGTTCGCCAAAGGAGAAGAATTCTATAAGACTTGTTATGACATGATTTACGTACTGTGAATAAAAAATGACAAGCTAATCAATTCATGCAAAATTTGCAACATGTTTCTAAACAGTATTACACTTAATTACATAGATAGTTTGCTTGATGATCTAATTTGAATATCATATTTAGTGTTGTACATCCTTGTCTTGCAGATAGACTTTGCACATAACCATGACATTATTACAATGTGGCTCAAATGATTTAAATTATATTTAAAGGCACATTAAGCCTCATAAATAAATAAATAAATATTTCATTCTTATAGAAGCGGTAAACATGTGTTTTAAAGGTTGTATTAAAATATTCGCTTAACATCCACTTAGTGTGAAATAATAGTGTTACAAATGTAGGTAAATGTCGACAAAATGTTATTTTGACTTCCATACAATATACTAAATTACAATAGCTGTAACTAATTGCCAAAAAAGCAAATGAAGCAATATATGATTAAGGTATTTGGTCAAAGCACTGACAATAAAAAATAACCATTTTAAATAGAAAAAAGGGCATTTTTAGGTTAAAGCTAGTGATATGGAAAAATACACCACAAACAACAACAACAACAAAAATAACCCAATGAGCCCAAACAAACAAAATGCCATTAGAAAAACAAGCCTCCCCCTTCTCTCTCCGAGAAAAACAACAACAACAAATTTTACAAAGTACAACTTTTACATAAACGGAGAATAAACATGACTTGTACTTTTAAATCCCGACAAACTAATAAACATCATTAATGTAACCACAGTCATTTTCATACGCATTTCTTTTGAAAACTCAAACAATAAAAATAAATATTCTTTGAAAATAATATATGTTCGTAGTTATTCGAACATTAGGCCTTTTAATTGTCACGAAAATGCCCGTTTAAACGTTAAATATATTGAAACGTGGGTTTGACCTGCCTTTGAATTAATTTATCCAAGATAAAAATTACAGATAAGTTAATATTGACTTATTGTTACATAAAATAACTAGTTTGCCCATGGCTCATGGTGACTATTTATTAAAAAAAAGTAAATCACTTTCCATCGAGTGTTCAAAATGGATAACCGATTGCTTGTCACATTCATCATTCTTTGTAAGTAGCTAAACTTTAAAAGTTTTGTTTTAAACTATTTCAATTCTGGCTGCAATAAAAATAAATGATATCGTATTAATGAAGAAAAAAATCGTCAATTTCTTAATACTCGTATTCATTTGCAGACACATTTCATTGTTGTTTGTTTTTTGTTTTTGTTTGTTTGATTGTTTCTTTTTTCTGTTTTTTTTTTCTTGAAAGTATTATTGAATTACATCAATATGTCGACCGCCACGTACATGCTATTGTTGTTAAAAATGTTGCATATTACATTATCCCTCATGAACAAACTTAATCAAACCGAGTCTGCAATCTCAAAATAATTATAATTGTTTTTTTTATTGTTTCCACATTTCCAGACTTATAATCTCCAATTCGTGGCTATTTTGAACGGCATTTTGAGACTGTAAATGAAATGGGATCGGACCCCAAAGTGCCGTGTTACACCACTGTAACCTATTGCAGCAATAAGTTATTTTTATCTGGTAAATTATATATGACATACATGTTTATTATATAATTTATTAATGTTAACTTACAAGAACCACCTTGACGTAAATACTCGTACACTTTATAATTCGATGGTCAAATTCAGTCTGCGGTCTGCATTTTAACAATTAAAAAATTTTGTTGTTTCACATTGTGAGCGTTAAAATTGATACCGGCGATAGTCGAACGTAAAATTTGAATAATCTCTACGTATATTTAATGCGTGTTTTTTTTGTTTGTTTGATTGTTTTTTGTTGTTTGTTTGTTTGTTTTTTTTTGTTTTTTTTTTTTTTTTTTTTTAATTATTTCTTTATTTTTTGATATTTTATTATTATATTTTGAATTTCATTGCTATTTTTTGTTTTTATATTAATTATTAAATAACAGGACATGAAAGAAATGAAATTCGTCTTAAACAGGGTTGTTTTCACACATTTCACACTGACGAATAGTGCCTGTCTGTGTACAAAGCCTATATTCCTTAAAAAAACAATATAAAATGCATTTATGTAATAGTATAAATAAAAGGCGACAGTCAATAAAGATAGCAAAGTCAAGAACACTAATTGCCAATTATATCTTTACCAAACATGTTTTATATTAAACACCCCCTCCCCCACACCCCCCCCCCCCCTCCTCGGTAGTTTTACTTTTACCAGCTCCTGACTGAAATACTGACCGGGACAAAAGTGCCAGTCGCATTGATTTAACCTATTAGTAAAATATGTTTAAAAATGTTTAATCTTGTTATTCATAATTATATTAAAATTTAAAATTAGAAAAAAAATCTGTTTTTTTTTTTGTTTTATTGTTATGTAAAATCAATGTATCAAGCTCCTTGCATTAGAGGTCTCTCTCTTATGAGGCAGCTAGAAAGTAGCCAGATAATCTTTGAATTGTCATTGTGACTTAAGACCCAAACAGTTTGTGTCTGGATAAAGTGGCTTTTTGTTGTAAAAAACGACAATCTATTTCGCTATCTATACTTGCCCAATTATTGGCTGTTTCTCCTACCTAGAAGGAGTGGTTATATAATAAAACGTTTCAAAGTTTATTGGCAAATAAATGCAAAAAAAACTTTGACCACATACATACGTACGTACGTGCGTGCGTGTGTGCGAGCATGCGTGCCTGTCTGCCTGCCTGCCTACAATACAAAATCACAAGTAACTGAGTCATGTAAGAAGTGAACAAAACTTATAATTATAATAATTGTGATGTTAAATCTATACTTTTGGCGTATAATGTACATAAAGTATGAACTTATCAGAAGTTCTTATTAATTAACTATGTGAGGATATTTGTTTAGTTCAGTGTAAGATCGGGATATTTTTCATCGAGTGAGCACCAAAAGGTATATTTCACGAGTGGCGCAGTCACGAGTGTAATATGAACTTTTGGTGTTCTATTTCGATCTTACACTTGACTAAACAAATTTTCTTTTTATTATATTCAAATAAACGTTTAATAAGACATTTTAACCTGAAACAAAATGGAAAACTCGCCAAATAATAATAAAACGTGACGTCATTTACGACGTCACGTCATTAAGTTGGTTTCCAGTACTATGCACGCTGGTATTTCACTGAAACAACTTAACGGTCTTAAATACAAAACAGTGAAAATTATCAAATTGAAAATTTCACTGTTTCAAACAGTGAAATATCAGTTTTTTATTTCACTGATATATTTCTATAAACCACCTAAAAGCATGTAATGAAAAGATTTTACTACAAGAGGAATGTTTTGAATTGTTGTACAGAAGCAAAAAAAGGTTCGGGTAATTGGCCAACGAGTAACTGGAGGTTCAGATGGACCTAGTGTCAAATGAGCCCTGGTTAGATGCTGCGTACTTAAGTTCTTGACATATTTTCGATCTTGACATATTTTCGATCTTAACTAATTTTCGATCTGAACTTATTTTCGATCTGGACATATTTTCGATCTGGACTTATTTTCGATCTGGACTTCTTTTCGATCTTGACTTATTTTCGTTCTAGACCTAATTTCAAACTGGACCTTTTTTCGATCTGGACCTATTTTCGATATGGACCTATTTTCGATATTGACCTATTTTCGATCTGGACCTATTTTCGATCTGGACCTATTTTCGATTTTGACCTATTTTCGATCTGAACCTATTTTCGATCTTAACCTTTTTTCGATCTGAACTTATTTTCGATCTGGACCTATTTTCGTTCTTGTCATATTTTCGATCTGGACCTATTTTCTATCTTGACATATTTTTGATCTGGACCTATTTTCTATCTTGACATATTTTTGATCTGAACGTATTTTCGATCTGGACTTATTTTCGATCATTTTTTTTAGAATTATATGATAGCTTTTAAAGATTATGTGCAGTTTAATATCATTGCACTTGGAAATATAGCCGTCCTCCAAAATAAGCCACCTCCTGTCGTGGCTTTTTATCGAATTTTAGAGTTTAATGTTTTCATATAAATAGAGTAATTTTGTCTTATTTTCTTATGAAAATAAAAAAAAACTTTAATTCTCCATGACATTTAGAACGTGCATAAATTTTAAAAAAAATGACCTTCCTTTTTTACCTATGCTTATGTAGAAAACAATTTTTAGATGAAGAGCATGACCATTTTAAGCGTATACATACAAATAGTCTGTGGTTTAGAATAAATGGTCGGGACGGAATAACTAAAGGCGGTAAAACATCAAAGGCGAAACATGTACCTTATTAACCATGTTTGAGATAGTCATTTAAGATATTTCACATTGTTGTACTTTATATATCTAAATTTGTGGTCAGTTCACCTTTAAAGGTGTGGACATAAATTAACTGCAGGCAAATTGTTTATAAAAGCAATGACAACAAGATTAAATATTGTTAGGAATAAATAAAATAAACGCAAAACGTATCATACGGTTTAATAATAAGAAAATATACATACATATCAATTTTGAATGTACTGTAGACTAGCTGAAATGCGTAGGAATATAATCATGAAGGTCGATAGGCCTTAGTGGTTAATTACAAAACATTTGAACGATAAACCGTGCATTTTTATTTTTATACTTGAATGCAAGAAACATTAATATATATTTTTCCATTCTAATATGCACATGAAAAAGAGAATTGATAAAAATATGGTGAACTGCATTGAGTGTAGAGCGTAGAAGCAATTTTCCTCACATTATTTGGTTTATTGACGTCATATCAGACATCTATGGTGGCACAGAGGTGACATGTGTGCGATGTTTTTATTTTCGTGCGCGCGAGTTACTAATCGTAATGTCCTATTTTGGCCCCAAACCCATGTATTCGTTTGAGAAATGTTGCTAAAAAAGTGAGCACTTTCATATTTTTCGGCGCCGCCCCCATCCAAAAGATACATCAGGGGGTTGCCAGAAGGGGGATGTGCCCCCTTCTATTTTGGGGTTTAAAGGGTGATGGCAGTCCTCCTCACCGCCAAGAAAATTTTGGACTTGTGAGAGGCTAAAAATAACCCCAGGGCGATCATTAGGTAACTGTAACCAACGCTGAAAAGCCTTTGACTCTATCTCAATCCATTGAGAAGTTGCACCACTATGAAATCAATTTTGATGGGAAAAGTCAAGGCAAAATAGTGATTTTTGGCAATTTTGAGATGTCCCCTCGTTGCCATGGTACATGAAATTTATGACTGAGCATGTCGTTACAAAGGCAATGGTCCAGTCAACATTTGAGCCAAGTTTGATTAGTATTGAAGTATTTTTCATAGTTTCATAGCAGTTTGAACTTCTAACATTAAAACGGCCATTTTTCACAATATGCTCATGAGGGAAAGTGTTAAATAACAGGACATGACAGAAATGAAATTCGTCTTCAACCGGGTTGTATTCACACATTTCACACTGACGGATACTGCCTGTCTGTGTGCAAATCCTATATTCCTTTAAAACCATATAAAAAGCATTTATGTAATAATATAAAATCAGAAATGAAATGAAAGGCGACAGTCAATAAGAATAGCAAAGCCAAGATCATTAATCATCAATTATATCTTTACCTCTGTACCAAACATATATTCTTATGAAACGGCTGTTTTATATAAAAAAAAATCCCCTCACCCCTACCCCCCAAAAATAATAAAATCAAGTGGTCGGCATCATTACTTTACCAGCTCTTTACTGAAATACTGACCGGGGCAAAGGTGCCAGTCGCATTGATATTGCATAAAATATGTTTAAAAATGTTTAATCATGTTATTCGTAATTATAGTAAAATTTAAAATTAGAAAAAAAATCTGAATGTTTTTGTTTTATTTGTTAATGTAAAATCAATTTAACAAGTACCTGTGGACCTGAGGGGCATTGGAGGTCTCCCTCTTATGAGGAAGCTAGAAAGTAGCCAGAGAATCTTTGCAGCGTCATTGTGACTTAAGACCCAAACAGTTTGTGTCTGGATATACATGTATGTTGTGAATAAAGTGGCTTTTTGTTGTAAAATAAAGCGACAATCTATTTCGATATTTGTACTCGCACAATTCTTTGCTGTTTCTCCATACTACTATGGACATATTTTCGATCTGGCGTGGTTATATAATAACACGTTTCAAAGTTTATTGGCAAATTAATGCAAAAAACAAACGTACGTACGAACGTGCGTGCAAACGTGCCTGCCTGCCTACCTACCTAAATTACAAAATCACAAAAAGCTGAGTCATGTAAGAAGTGAACAAAAACTTATAATTATGATAATTGTGATGTTAAATCTATACTCTTGGCGTATAATGTACATAAAGTCAGAAGTTCTAATTAATTAACTATGAAAATGAAATACAAAGATTTTACTACAAGAGATAACAATACGGGAATGTTTTGAATTGATGTACAGAAGAAAAAACATGGTTCGGGTAATTGGCCAACGAGTAACTGGAAGCTCAGAAAGACCTAGTGTCAAATGAGCCCTGGTTAGATACTGCGTACAGACTTATTAAAGTTCTTGACATATTTTCGATCTTGACATTTTACGATCTGGACTTATATTCGATCTTGACATATTTTCGATTTGGACATATTGTCGACCAGAACATATTTTCGATCTGGACATATTTTCGATCTTGACATATTTTCGATCTGGGCTTATTTTCGATCTTGACATATTTTCGATCAGGACATATTTTCGATCAGGACATTTTTTCGATCAGGACATATTTTTGATCAGGACATATTTTCGATCAGTACATATTTTTGATCAGGACCTTTTTTCGATCAGGACATATTTTTGATCATGACATGTTTTCGATCAGGACATATTTTCGATCTGTACATATTTTCTATCTGGACATATTTTCGATCTGGACTTATTTTCGATCATTTTTGATAGCTTTTAAAGATTATGTGCAGTTAAATATCATTGCACTCGGAAATATACCGACCTTGAAAAGAAGCCTTTCTCAAAAATAAGCCAACTACTGTCGTTGCTTTTTATCGAATTTTAGTTTTTTATGTTTTCAATATAAATAGAGTAACTTTGTCTTATTTTTTATGAAAATAAAGAAGACTTTAATTCTCCATGACATTTAGAACGTTCATAAAATAGTTTGACCTTCCTTTTTTACCTATGCTTATGTAGAAAACAATTTTTAGATGAAGAGCATGACCATTTTAAGCGTATACATACAAATAGGCTGTGGTTTGGAATATATGGTCGGGACAGAATAACTAAAGGCGGTAAAACATCAAAGGCGAAACATGTACTTTATTAACCATGTTTGAGATAGCCATTAAGCTATTGCACATTGTTGTACTTTATATATATATAATTTTGTGGTCAGTTCACCTTTTAAGATATGGACATAAATTAACTGCAGGCAAATTGTTTTTAAAAACAATGACAACAAGATGAAACATTGTTAGGAATAAATAAAATTATAGCAAAATGTATCAAATTGTTTTATGATTAAAAAATAGATATCCATTTCGAGTGCATTGTTGTATTTAATTGGACCATTCTAGTTGAATTGCTTAGGAATATAATTACGAAGACCGATAGGCCTTTGTGGTTAATAAAAGCATTTGAACAGTTAACCGTGCATTATTATGCTATAATGCAAGAAAATTAATATCTATTTTTTTCTATTCTCACATTTTCATTAAAAAGAGAATTAATAAAAATGTTGTGAACTGCATTGACAAAAGAATTTTGTCTATGTTAAACATTTTATTATGTCATGCATTATTCACATTATACTTTTATTCATGTTTGTCACCTCATTGTGTCATGTTTGTATATGGAATGAGATTCTGACTTGACTTGACTTGACTAATAGCGTAGAGCCAAAACTAATGTCTGATTTATGGGCTTTGGATAGTGACCCCCTAATATAATTATAAAGACGTGTATCAAGTGAACACCTTCAGTAGTTAAAGATAAATGTTGCATGTAAAACTTTAACCAACAATTTTCTAAGTTTAAAAAATCATATCTAAAGTGCAATCTGATTGGTTAATTATCTCGTTCGCACGATTAAATTATCTCTGTTGCACCACATAGTATCTCGTGAGCACCACTCAATTAAGTTGTGCACACTATTTAGTAACTCATGTGCACCACTAAGTTCCTCGTGCGCACCACTGATTTATCTCGTGCACACGATTAACTAACTCGTGCACACGACTTAGTATCTCATGCGCACGTCTAATGTACTCGTGCCCACGACTCAATAACTTGTGCGCACGACATAGTATATCGTGCGCACGATGTAAATAAAAACACATGCATGTCACATATGTGCCACCGTAGACATCATATGACGTGTTTGCATTCCTTATACATCATGTAATGATTGCCGTATCTGTTTGATAAACGTGTAAGACTATGATTCTGTTTGGTCGATTTAATATCAAAACTAAGAATTGTTATAAAAATGTTAAAAATTGTATTTGTTTTGAAAAATATTCCGTGCTATTTTTAAATTCTTGACCAGAATTCAACTGAAAAGGCTTGCCTTAGAAATATAAAGCAAACCGCACGTGCCCGAAATAATGCACGATAGGACAACGCCTAAGTTTTGCTTGCCTTTACTGTGACGATGTAATTAAAAAATCTAACAAAACAAATACGCATAAAAACATTTTTATGATTGTCACGATTTATTAATCTAGATGATTTTGTTCGCTTCTTGTTTCATGCAAAAATCGGCTCATTTTTAATATGCGTCATAAAAAACTGTTAAGCATTTTAATTATATATTTTCAGATCATACCGGAAGTCTCTTAGCTCGTTCTGTAATAGAGCCAAGAAAGACGTCCAGTCAGATATCGAATTGGATAGTGTTTATTGGCATTAAAAATGACGCATGCGCAGGCGTACAGCTCAGCAACGAGTGGATTCTCACGCTTGGAGAATGTGTTAACTCAAAGTAAACTAATTTTTATCTGTATTGTGTTTCTCTCTGTTTCCTTATTTACTCACATGAAAGAATTTAAAGTCCATGTCGGGATTTGTACCCACAGCGGTAAGAGGCAACGGCCTTAACAACATGACCAAAAACTCTATTCATGGCTCTTTTATGTGCTCGTTTGTGCCTGAAGTAATGCATGGAAGGGCAAAGTCCTGTGGTCTTCCTCCTCTAGTAAAGCTGGAAAGTCACCTTATGACCTATACTGTGTTGATGCAACGTTTAACCTTACAAAAAACACAAACAAACGAATTGCAGAAATTATAATTCTTACTCAATAGAAATTGGTTTAAACTTTATTTCTGGTGCTAGGCTAGCACACACTCAAACAGTTTCGAAGCTAGTGCTTTCAGGATACCTTCTCTTTTCTTCTTATTCAAGGCTAGCTTACATTAAAACAGTCTCGCAGTTTACTACATAACTGCAATTAAGCCTATTTACTTACTAGTTGTTCAAGGCTAGCCTTTATTTAAACAATCAAGATAGTAATTATATTTACTAGTTCAAGGCTATCCTTCATTATAAGTCACGAAGTTTGTTTACTTAGTTACCACATTGAAGATACATGTAGTTCAATTCTTGTATACTACGTTCAAACAGTCACCGAGCTTTTCTTTACTTAATTACTGAATTGAAGATGCTGGCGTTCATTTAAACAGTCACGAAGCTTTTCTTGACTTAATTACTGAATTGAAGATGCTGGCGTTCATTTAAACAGTCACGAAGCTTTTCTTTACTTAATTACTGAATTGAAGATGCTGGCGTTCATTTAAACAGTCACGAAGCTTTTCTTTACTTAATTACTGAATTGAAGATGCTGGCGTTCATTTAAACAGTCACGGAGCTTTTCTTTACTTAATTACTGAATTGAAGATGCTGGCGTTCATTTTTAAACAGTCACGAAGCTTTTTCTTTACTTAATTACTGAATTGAAGATGCTATCCTTCATTATAAGTCACGAAGTTTGTTTACTTAGTTACCACATTGAAGATACATGTAGTTCAATTCTTGTATACTACGTTCAAACAGTCACCGAGCTTTTCTTTACTTAATTACTGAATTGAAGATGCTAGCGTTCATTCAAACAGTCACGTGAGAAAACATGATTATTATACTTACTTACTAGCTGAAGGCATATATTGTAACAGTGGCAAAACTAGCCTACGATAAAGCTAGTCTACATGTTAAATATGTCGAGGTCAGACATCCATATAGGTTTTCTAGAACTTTAATACAACCTGTTTACTTACAGCTATCAAAATTCGAAATGTGACAATTGTTAAACCGATAATGCATATTTGTGTGATTATTTAAAAATAAAATCTGCTTTCAATTTGAAACAAAGTAGATATGTCTAAATGAATATATCACTATGAAGGGTATGGATCTCTTTAAAAAAAAACTTTCCTCTGCTAAATATTTTCAGAAAGTTGTCAAAGTTAAAAGTTGCTTTTCCAAATGGAAAGAAGAGTAAAGTGCTTACCGAAGAGAGGGTAACTATTTTCATAGATATTTTACTTTGATCGTGGAGTATTTGTTTTTATGGGGTTTATATATTTTGTACAAATACCAGTTAAATGTGCTAAAAGTTTGAATGAAAATTTTCAAGTCCGACACCATTAAAGTTTCATCTACGTAAAAAAAATTATATTTCCTGATATATCTTGTATTATAGTACTGTACGTTTGTAACGTCGATTTTGATTGGATAATCGTATCGCTTACATCATCATTATACTGTAAATGGTTATTTTTTTTTTAATTTTTACTTATTAAAAGGAAATGTGCTGTATTACTAAATTGTTGTCAAGATTTAACATTTTTATTTCAATGGCTGCTTGTAATGTAATGCTCGTGGACAGACTCGTTCAAGTACAGAACAGAACATAACATATACTTTATTCATTTTAGGAATGAGCCAACATGACTCCTATTCTATACAAACATGTATGATATTAATCAAAAGGTCAAAATACATGAACTATACAATATCATTGTCCGTTGATATGTAATCTTACATAATTATAGTCTAGACGAGGTGAACTGTTATACATTTATACAAAATATACAAACAGCACAAGTCATATGGAATAGACTTTCAACTTTCATTAAGCGTTTTTGATCTTGTTTTAAGCGCATTTTCTATATAAATACACGAATCGTATATCACTGTCTTATCCCCGGAGCTCAATAATTCTATCATTTTAAACATATTAGGTTAAATATAATTCTTTCTCCGTATACATTTGTTCTTATGTCTTTATATTTTTCATAATTTAACACAAAGTGATATTCGACTTCAATGTTCTCGGCATTGCAATAGCGACATTTTCTCTCTCGCCTTTCCAGTCTATTATTGCCATAGCGGTTTTAGGTAATAGTTGCTAATAACCGTTGATATTGGGACCTATCTTCTCTCTTACCCTCGTTACGTGCACGTCGTAGGGACGGCATGGGGCATCGGGAGTTGATTTGGCTAACCAAGGCCGCGTTGACTGGTTAAGACCCGAGCGTCCTTTATGTACATATAGGGCAGGTCCTTGAGACTTAACTGCCTTTGTGTTTTCTTATTAAAGTATAAGATAGCTAAGATAACATAATAAATTCAATTTAGAACTGCCCTTACAATTTCCTAAGGGGATTCTACATTATGATTTTAAGTAACTTTAAGAAGAGATAAATACATGTATAATAATTATGAAAGAGACTAACAAATGCGCCTGAAGCGTTACGAACGAATGACCAGTTCAGACATGATTAGTTCTGACGTAACGTTAACGTTAACTATGACTTTTTATCAATGTACACGATTAAATTAAAAAATATTGTGTACAGTATATTGATTTCATTTTTTTAACAAGCTTTGGAATATTGCATGATCTTGTATATATTTGATTTAAGTGACCCTGGTTAAAGTAACCTTCAACTGTTTAGGTTATATGACCCGGTTTTTAAAAACGGTTGTAATCTTATATGAACAAAATGCATGTCGCGGGTTATATAGCATACACTGCGAACTTACCATTTAAAGGTCTAAAAAAAACTGTAAATTTATTTTTTTAGGTGGACTTATAAAAATGAAAATCAATCAGTCAATAAATTTGCATCAGTTTTGCAAAGTAATGCGATTTTTATCAAAAACCCTTGCTGCCTGTGCGACTCCTTAAAACGGTATCGAATGGCCGGGCATATATTTTGACGTGACGTCATATGCGGAATACAAACATAACGTAATAATGAACGTTAAACCTCGCTTGATACTAGCGTGCAATATAAGCGAGTCAATGAAAAATGTGTGGATATTGTTATTGTTATGTGATAAATAAAGTATTTTATTCGTGTAGGTTTATTACTAAATTTGTTAAACTGGTAGAATGAAAAAATATTATTCAAACTCGTTGGGGGGGGGGGGGGGGGGGGGGCAGTGGTATTCTTTTAAAGAGCTGTACATAAATTAACTTAACTTGTACATTTAGATAAAAACAAAACGATAACACGAGACACTATAAGAAGTGTTTTCATGTGCTTTTCGAAAAATTAAAAAAGTCAGATTTCTTTTGTGTAGTATGAATTTTCATTGTGTAATATCAAACTAGCGAGAAATTGACATTCGGTCCTCTGGTTATTTCATATAATTAATGGTTCTATTATTTAATAAAACTGAATTTTCCCTACAAATTTGTTTCTATCTTTTCATTAAAAACAAGTATTTTTTTTATTTTAAAAGAGTCCGGTGGGTGACGATTTATTGGTACTTCTGAAAGTGGAGGCCGACAAAGGTGTCACGGACAAGTTCACAGACTTGGCTTCAAGCTCAGTTCCGAAAAATTATGTATTTGAATTGTACAACTTTAATGCAAAAGGTAAGGCAAAATTCATCTCTTTTGTTGTATTTTATATATTGTTTCATTTAGTTTTCTGTTTAACTGACTCCAGTGCAGATGTTTTCATTTGTGCCATCTTTTTTCTTTAAATTGTTAATTTAGTATACTCCAGCGAAAATTGTTATCAAGGGTTTGAGGGGTTAAAGCTATAACATTATAGAAAGGATTCTAAATACTAGTAAAAACGGTGTCAAAGTACCCTCATATTAAAAGCAATTAGAAACATCAAGCATGATATTGGTGAAATTTTGAATTTATACGACAAGGAAGAAGATCGATAAGAAGGAACTAAAAATACAGAACAAAACCAACAAAAAATGTCTTGTTGAACGATACTCAAAATTCGGAATTAGAACATTTATCGTGCGGAGTGACTTTTTGTTGTCCGAAATGGTTCATACAATGCTGATATGACAGTACCGGTCTTTAGTCTGTGCATCTTTTGAAAATTTCCCAAAAAATAATAAATGCCTCTGTTTGTCCTGATTGAAAAATGGTCAAGTCTATTTTTAGATACCCGTATTAAGCGTTGTAAGGGTTAAAAACTCTAAATTTCCATCATTTCTATCAAAATTAGCAGAAATCTGGCGGCAAGGTGTTTTTTTAGTTTTTTAGTATTATAGTATATTTTCTAAATAGATATCTGTTTTTCTAAATGGTAAAATGTTTGCATTTTAGGCGCTATTTCCGGATATGACGTCAAGTTTGTGCAATCAAAAGTGTGTACAAAGGATGACCGTCTAGGCAGCACATTCAAAAAGAAACAACACACATGTATGAAAGCTGATGTCAATCGAAAAAATTTATGCGTTGTAAGTTGAACATTTTTTTATTAAAAAAAAAGGGGTGACAACGTAAGATTAGTATATGCAGAATTATTTTAGTTCAATTGTGTAGGGTGCTATAGGCTTGTAGACACACCATTTGGGTTCATTCATGGAAGTAACGAGTACTGATCAATGAGTGTTAAGGTTCTTGCTCAGGAAAACATCGGCTTGGCCTTGACGGATTTGAACCTACGCGGCCAGTAATCCTTACATTTCTAGTGCGACGCGTTACTCACTCTCCGATGCCTCTACTAAATAATGACATTAGTGGTTAGCCAAACCTAAAACAGGTATCTTGTATGCTGGAAACGTGTCATCATAACTATTACAATACAAAAGGATGAATTATGTCATAAAGAGAAACAAAATTATGTAACTATGCAAAAAAAATATAAACCAGATATAAATGCATTTGCACTAAACTTTTCAGTAAATACACGATTACTTCCCATGATAACGCGAACAATTTAGACGTTAGAATAACAAGAAGTAATTGTCCTGTTAATTAAAATAAAACCACCCTCCCAAATAAAAAGAAAGAACACCGGAAAATAATAAATAAAGATAAAAATAATAATTATAAAAATAGTGATTACATGTTATTTTTCTTGCATGTCAGACTGGTGTTTCCGTTAGTTTTACCCATGCCAGTAATTTGATCTGACATATGAGTGCCAGATGAGTCGCGTGCTGTACAATGGCAGAAGTTGTTATTTCATACGCTGTTGTAAGGAGGTGGTGTAATAACGGGCGAAATAACATAAATTTCTATGGAAAATTTTACTGTTAAGGTAAAGAGTTCAAAATATGATGGAATATGGAAGACTGTGCAAGACAAAATATCCGACATATGTTTACGGTTCGGATCGGAATATCCGTCCCTCGGAAACCACGAAAAGTCTCGTTACCGGCCAATTGACTGGTCCCTTCTGGACGAATATTTGAATCTGTACCGCAACATATGATATACATGTATATTATTAATGAAAAACTTATTTCCACAGCCGGGGTTTCCTGTATTTGGCACTAAGAAGAAAAGTACAATTTTACAAGGTCTTTCTACAACGGGCGACAAGTTTTGTGATTCGGAAGTTCAGTCAACAGTTACTATCAGCAAGCACAAAGACTGGATAGAAAGTGTCATTTACGGTATATTTACTTATTACTTATTACACAGCATAGATTCACGATTTAAAAGCCAAGTCAATCGGCAATTTACGTATGCTTACGTTTAACAATAAAGTATTTACCTCATATGGTGCTTCGTATAGGTTCTCTCCCAAGATTAAAGGTAAAAAAAGTTATAATTTAATGAATATTTAGGTTTTAGTCACATTTGATAAACATTACAATTGCTTCAAATTTGAAGATTTCTGTTGCTTTAAGTTGTTACAAAGTTTACCTATGTGATCATCCAAGCATATGGTAAATCTTAAAGGATCTCCTCTTAGGACCATAAGTCTAAAAACATAAAATTTGAAATTCATGAATAGATCAAGCGATGGCCGTTTTGAGAGAAAAGCGTAGGAATGCTTCTCAATTTTGGGTCATATTTCAAATAAATATACTGGTAATTTTTCTGGAACATCAGAGTGAGTAAAAGGTCTGAATTTTTGCAACAAAGTCTAAACCTATAACAATGGTATATATGTCTCCAGTCCCGTCGGGTAAAATATATACCTCAATGGAGTACGTTTAATGTTGTAATGTTGCTCTGCCTGTTATATAGAAAGTGCACAACTATCGTAGTTACACCAAAAAAAAAATACAATTCAGATTCGACAGTCCATTAAAGCTTCAGTATGTATTTTCCATTTAGCTGAATTAAAGAATTGATAAAGTTGCAAATTCTCTGTATATTTCGTATTTTCTCTTGTTTCTATAGATTGTGGTTCCCCACCAAAGATTGAAAATGGGAAAGTTTCCCTTGATAAGAAATCACAGACAAGTATTGGTGCAACAGCAAGTGTCAAATGTGAATCTGGATATGAAGCTAAAGAGTCGACTATAACATGCGAATTTCCGGGAGAATGGCAATCAGCAATGTGTGAACCGATAGGTAACATAATTTGTAGGCATTTAACCCATTTGACTAACTATTTGTGTAACTGTATATTATTACTTGAGGGGTATCAATATGTAAATTTAAAGTAAGTCAGCCAAACGTGAAGAGGCAGGTCAGACTGCACGAATGTCCAGGATGGCCCGACTCCTTTATGGGTGCAAATGCTTACCACCTTCAGTTCAAGCAGGCTAAAGGGTTAAGGGATGTCTTGCTAGTCGCAGGTTCTATACTGGATGCAAATGCTTTAAACAGCCTAAAAATCAGGATGACTTGCAATAAATGATAATGGTCGCGGAATCCCATAACTAACTTCGATGGGTTTTCAATTTCCTGCCAGGTGTTTGAGCTTGTCACCAAGTGCTGAAGCTTTGCAACAAACTTTGGTTCTACTCAAGTGCTTGTTTGTATCATAACGAAAACTTTACAGCCGCCAGATGTCTTATTTTCCAGTATTACATGTATAGATGTCCAGAGGAACGCAGTGTAATTTTTTACCTGTTTAAAACCAAACTTAAATGAATATAATTATGGTGTTTGCTAAAATGACATTTTTCACATTTTCCCCATGTCACGTAGAGCTGAAAAAGCTATATACTGTATATTTCAAAAGAATGACAATTACCATAGGGATTGATCATGATGAAAAAAAAATGAAATAATTGTTCAGAAAAATTTATATGATTATAAAAAAAATACAGCCAACCACTATTATCAATTGAATGTTACCGATATAGAGATGTCTGTTGGTCACATTAGGTATTTAGCAGGAGATTAGATTTCTCAAAATCGATCTTGAATGTTGTGCTAGTAAAACATTCAGTACAACATTCTTCTTAAAGATCCTGTAACACAATTTTTTCATGGTTTTATTTCATATATATGATGCTCAAATTAAGATGTCAATTTACTGTAAGCTATCCACATTAAGCATTATTTATTAAAGTATTACCCAATTTAACATTTCATTAAATAAAGGGAGGTAATAAAAAATATTTTCCTATAAATTCTTAAAGTCAAATCCAATAAGAAATGAATGCACTGTTATGTCATTTGATTAACTATAATGTGCACAAAGCTATTTGCATGTACAATTCTACATATTCTTCGATCGTTTGAAAATTTGTTTTATTTGCATTAATTATTATAACATATTATTGATTTTTTGCAAGGTGTGGTATACACTCCAGTACATATCAATTCACCAAAACTACCAGATCCTTAAATCTATGTCAAGCTGATACGACATTCAAAATAATATTCATCTCATGATGAGAATGTTACTAAAAACCAAGCAAGTGCGATATCCAGCACAGCTTTTTAGACAAAATTCAAATATAATGCATCTAGAGCAGAAATATTAAGCTGGGACGGCATTCAGTACAACATTCAGCTTAACATTCAAGTTTTACTGAATGTCGTGCTGACACAACTTTCAAACTAGGAGAAATAAATAAATGTCAATTTTACAAAGACAAACATAGGCGTCTAGATAATTATATCTGAATGGAAATTTCAACATAATTTCAAATGGAAATTTTAGATTGCGGACAACTCCCATCAATAACAAACGGTACTGCAACACTAGATGTTCCTAGCACGTCTACATTCGGGGCCACGGCAAGTGTCGATTGTACTACTGGATATGAAGCAAGCAAATCGACAATTTCTTGTAAGGAAAACGGGAAATGGAATAAGGCAACATGCACAATTAAAGGTGAAAATAAAAAATATCATTCTCTCGTGCTAACGAATTTATCAATATTCAAATAATAATAATAATTGTGTTGACGATAACTATTATTATGACGATAGTGATGATGATGATGACGATGATGATGATACTCGTAAATTCAAAAATGATAATAATTATAGACTGCGGACCACTGTCGTTAATTACAAATGGCACTGCTACACTAGATGTTCCTAGCACGTCTACATTCGGTGCCACAGCAAGTATCAATTGTACTGCTGGTTATGAAGCCAGTAAGACGTCAATTTCTTGCAAGGGAAACGGGAAATGGACTAAGTCAAGCTGTATTATAAAAGGTGAATTTCATATCGAATAAATGAAAGTTTCACATTTTCTTGTACTCGATAACAAATTATGATAAAACATATAACGATAATGATGATGATGAAAATAATGTTGATATTTATAATAATATGAATGATTATTCTAATTTAAGATTGCGGGCCACTCCCGACAATTAACAATGGCACAGCTACACTTGATGATTCTGGGACGTCTACATTCGGGGCCACGGCAAGTATCAATTGTATGGGTGGATATGAAACCATCAGTGCGTCTATATCTTGCAATCAAAACGGAGAGTGGACCAATGCAACATGCACTATTAAAGGTAATGACTAGTGATTAATTCCTGGCATGAAACATTTGCCAAACAACATATATTTTACTATTTATTTCCTTATGTTGATGGTTATAAAATTAAAAACTCATCAGAAATTCTTAAAAATGGATTAAATTTTACACGATTATCAAATTTAAAGCAGAAGGAGTAATAATGATTTCGATGGAAATAATGACCAGGGTAAAGAAAATAATGATAATGATGACAGAATGATAATGTTTATAATAACAATTCTTATTCTAGACTGCGGAGTACTTCCGTCAATTACAAACGGTACTGCTACACTTGATGAAGCGTCCATCTCTACATTTGGAGCAACTGCAAGTGTTAGTTGTAGTTCCGGATATAAAGCCGACAAAAAATCAATTTCCTGCAAGGAAAACGGAAAATGGAGCAAAGCAACATGTAAAATTAAAAGTAAGGATTGGTAATGAATTCCTTGCAGTGTACATTTGCTCGATATGCGCTTGTATGAAATTAATATGATAGTATATTGCCTTAAAAAGGGATTTCTTAAAATTTAATGACACATGCATGAAATTATTGCTAAACATATATATAAATCCATTCGTCTAATAGCTTAATAATATTTATGGAACATTGTTACAGTATACTTTTAACATACAATATTCATGTGTATTAAATAACATAGACATTTTTTGTGCATAATTTTTAATAATCGACCATATGATTATGGAACCAATAACATTTTACTGTTGATAAATTTTATGAAAATATTTCATAGGATAAATCTTTATATCCTTTAAAACTTAACCTTTTATTTCGTGGAATAAATTTAAATTTGAAGTCGACCTTTTCCTTGACCACTTTAAAGAATGCTTTTTGCTTGCACTTTTGCCTAGAACTGAAATATAATTTTAATATCTTTTGCTTGTACTACTTGCTCTTCTTCCAAGAACTGAACTATAATTTTAACAGCTTTTGCATGTACTATAGTCATGTTGCCAACTCGACATCTGCACACTGTAGATTATATTTTAGATTGCGGCTCACCTCCTTCAATTAGTAACGGTGTTGTTACACTTGATGACGCATCATTGACTGAATTCGGAGCAACTGCCAGTGTTAATTGTTCAGCGAATTATGCCGCCGACAAATTGTCAATTTCTTGCCAAGCAAATGGTAAATGGGACAAGGCGACTTGCACACTTAATGGTACGAGTAAACATTTATTTGGCAGGTCATTTTTCAAAGTGGCGCATTGTAACTTTATCGATCGTATTTCTGAAAACACCGAATTCAGTTATCAGAAATGAAACTATTTCATGTTCAGTAAGAAACGAAAAATAAAACTTAAACAGTAACTGTTGTAATTTCGTATTGGAAATAGATCTAAAGCTTTTTTGCATTGATTATCAATTTACACTTTTCAAAGAGGAGTTGTCGATATAAGCTGACCAAATGTCTGAAGTTGATCCGCGATTTCTTGCATGAATTTCAATTAAGAATGCTGCATTCATTTGTAAAGAAAAGTCCGCATAAACAATCAAATATATTTGTTTGCCACTTGACATTTTAAATTGATCAAGGCAAAGAATAGTTAAAGAGAAATAAAAGTCTTTAATTGCTATTAAAACAGTCCCTTATAAAAACAACTAAATTAATATTAACATATATTCAACAATATTTCCCAAAGGCTGTGGTTCCAATGTTACTGTTCCCAACGGCAATGTGACGATTTCATCTACTACGTTTGGATCAGTTGCAAATATAAGTTGCGATAGTGGATATGATGCAAACAAAGTGTCTATAGAATGTCTTAAAAATGGTTTGTGGGAAAAACCTACATGTACCATTAAAGGTATAATTTCTTTCAAGTAAAATTACCTTTACTGTAAATATAGATATTGCTTTCAGAATTATGTCTTATGTCTAACAACTGCACCTTGTCATGATAAGCAAGCGTATTGAGTTTTATGTTGTTTGAGTTATTGGCTACATTACATTTTTACAAGACGTCGACAACGACGACAAAGACGCCGATGGTGACGCTCAATCATATTAGCTCGACTCTTTTTTCGAAACAGACGAGCTAAAACAGGTAGAATTATATACATGGTTAAGTTTTGCAAAGTAAATTGTGGTATCATGTCTTTCTTTATTGTTAGATTGTGGCTCTAATATAACGGTCACCAATGGCAATGTGTCTTTTTCATCTACTACATTTGGTTCGGTTGCAAACGTCAGCTGTGACAACGGCCACGATGTAGATAAAGGTTCAATAAGATGTCTCGCAAGTGGTAGCTGGGAAAAACAAACATGTACTATCAAAGGTATTGTTTAACGTTACATTGAATACAATCCTTCCTTGATAAATGTGGGTACACATTCAAAAATATATAAAGAGGATGAATTTATTTCTGTCTGTGAGTACATGTATGTTAAAGAATGTAAAGGACAATCTTTGCGAATATTTCGTCATCTCAAGTTATACTATAAAGTTATTTTTTGTACATAATACAACCGTGACCTGCGAAATTGTTTTGTAATTTTTACGTACACTAAATATGTATAAACGACACATGTAAGTTGTAACTAAGGTTTCAAAAAGAAAATAAAAAAGAGTAGAAAATAATGTTATACACGGAAACTTTTTTCAAAAAAAAATGTGACATATCTTTTTATTGTTAGATTGTGGTTCTAATATAACGGTCACCAATGGCAATGTGTCCTACACGTCTACTACATTTGGTTCGGTTGCAAACGTCAGCTGTGACAACGGACACGATGTAAGCAAAGCTTCAGTACGATGTCTGGCAAGTGGTAACTGGGAAAAACCAACATGTACCATCAAAGGTATGTTATTTTCCAGTATTTATGGTGGTAGGTTGTAAAATAATCGTTACGTTTATACTTGATATTAAAATCATTTGTCCAAGTCGTCATTAATGAATATGACCTTTTCCCTTTTGCCTCAGAAACTGATAAGTATTTCATTTTTTCCAAAGGGAAAACAGGAATTTTGTCACGTTTAAGTTACATTCTAAATAGATTTGGGGCATGTTATATACTTATCACCTGAAAAAGGAACACTGAATGTAAAAGTATTTGTCATAAAAATAGCAAACGTACTGTAAACAAAGTAGTATTTTTCTCTTCCATACAAAATACTAAATCACTATAAATGTACTTATTACCACAGTGCAAAAGAAACAAAAAATGGTTCAGGTAATTGGTAAATGAATAACCTTTTTGGAAACTATAATAGGGCTTCAAACATGAAAGGCTTTGAGAGATCAAAATAAAAGCATTTCTGGGGTATATGGACCTTCAAGTAAAAAGTCCTATAATGATGTAAGAGTAAAGTTGATTTATAAAAGTATTTAATAATTATACAGTTCATTTTGAACTCCAGGTACAGCTTTATAAATGTCTGTAAAGGTAAAAAAATAAAAAGTTATGATTTAATTCAATATTATAAAGATAAATTTACTATGTCCAATACCTATCTGTTCACACTAATCTTTTTGTAACTGTTGTGATAAAATTATAAATAAACCAAATTCATTTTCTGGAATATCATATTTGTGTTTTACATGAAATGTTGACAACTGTTTGCAAAGACAAATAAACTATATGTATACCATATCTTGTTTTCTTCCAAAGATTGTGGCTCTAATGTAACGGTCACCAATGGCAATGTGTCCTACACGTCTACTAAATTTGGTTCGGTTGCAAACGTCAGCTGTGACAACGGACACGATGTAAACAAAGCTTCAATAAGATGTCTCGCAAATGGTAACTGGGAAAAACCAACATGTACCATCAAAGGTATTCTATTTCAAGCTTCTAGTATCCCTCATGTATAGACTCAATCAAACCGAGTCTGCAATTTTCATGTAAATTTGCTGTTTCAATGTTTCCGAGGGATCATTTTGTCCGGGTATTTAGAAGTTACAATCAAGATCATTGAATAATTACCATCATTCTGATATTAGCATTGGAAAACATGTTTTTATCATTAAACTTATAACGTGTTGACATTTTTTCAGTTATAAGATTTCCGATTATTTTAGATTAAAGATTCATTTTAAAATTTAACTCATGAACACACCTGTGTTCAAAATGTCAATTTTCTATGTTTCAATTAAAAGTTGAATTGTGTTTAAGCCAGTGCTTGGATAAAAGGGAAGAGCATGGATGGTTATTGTCCATGATCAGACTCAATCAAACCCAGAAAGAAACATTGGAATTATTGCCGTTTCGACGTTCTTTAGGGATACTTTAGGGATTCTTATTTCCTTTGATTCAATTGTTTGTGCTCTTTTTATACTTAATCTTTGTATATTAATTCACTAACAGATTGTGGTTCGAATTTAACCATTGCTGACGGTACTGCTACATTCACGTCTACTACATTCGAGGCAACTGCAAATATAAGCTGTAACGCTGGGTATGATGCCAGCAAAAGTTCAGTAAAATGTCTCGCAACTGGTAGCTGGGACACTGCAACCTGTATCATCAAGGGTGAGACGTTTTGATTATTGTGTTTTCGTTGTAACTTTACATACATTTTGATGCATGCATATATGAGCCGCGTCACGACAAAACCAACCAGTTGGGAATCACCAATGTGTATCATCAAAGGTATTCTTATTAATCAAGTTATCCGAATAGATAGTATCACAAACTGATATCATCAAATTGTTATAACAGTTAATGAACCATTCAGAACACCTCGCCGATAACTTATAATATTCTAGGAAACAACACTGATTGAAAATGGCTATACCAGTTGAATTAGTAGAAAAAACGGCTATAACTTTCGTTGTTACACCTTAATTATCTGTAGTGTAGAATTCAGACCCAGAAATACAGTTTTGTTTTGGGTGTCTTACTATTGTCATTGAAGTTCAGGCGCGGATCAAGAATTTAAGAATTTTTTATCAGAAGGTACAGAAATTTTCGACAATGTGTTGTGCATATTTTCACGATGGTTTTACACAGATGTTTCTGAGACGACATTTTTCTGATTTTCATCTTTTTTTCTGTGAACTGTAAATTAATATCGTTATCCCCGGTTGTCTCTAATACCAGCCAATTTCAAAGAAGGAGGAGTGGGGTCGGTGGGGTTGAAAACTTCCAAACCTACTGCTTTGAATCCTTGTATGAACAATTTAGTTTTAGTTTAAACGGGGTTAATAGTAAGCTACATTTATGGACAGAAAAGCTTGAATAAATGATTGGCTTTCAAAAGGTGTTTTAATTATTTCGGTGGCTTGTCTTACACAGACTGTGGGTCTAGTTTGAACGTGACTGACGGGACTTTGACATTTACCAGCACTACATTCGGATCAAACGCTACCCTAGAATGCAACACCGGCTACAGGCAAACAAAGGGGCTAAAATTTCCTGCTTAGTAGATGGGGGGAAAAATTGGGGGAAAACCCCCCCAATTTTTTTTTTTTACAATTAAAAGGGATGTAACTTTCTCAAATCTATCCTCATTTTTATCTGTTTGTTAAATTAAAAACCCGTCAAAAGGGAAGTTTTAAGCATTTTTTTGTTATTTACAAGGGGCAATAAAAACCAAAAGGGCCCCAGGGGAGGAATTTTAATAACTTCGAACCCTTTTTCAGAAATTTAAAGCAATCTATTATTACATAAAAAGTATTTCGACTGTTGGGGACTTATTATTTCATTAAAATGTTTTTCGTAAAAAGAGAATTTTTGATGTCCTTTGTGCCTTTAAAGTTTTTATAAATATAACTACCCGGGGATCAAACACTAAGCTTTTTAATAGTTTTCTGGGGCCGCTTATTACAAAAAGTTCCCTTTTAAAGGCGCCTACGGGGGTATTCATCCGTTAATTTAAAGTATCCTTTTTCCTTAAAGTGATAATACTGGTATTCAATATGATTTAAAATCATTATCATAAAAATTTAAATTCTTATTGGGCCCAAAAACACTTTTAAAAAATATATAAATTTAAAAGTGTACATTTTGGGGAAAAAAAACTAAAAATTTTACCCCTTGGGTTTTACAATTAAGTGTAGGAAGGGTTTAAAACTTCTCGACTTCTAATCCGGTCCTTGGGAAACAACCATACCTTTAGCAATAAGTGGAAAACTTTTTTCTCAAGGAAAAAAACCCGGGGTTTCCCCTTTGGGCTGAGATTGAACCCTTGCGGATAGCGATCCTAAGATTACTAGTCCGACGTGTTAACCACTCGGCCATGTCGCAATTTCTAATGCAATAACCTCAGAATACTGATTTTTTACTGAAATTATAGTGGCTGATCTGGTACACTTTGCGCGTTGCGTTGTCGTTAACAACAATACAACCTATATCGTTATCGCAGTCCTGTCTCTAGAAAAGCACGCCAAACGATGCGTTGTCGTGCGGCGCGATGTCGTCCTGTCGCTTAGCCCTGTCGCAAATCCTTCGATGTGAGTGAGTGACAATGTGACGTCGCGACAACACGCCGCACAACAATGCGCCGTTTAGCGTGCATCGTTAGCGACAGGACGACAAGACGAAAGTTTGACAACGCGCAATTTAGCGGTTTGTCGTGCTTTCGCTAACGACAACACGATGCACAAAAACGATCCAAATCAGCCACCATAGGAAATAGTAAATTAAATTATAATCTTCCTTCAATAGATAAATTTAACTAAACAGACAATGCTACATGTATATATTGTTCTTCGTTATGAAATGCTTTTTTTCAATGGTTTACATGTTTTATACTGTTTAATACTGTTCACATTGTTGATATCTATGTTAGGGAGTATGTCCCGAAAAATATTTTATTGTTATTTCTCAAAAACTTTCTAACGTCTGTGTACTTTTAATGTATGGCCAATTCCTTGAACGTTCTTTTATTCATTTGTGTTATTGGCACAGTACGGTTATAGTGAATAAGTATTTTTAAGGAAGTCAAAGCACTACTTTATATTTTCTTGCATAGCAAACTGGCGTTTCCGTGAGTTTTACCCATGCCGGAAATTTCATCTGGCATGGGGGTGCCAGATGAGTCGCGTGCCAAACAACAACGTCATTTTAGCCCACTTTATGAATGAACCGCGTTAAAATGACGTCGTTTTAGAAGAAAAATATGTGCTTAGGATGACGTCATTTCGCAGTTGTTATTTAAGTTGTAAGTTCGTACGCTATTGTAAGAAAATAGTTATGGATGAAATGACTTTAATTTCCATGAACATATATCATATTTGTGTAAACCATTTTAAGTATGAAATAATATGGCAGAATATGCAAGAAAAAAAATCTAACATATGTTTGCGGTTCGGATCGGAATATCCGTCCCTCGGGAACCAGCCCATGGGCGGTAACTCGGCAAGCCTCGTTACCGCCCAATGGGCGGGTCCCCTCGGGACGGATGTTCCGGTCCGAACCGCAACATATGACAGCTATTATTATTACTACTTTATTCGAATAATTATTTTACAATTATCGCTACTTTTTAGGTAACAAGCATCTTACATTCTCTTAAACCATTATTTAAATATTATAAATTTTAATGTTTGTCCTTTTTAAAGAAGCAAAACTGTGTTTATTTCTGAGACAAAATGTGTTTTTAATTTCACTGTTATAGTTAGGTTTTGATTTTTTTTTGTGTTTAGATTGTGGGTCTTCGTTGGCTGTGAGCAATGGGAATTTGACATTTACAACAACAACATATGGATCAAACGCTTCCCTTGAATGTTATGCCGGTTATGATGCAAACCAAACAACGATAAGTTGCCTTGATACCGGAAGTTGGGAAACACCGACGTGCACCATCAAAGGTATTAAATAGGCATTATGTGTTGTTTATGTTATATACAAAGTTATTGTATTTTTCATCATTCATATGTTTTAACGTCTGCTTTCTTTACGAGTATCACTTCTTATTTAAAAAAAAATGAATATACCCCACCCCCACAGCAAATTATTGGAAACTTAATTACTTTCTGTAATATTAATCAATTAATAGATAATCATGATCATAATTTAAATGTCAATGTGTATCATTCTTCATAATTATCATAATTGCGTAGATCAATTGTGGATTTGTAGTCGAATTTTGAATATATTCCTTATCATTTGTGGCATTCTATTCGCATACTGAATCAATATTATATTTTTTTCATTATAAAACCTAGAAGAAAAGATAATAGCGTTATACACCCAGGAGAAAATCCACGTGCATATAACACATCAGACTTCAGTTTAATAGTTGGTTGCAATGTGGTTCAATACAACTCCAAGTAAAATGTTATTTGCTTATCCTTTAATTCATATTGTATGTAAGTTATCATTTAATTGTAAAACTTAAAACAGATTGCGGCTCTTCACTCACGGTGGATAATGGGAAATTGACGTTTACAAACACGACATATGGATCCACAGCTTCACTTGTTTGTAATGCGGGGTATGATGCAAACGCCAACAATGTAACCTGTCTAGTTACAGGCACTTGGTACCCTCCATTATGTACCATTAAAGGTAATTTATAGATTTTGATTTGTTTGGTTTTACGACACAACGACACAGTATAGGTCATATGGCGCTGAAACAGGAAATGATTTTTGCTAACCTCTGATGTTACAAACAGGGGTTCAAAATAACCTCATCTACTGGATCTAAGAGATACATGGACTACAGTCACTCAACCCATTTATTCGCCTTTTGTTATCACTTAGTGAAAAACGGTGGCTGCATTTGGTATTGCATTTACTGAGATTTGTCTCAAGGTAAAATTCCACTTTAGCTCCATATGTGCTGAAGTGATCCATATGTGCATGATATAAAATTATCAACATAATAACGGATCATTTCCATAAAGCAATCAATTTTTTATTATTTTGTGTAACATTCTGTAATAGAAATTAATATTTCAAACAAACAGATTGTCCCAAGCCGAGCTTGAATAATATCATCGATAAAAGGACAGTTTTAATGAAGAAATTTACTTGCAATTCACTGCATGACAATCAAAAAAAAAATATTGTCCTTGTGAGTAAATTTTTATATACTGGGTATTTTGAGTATTTATTTATATTGCTATCACCAGATATTTTTCAAATTTTCAGATATTCAATTTTATATTTGTCAAGGGTCATATTTAACCTTTCATCAAATTTTGGTTCTGAGGTAATTTTCTTAAGTTAAATTAAATTATATTTGTTCCCAGATTGTGGGTCTTCGTTGACTGTGAGTAATGGGGTGTTGACATTTACGAATACAACATATGGATCAAACGCTTCCCTTGCTTGTGATACCGGATACGATGCAAACACTGCATCGATTGGTTGCCTTGACACCGGAAGTTGGGAAACACCAACGTGTACTATCAAAGGTAACAGCACACAGGTCTTAGGTCATCTTAGATGTTTACAATCTATAAATAGCTACCTTTTATTATTCTAGTTTTTAATCTTGGCAAGCAAGCAATTGGTTCTGTCAAACTGTAAATGAATTGTTATGTTCAAATATTTTATCTTTTGGTTTCTTGTGAAAATTTAATATCAACAAATGACTCATCAACAACGAGCTTATTAATTCGTACATGATGAATTGAATAATTCAAAATTACCATAAGTTATTTGTCCTTGCGAACTGTAAGCATTGATTACTTGCATTTGCTACATTCGCACAAGAAAAGCATATTGGTTTCTTGATAGTTTTAAAAAATGTACTTGTACAGCACTTCATTAGAAGTAAAATATTGAAAAGGGGGATCATTAAAAATACAATGTAAGTTATATCAATGGCTGACAATTGTAAATTTTGAGTTAATTGCCAGTTCATGAGGGACAATGAATAGCGCATTTTCTTTCAGTGCATAATAACGATGATATCCATCAAAACATCAGCGTTTAAGACTAATTAGTCTGTAAATTATGTTGACTATAAAGATAATATATAAACGCTAATAACCTTCGTAAATCATTGCAACAGTTTAAACACAACACTTGCAACTAGCTGTTTTGAAAACATTAGCTATGTTTTATTGAATTGCTAGATTGTGGGTCTTCGCTGACTGTGAGTAATGGGGCTTTGACATTTACGACAACAACATATGGATCAAACGCTTCCCTTGTTTGTGATACCGGATACGATGCAAACACTGCAACGATTGGTTGCCTTGACACCGGAAGTTGGGAAACACCGACATGTACCATCAAAGGTAACAGAATCTTCTCAGACGGTTGACAAATAGCTTATCTTTTATGTGACTCTAGTTTCAAATCATGGCACGAATTAATTCTATCAAATACTAACTGAATTACTTTATTGAAATATCTCAAAACTGTAAACTTTTATATCAACCAAATGACTCATAAACGATGAAACAATTATATGCATTATGCATCGATAAATATTTAATTTCCACTATTTTTTTGTCTCTGCTATCTGTAAACATTAACAACATACAATTGCTGCATTCTCACAAAGGAAAGCATGTTGGTTTATTGTTTGCACATAAGGTATTGGTACAACAGTTCATTCTAATTGAAATCTTGGAAAGGCGGGTCATTTAAAATTCAAGGTACACTATATAAATTAGTAAAACAAAACATAAATTTTGAACTTTAGGTTAAGTGCCAGTTCATGAGGGACAATTCCCTTATGCGCATTAGCAATCACATTCACCAAAACATGAGCTTAAGTAGCATTCAAACCTTTTTATGTCGCTAAATTATTTCTATTTTCAAGCGAATATATATTAGAACACTAAGCAATCGATGCAGCAGCTAAAACACGACAATTGCAACTAGCTGTTTTGAAATTAATAGCTATTTTACATTGAATTGCTAGATTGTGGGTCTTCGCTGACTGTGAGTAATGGGGCGTTGACATTTACGACAACAACATATGGATCAAACGCTTCTCTGGTTTGTGATACCGGATACGATGCAAACTCTGCAACGATTGGTTGTCTTGATACCGGAAGTTGGGAAACACCAACGTGTACTATCAAAGGTATTTCATGATTTTATATTTAATTTTACACTTTTTTGCTTAACTTTTTTAAAGTTAGTTTTTCGCACGTCTCTCACGTCATCCCTCTTTACAATAGTCACATTTTATCACGAAGTGATCTACACAAATGAATAATTGAATACAATGCACTTATAACTTTCTTTAATAACGTTCAAGTAGATGTGTATTATTATTATAAATTGGCATAGTACAAAATATTGTAGTTCACTTATACTTTTCATTAGAAGGGAGATAATCATATTATACTGTTTATTGGTTACTAGATTTCCTCCCTTTAAAATTCACGTGATGGCTGCTTTCGATTTGGTTGGTTATTTTGACATCATAATCATTCTGTATATTTCAAACGCTTCAAAATTTTAAGTTTATTAAATTATGAAATATGAATAAATTGTTTATATTTTTTCTGACTGCCCGGAGTGTAATTAGCCATATGGACTTAAACTTATACTATATGTATTTCATATACATATTCATCCAGTGAACAAAATACTGTCAAAAAGAACTTTACACCATATAATATAGTTCACATAAAAATGTATTTTCCCTTTCCTAATAATTAATTATCATTTATTGTATTTTCAATTATCAATTTGTTACTGAATTTTGATTCGTTTTAATATCCTTAATTATACGGGTTTGGCAATTCAGTCAAAAATTAATTTTCGATTAAGACCACCCCTCTATTAGGACCATTTTTAGGACCATAGAACGGAATTTTATGTTCTTTATGTCAATAGTTGCATGCTCCAGAATTATGACCACCAATGTTCACCACTTTGAAGATCACCACATTCAGTCCCAATTCTTTGATTTATTCCTTATTTGAACTCACTATTGAGACCAATGATTTTAAAGTCAACACCTACCAAGATCACATATTTGTTGCTATTATCTGCTTGAATACTCTTAGGCATGACACTTGATATAACAAGGTGTCAAAAACTGTTTTAATAAGGTCATTTTTTTGAATTTTGGTGTGAAAGTAAATTATAGACTTATCGTGGTTCAATGTTGCTTTTATAGCACATTTATCTTGGAAAGAATTAATTTCTTATATGATAGGTGAAATATGTATTTTCCACTCATATGTTTAAAGACGTCAAATGAAATAAATGACTGCATCCGTAAAAGGTTTTCTCTATGACTATTTTCTGAATTGTAATATTTAACTGGTCAATCGAAAGTATAAAGATATTTTTGAACTTTACATTATCAGATAACGATTGTCTCGATCAGAATTTGTGACAATTTTCATCAAAATTGAAAAATTATTTTGTGCAAATGGATAAATATGTATACATTGTTCAGTTACTTAAAGTTTGATATTTACATTTGTCAGGTCCATGTTCGACATTTCATCAAAAGTTTGATACTGAAGTATTTCATAGTTTAATATTCCTTTGTTAAAGTTTATTCTATGAAATTGCCAGATTGTGGGTCTTCGTTGACTGTGAGTGATGGGACTTTGACATTTACGACAACAACATATGGATCAAACGCTACCCTTGTTTGTGATAAAGGATACGATGCAAACGCGGCAACGATTGGTTGCCTTGACACCGGAAGCTGGGATACAGCGACATGCACCATCACAGGTAACGTTACACACAATGTGTTCGTATACACCAGTAACTGGCAACTCTTTTATTTCATCCTAGTTTCGAAACCCTTGTGTCTCCCTCACGCTTACTTAATGGTTGTTATCTAAAACCTTTAAAAAAAATGTGCACTAAGACTTTAAATGGGTGGTTACATTTTTTATCAACAAATGCCTAATGTTTAATGAAGAGCTTATTGACAAACACATGGTCAATATAAGTGTTCTATATATCAAAATTGTGTCCCATTCTGATAAAAGTCAGCCCCAAATTAAACCTCCCATTAAGGATCTGACAACCACCAGGTTGTCATATTTTCGTGACCTTTCAAACAGCCAATCATCGGCGATCAATTAGATCGTTATTTGTGCTTGCTTTCTTTGAAAACTTGAAATTGTTGCATTTACACAAAGAAAATTATTTTTATTTATGGTATGTATTTAAAGGCAAACATACAACGATTCGATGCAAGTTAAATCATGAAAATGAGGATAATAAGAAATTTATACAAACTTAATTAATGGCTCATATTGTTAACTTTATTTTTATTGCGCCATTCAAATATCCTCTTAAGTAGCATTCAACTTTTTTATAATAGGCTATATCGTTTACTTGTAAATATTAATGCTGGCATACAGCCCGACTATAAGCAGTTATTACCACCTTCTTGCCACCTTATTGCCACCTGCTGATTCGAGCACTGTAACACCGCACTTTGGGGTCAAACGCACTTTGGGGTCCGACCCCAAAGTGCGTTAAACTTCGCACCGCACTTTGGGGTCCAACGCACTTTGGGGTCAAAATCGAGAAATTGATCCCAAAGTGCGTTAATATGCTACATATCAACGCACTTTGGGTTCAAGAGGTCTAAAGGTGTCATCTGAGTTCTGCGTAAATACTGAGAACTGACTTATTTTCGATCTGCGACATTGAAATATTTGAGGTGGAGTTCAAGATGGCGGTAAATACTTTATGATGCTTAAGTGATAAAAGTTTTATTAATTTTACCACTTGAAATATCTAAAAATTGTGTTCATATAACATAATTACGGTGGCATAAAAGTGACATTTGCATTTTTTTTTAGTTTTGCATACATATTATATTTTAGTTTTGCATACATATGTATTTTCGTTCTAACACGTCAAGAAAAAATATAATTATAATTATAAAGTTGGACTTTATGTTTGGTGGTTAAATTTGTTTTCGCCTCAGAGTTTCCAATAGAACGTTCTTTAAAGGCCGTTCCAGTGGGTTGAAAAAACTGTCGTTAAATCAACCGTGTGTAGAAACATTTTGAGAATAACGAATTTTGAAAACGTTGATAAAACTTTGTTTGTTTATTTTATTTCAGTCTATAATTTTCCAAGCGAAATACAAATTATTAAAAGTGAAATATATGTAAAACTTGACTCGTTTGCGACATTAAAATAGCGTACTTGATTTGATTGTTTTGCACGTGCTGTTTGGCGCTACATTGTGACGTCACGTAAACAACACTTTAAACGTCTGTACAGCGTTAACGACTGTATTAAAAATATTGGTGTTCGGATTCATTTTCTTAGTTAGACCATTTTCTGTCATTCTAGATAGTGTTCACAACAAAATTCGACAAAAAATTGTTTAATTTATTAGATTTTTCAAACAAAATGGCGCCGTCAATGTGAAAATACACAGGGAGATAATAAAAACGGCGAGTGCATTGTTGTATAATAATGCACGCTTCGGACCTTCTTTGTTTATATAGAAAAAAATCCGATAGTGTTAGAATATATATTATATATTATAAATATACTATTATATTGGTGTCTATTTGGATTAGTGATCAGTTATTATTCCATGAATATGCACCACCCAACCCCACCCTCTGAGAATGGCGTGGAGGTCATTGACTTTTAACCAAGCCGACCACTGGTAAAATCTTGTCCCTGCGGGGGATACTCAGATAATAACATTCCTGCCTTATGCCCCGGAACAGCGCAAACATCAAAACATGATTCTTTTTTGCCCGGGGGCAAGGGAGGTGGTTAAAAATTACTGGTGTATTACAATAATGCACAATAAAAGATATAAATAGGTCCTTATATTCCACTGATTTAGAAAAAATGCTTAAAGCTTTGAAGGATTGTTATGAAACTTGGGTCAATTCTTTAGCACATCCAGATAATGTGCAGAACTTATATGCCATGTGTTCCGGCTCAAGGTCGGGGTCACACCTACAGGTCAAAGGATTAAGACTTGGGTTTTATGTCCGATCCTTATCTCCAAACCCCATGAAGGATTTTAAGGCACCTTGTGTCAAATGATAACCACATCGAGACCATATGAAAACCTTTTTTTGGGTTAATGCGGACTATATATATATATTGTTATTTTTTGATGCCTCCAAAAATGAAAATGTTGGTATTTCAAAGGGCATTTGCAAATGGGGTTTTGTAATTTACAGATGGCGAAGTGTTTGAAAATGGTGTTTTACAAATGGCGTAATTATCCAAACCTCTACTTTGCAAATGGCTTCATGTAAAAAAATGTACGAAAAAACAAAAATAAAATATGTACAAAAACTTAAATAGAATAATTATGTATGCAAAACTATTTGACAGAACCAATTGCTTGCAAAGATTAAAAACTAGAATAGTAAAAAGGAAACTATTTATAGATTGTAAACATCTACGATGACATAAGACCTGTGTGTTTTTTTTACCTTTGATAGTACACGTTGGTGTCTCCCAACTTCCGGTGTCAAGACAACCAATCGTTGCAGTGTTTGCATCGTATCCGGTATCACAAGCAAGGGAAGCGTTTGATCCATATGTTGTTGTCGTAAATGTCAACGCCCCATTACTCACTTTAAAAAACTTCTATATAAAATGAGTAATTTCTATAAAATGTGTAAATAAAAAAAGGTAAATAATGCATTTAGCTATAAGCAATGGTGTTAATGAAACGTGTACATTCTTTTAAAATAAATAGAAAATTTGAGAAAAAATATTTAAAGCTTTATAATTGATACAAATTCTTTATGAAGTGATTTATTTGGTGAAAGTTCTTCACTTCCTAATCAAGAACATTTAAATCCCTATTGATTCTATTATAATTCAGAGCACATGTTTTTGCGTCTATTTAATGTCTTAATTTTTTGTTTACCATTGGCTTTAACTACAATATATTATTTAAAACATATTGAACATTAATTTTCTATGACCCCAAAGTGCGGTCGTTTGCCTGATGTTATAAAATGCATATGTACCTGTTCAACGCACTTTTGGGTCGAAATTGGACCCCGAAGTGCGTAACGCACTATGGGGTCGGACCCCAAAGTACGTAACGCACTTTGGGGTCGGACCCCAAAGTGCGTTTGACCCCAAAGTGCGGTGTTACAGAGCACATCAGCTCTGAATTCACAGCATATTAGTTGTGAAAGGATTACAAAGATCATTCTTGTGTTTTCGAGACACACCATAATGATTATCTTTATATTATTCCAACAAATATTTGCAGTTCGATTACTTATTCGCTTTAATCACGGAAAGCATTGAAGCGCAAATGTAAGTTTGCGCGAATGAGTCTGTAGGATTTCGCTGAACATACGAATTTTACGACATTGGAATATAATTTACGCGAATTGTCGACCCCGGCAAAAAAGGAAATATTTGTTTCTAAATATAAATTGGATTACAGTGCGAGTTCCCACTCTGTAGTAAGAAGTTAATTCTAATAATAAAGCTAAACATTATTTTATGGTTGAATATATTCCATATCGGAACTGTTCACGACATTTTGAATATAAGTAATGTCGAGAAGAACGGCTTTATGTAAAGTTGCTATTTCCTGCTGCCCAACACATTGTATGGTGGCTTATTTGAACCATTCGTGTTTTCGCCCCGCGACCCCGCCAAGCAAAAAGTCGAGAATGAACAAGTTAATGTGGCTGGGGAGTGTAGCGAAACACGCTCATAAGCGGGGGGGGGGGGTATTTTTAAAATTAGCCCTCATAAGTTTGTAATTATTTTGGTTTATGTGTATATTTGCATGTACATACGCAATGAAATATTGTTAATCTATCAAGTTTGTTAGATTAAAAATGATCAAAGCATCTTATACATTCCCGCTACGTTTTCGTTTTAGATTGTGGTACTCCATCACTAACAAACGGCGCCTTGGCATATACAACAACAACGTATCTATCTGATGCAAATGTGACTTGTGACAAAGGGTATACCGCAAGTGATGACACAACAAAGTGTAAGGCTAATGGGTCATGGAAAACTGTAAGCTGTGACCCTGTCGGTAAGTTTTAGTTGAATGATTCTGCTAAAAGAATTTAATCCGATATATCACATACCCGTGTTGATTTTGAGACTCCGTAAATATGGTATCCCACGGGCGTTCATATATTTTGACTTGACGTCATTAATTATGTTATACAAACATAGTGTGAAGACGCGATAAATGTTGTAGGCGCGTCAGTGAATACGGATACTTTTGCACCTTAAACAGTCTTTATTTTGGACATGTGATAAATAGAATATTACATTCGTGTAAGTTTATTACTGAATTTATTGAACTCGTTGAATAAGACAATATTTTGCTCGCCAGAGGCTCGCACAATATAATTGTATTCAAATCGTCCAATAAATTCAATATTGGACCTACACTCATTCAATATCCTATATTTATTCTCTTCGACAAACACTGATTTATTTATTTCAATGTTAAATATGTGTATTCATTAGGTGTTTTTCTTTATCTAAATTTGTTCAACTTTTGAATAAGATTTTGATGTGATAAATTGACATTTTTTTGTATATTTGTCCTGCTCTTTTGTGACAAGCTGTTTTGCTCAGCCAGTTTTACGCACTTAAATTCAAATATTTGTTTCTCAAAACCTAGTGTAAAAGTGACTACATTCACTCGTTTAAATTAGATGTAGTTGATTTGAAATAATAAAACACTGGTGCTTTAAAAATTATGTTTGATGGGTTTTTTTATTCCAAGGAAATCATTTTTTGAAATTTGTTTCAAACAATTAAACATTTTTTAGACACATTAAAACTAAAATATAAGGAAACTAAATGCAAGAAATGAAGAAAAATCACATATTTTCTTAAAGGCCTATTATGCCTCAGATCTATGCTAGCTTTTTCATTTCTGAAAAAAAATAAATTTTGGCAACATTTTACAGTTTCCAAATTATTAATAATAATATAAACATATATGAATTATCTTTTACTTATTCTGCGATGTTAAAATGGATATAATTAAAGTAAATTAGTTTTTGCATGGAAGTCAACATACTACTTTGTTTACATTTTGCTACCTTTACGACACATTTCTGCACATTTAAAGCTACTTTCTTCACTTTCTTCATATGTTAAACATCTAACATGCTCTTAAACCATTATTAAATCATTATTAAACACATGTTTGACATTTCTAAAGAATTAAGAAATATATTTCTAAAGGGTTAAGAAATATATAGATTTCTTAGACAAATGAACAAATTAATTAAATAAATGTACATATTAATGAATTTAAACTGCTTTCTTTCTATCTAAATGTTTAATTACCTGTAATGTGCAGTTAAGAATATCTTATTTATGTGAATAAATAACACTGTACTTAAATAATTACAGATTGCGGATCGACCTTGCCGACAATTACAAATGGGGCGGCCACACTTGATGATTCAGCACAAACCACCTATTTGTCCACGGCCTCTGTCACGTGCGAATCAGGGTTCACGCCAGATAAATCAAGTCTTAATTGTAAAGCCAACGGGGCATGGTCTAAAGCAATTTGCTCATAGGCAGGTAGGTAAAACTGTGTTGTTTTTGTTATTATTGTTGCTGTTCCTGTTGTCATTCTGAACTTGTTTCTAACTCTCAGACGACTTTTGTTTATCATTTTTTCTCAGATTAGCATTTCAAAGCAGTTCATCGTAATTTCGTGATTGAGGGTCTAAAATGGATGTAGACTCAAAAGCACTTTCTTATCTTTTATACTTTTTATAATGTAAACTACGTAAACGATGTATTAGTAAGACAGGTTATCATTAGCCAACACTACTTTGTACAGGTACTACATGTATCAAACGATACTTTGCATTGGAGTTAACCAACATTTATTATTGAATGACCCTCGTTCTTTGTACCGGAACTATTCAACGATACTTCTTTGTATCGGTACTATCAAACGATACTTTGTACCGGTACTATCCAACGATACTTTGTGCTGGTAATTTCAAACGATATTTTATACCTGTACTATCAAATGATACTTTGTGCTGGTAATTTCAAACGATATTTTATACCTGTACTATCAAATGATACTTTGTGCTGGTAATTTCAAACGATATTTTATACCTGTACTATCAAACGATATTTTATACCTGTACTATCAAACGATATTTTATACCTGTACTATCAAACGATATTTTATACCTGTACTATCAAACGATATTTTATACCTGTACTATCAAACGATATTTTATACCTGTACTATCAAATGATACTTTGTGCTGGTAATTTCAAACGATATTTTATACCTGTACTATCAAACGATATTTTATACCTGTACTATCAAACGATATTTTATACCTGTACTATCAAACGATATTTTATACCTGTACTATCAAACGATATTTTATACCGGTACTATCAAACGATACTTTTACCTGTACTATCAAACGATACTTTGTGTTGGTAATTTCAAACGATAATTTGTACCGGTATTATCAAACGATACTTGGTAACGGTACTATGAAACGATACTTAGTAACGGTACTATGAAACGATACTTTGCACCGGTAATATCAAACAATATTTTGAACACTTCAACATATAACACAATTTTACTTTTAAATTATAACGAGTATGACTGTAAAGAGAATTAAGCTTTGTTGTAAATGTTTTGTTTAAATAGTAATTGAATCGTCCGATTATCAGTCCGTTACAGGTAACCCTAAACCTACAAGTTGTATATATATTTTAAGTTCCACCTAACAACCATATTTACTGACCGATATCTTCAATAATCAATAGGTAAATTGCTTGAATGGCCTCCTAGCTTATTTCGGATGGAGTTTGGGGTCATTGGTGCTTAAACTAGTATATTCTTACACTTTGGTATTTATAGTCTTTACAAGGTTGGTTTGACATAAAGTCTAAAACAAAGAACTGGATGAGTGGGTAAACCTTTCCATCAAAATCAGTTCCGAACTAGAATGCCAAGAATGATGGGGAGATCAATGCGTGGAGATTGGACGTGTATATCATCTTTTATGATGATGCACGTTTGTAACGTCGCTTTCCATTGAATAATCGTGACGTTTATATAGTTTTTCTGTAACGTCGCTTTTCATTGGATAATCGTGGCGTTTATCTTATTTATTTGAAAATAGCGGCTCGGGTTATATTTACAAACAGCCGTTTAAATAGGGCCATATAACCTGTCAACGATCTTTATAACTAATAATATAAACGTCACGATTATCCAATGAAAAATGACGTTACAAACGTGCAGTATTATAAAGTTTTATATACACGGCTGCTGTAAATTTTTGAAAAAATCTTACCTTTTCTCTAAAAAATATTATGCTTGCTGAATTATAAATTCGTTATAAAAATTTCTGACAGGTTATATAGCCGTGTATAAACGGTTGTATGCAATATAACCCTCGCCTAGCGGTTCGGGTCATATTTCCAAACAACCGTTTATATAGGACCATACAACCAGTAAAAATCTTAATAATTTTTTTTAATATTTATAGATATATGTTTCATTTCAGGTTGTGGCTGCGTGAGATGACTATTCAAGTAGCCTATCAATCTAAATTTCTAACGATGACGAATAATTGTTGACATTCAACAACTTGGTTTTCTTTTTTGTTTGATTGAACATTTTAAATCCTCAAATAGTATTGATCTTTGAGGATGTTTTTATTTGGTTCCAATGGAAACATCTCTAAATCAACTTTCATTTATTATATATCTTGTTCTTCTAATCATGAAAATGATAACAAACAAATAACAATGTATAATTCTTTGCAGTAAACCAATTCTATAAAGCATTTGCAGTTATTAATTTTATTGCTCCACAATACATTTTAACACATGGCTCTTTAAGTAAATGGTTCTCAACAAAAGAGCGAAAAGCAAATGGTTCAAAATAAAAAAGCGAAAAGCTAACCAGATTCTTATACATTTGCAATAAGATTCACTTTCAAATATATTAATTTGGCCAATACTTGTCGGCAGTAACCCAGACATTACCGTATGAATGTGAATATAATACCATCATATGCAAGTATACAATGGGCAAACGAAAATAAATAAGAAATGGTCTACTATATATGCAAAAGACAATGTAAGAATCAAATATCCCTGTGGCGGTCTAACTACAAACAAACTTCGGTTATAACATTACTTGTTGAAATGAATGAACAGATTCAGCATTGTTTATGTCTTTTACAATTGTATAGTGTTTGAGATGTTCAATGTTTGACATATCTGAAACCACGATAACAAACATTTCTTTAAAATTTAAAAAGTAAACTGCATCAAACAAGACACGAATGGGTAATATAAAGAAACTTTTTACTGGATAAACAGTATTTCGATTTTTATTAATAAAAGTTCATATTTTACACACACAATAATCAAAATCGTACAAATATCCGATCAATGCATTTAATGAGAATGAATGGCGTCCTCATATTGGAGTTTAATTAACCAACATATGTTTCAACCGTAAACCAGTATATCTTTAAAACCGATGAAAATGTTTAAGCATATTAAGTTGGTCCTCAGTGCTACTTAGTTTGAGCCTGTACTAGGTGTGGCTTTGTTAAGACATGTAAAAAGAACACGCACAAAATATAAACAAAACAAAAAATAATCACAATATGAAGTTGTTCAATAAAGATCATAAACAATGATCTGCAGATTTCTTAGGGGCTTTATTTTGTATACGAAAATCCACAGTTTTAGGTTAATTAACAAACAAACAAACAAACATTTTCATAACTTTTAAATACGTTTTATCCAAATAGTGAAAAAAATCCATTTCTAACACAATGTTTGGAATATTCCAAGACTTAAGCATATTTACATTACTGAAGAAACTAAGACAAATTGCAATCTTCCATAAATATTGTTTTTCTAAACGAATGGGGTGCACCATGCATATCAACTTAAATCCATGTTCGCTTTCATATACTTTGTTTAAAAAATGTATGAGTAGTAAACATCCTAAATTCTCACGAAAACACAATGAATTATATTAACTGTAAGCTCAAATGTAGGGTTGGACACGTACAATGTAGAACATGTATTAATATAACACCAGGCTACCCGAGCTATAATTACACCCGGTTACCCGTCCCTAGTATACAAAGACGAGGGTGAGGTCGAGGGTCTATGTGTCAGTAAATACCACCCAAAACAAAATTCTAAATCATAGAGAAACAGATTTAACCGTATATTATTGGTCATTACTTAATTGGACTCGTCGATTGATACAAATATATCTGTACAAGTGAGAAAAAAGTGACTATATATTCATGTTGTAATGCGACAAGATCAAACCTAGCCTTGAAATACTTTGCATTTCTTGTGACATCTGTTTAATTATATTTGAAAATGCATTTAGAATTCAGTATCTTGCTATTTAAAAGCAACGATCTATGATTGATCCTAACTCAGATATATTTGAATTGCTGTCATGTTTTATGTCTCAAGTTTACGCTTTGTTTCTTCACAGCTGTTTTCGCTACTTATAACGGCCTTTATAAAGACACCATAGGTCCCTTCACAAATCCAAAATACCAGACAACGATAAAATAACGATAAGAACATGACATATTTTGTCTTTGAAAAAAGGCGGATAGTATTTTGACTTTCGTATGAAAAGGGGAATTTTGTAATACGGGAAAGTGATCACACAGTCATTTTCCTTCAAATACATGCATCGAGGACATGTAAGAAAAGTGACCGTGCGACCACATACACGCATCATAGGATTCCCTTTCTCATACGAGAAAGGGACAAAGAGTTGTCCGCCCTTTTTAAAGGGTAGACGACTTTGATATATCCCATATTCTTATCGTAATTGATAAGAGATTAAATAATGATAGATTTTTAATGGTTATTTTTGGAGTTAGTTTTTGATAGTTAATTGAAGAGATGTATTTGTTTAAGTTGTTCATTGTGTACACCAGTCTTACTGACCTGTGTGAAACCACTCTAAGCATGATGGGAACGCACTACTTTTTACATGGCGGCTTGAACACCGAAGTGATAGAATAAAACGCAAACGGGGCCAGTTGAAAAATTAAACTGTTTCCATACCCTGTTGGCAACATAGCTATTGCATCATTTTTACTCAAAACATGCATCAAACACTCCTTCTGACAATCCATTAGTGGTTTTACAAACTCAGTTTCGTTCAGCACGCGTGATAGTATGTTTAAAACCGAAAGTGAAAGAAGTTTTGAATATTTGAATAAATAGTAACAGTCGAACTATCAATAGCACTTGCAATATTAAAATCTGGAAAACAGTGATCCCTTGGAAGCAATAAACGATTTTAATCACTTGAAACGATATATAGTGTTTTATAAAATAAAATTGTCATCCCTACGCGGACTTCTTTATGTCGGAGTCATTTTTACCCTCATTTGGGGTGAGTAATGCGTCGTAAGACACAGGTCGATATTTGAGAGACCGGTGTGTATACAATGGAAGTTGTTAAGACTGTTACTTTGGTTTTGACTGTTGGCAGAAAATAGAAATGATGCATTAATTTGGTTTACTGCAATAAATATAATCCTGCTTTCACTTGGTCTTTTCTTATTCATTATACCAGCATATAAATGGTTTACTTTTTAAACGAAAAGAGTGAATAAACAAAAAATTTCATAACACTGGCGACAGTGGTGAGATGAAAACGAAATAGCACAAACACAACAGAGAATTTTTGCAACACGTTTCAAACTTTACCGAATCCCGTATTGACACGACACGCGGTAGGACATTCACCAGGACATTGGAATTTATCGAATATTCTGCTGGCACGACATTCGACAGAATATTCAGAAGTACATTAAATTTTTTAACGAATTCTCTGCTGGCTCGACATCCGGTACGACATCCACCAGGACATTAACCTGCTGATTTAACCAAAATTAAACAAATTGTCAAGTCTTCTATACTATTGTGGTTCTCCAGCTTTATTAGTGAATTAGGACATTATTTCTAGTATTGAGTACATACCTGACCTTCCGTAAACTAACAGGGTATCTTCCATAACTGGATTAGATAACTGTATTACAATATGGCAAGCGATTGGTTGAAACATTTGCCAGGAAACATGGTATACACGTCCATTCGTTTGGACATCAGGTTTTAAAGTTTAAAAATTATGTTAGAAATAAACACTAGAGAAAATTGAAAACTTTCTTCCCCTTATTAAGTTCACATCATTTGTGTATTTGTGTACAATCAAGAATTCTTTTAAATTGTATCTGTAAGTTGGTATCAAACATGCTTTATGATGTTTTCTTAATTTGATTACTTTTTACTTTACAATAAGCAGAAGTTCGCATTTGTATAGTTTATGTAGATGAGGTAAGATATTTTTCATTGTGGAAAGCAGCTAGTGGATGGTGAAGTACTTCAAGGTAACTGTGTTCACAGGGAAATCTGTCATTATTTTATTAAATCAATATATATAATATAAACAAGGGATACAAGTCGTGGCCTCGCACTACCAGCACGGGTTCGTAAAATGCATTCAGACGTGTAAACTGTATAAAATATCCTCTATTCCATCAAAGTAATTGTAGAAGTTAATATATGAACGAGTCATTTACCAAGTTCTACTACAAACACTTCATTAAAACCTGTAACATTGCAGGAAATAGCTAACATTTCAATATTTACATTGGCTGTCAAGTTGTCATCCATTTTGCAGGTGTGTTTATGTTCCGAGTATTTTCATTGGCTGATGAAAAAACTGCTATTTGTCGCGGCTATATGCCGTTATTATCCGGATTATTATTGTTCATTAGCCAATGAAATTGACAGTTACTAACAGAAGTTGGATTTACGCATTGGAACATACGGGCAACATCAAAATGGAAGCCGAGGATAGAACTTATCAAAACAGACAATAATTGTTACAATAATTTGTACCAGAAGTTAATGATTGCATCATTGATGGTGGTAGATGATTGATATTTAACTGATAACCTGATTAAACTTTCTTATATGAGCATACGTTTGCATTAGATGTCGTTTTACACGTGTAATTTTACAAACCGAAATTTTACGAACGTGTGTAAAAATGAAACATAAAAGGTTATTTTTAATAATATCTTGTCCATGTTACAAAGTGAGTCATTTTTTTTGAAATTATCGATTCTTTCATCAATGTCCAACAATCAAAAGAATAAAAAATGTTGTATACTGCGTTCTATTTACTTTTTCATGACTTGAGCAATTTTGAGTTGTATCCCTTGTCATATTATATATATAGTGGGAAAGGAAAAAAATGACAGAATCCCCTGTGACTGTGTTGGGGCCCGTCCTTTTTATTATGTTTGTGAATGATATCACAGATAATGTTAAATCAAGTATCAAAATTTTTGCCGATGATACAAAATTGTATACACAAACTAGTAAGTCAGGTGTTTTCCAAGATGATATTGTCTCAATCTCAATTATGAACTGGGCAGAAAAATGGGATATAAAGTTTTAGGTTGATAAATGTAAGGTGATGCATTATGGTCATACAAATCCGCAAAATCAGATACTCAAGAGGATTGTGATATAGGAGTTGCTTTTGAAAAAAACAGATTTTAAATTTAGCAAGCATTTTTCTGCAAAGATTAACAAGGCTTACAGTATTCTAGATCTTATAAACAGGTCCTTTGAGTTTTAGATGAATATACCTTATTTAGTTTGTTAAATTGTAAAGGTGTTGATGCGTCCGTATGTAGAATTTGAAAATGTCGTATGGAATCCATAAATAATCAAAGACATATCAAAGATATATCAAGTCTAGTAAAACTTCAACAAAGAGCAACAAAGCTAGTTCCATCATTGTAAGATCTGACATACATTGACCGTATAAAAAGCTTAAAGTGACAAGTCTAACTCGTCGTAGAAATGATAAGAAGTGTCATGTTTCAGACATGTAAAATTATTAAAGGTTTAGATTACTGCACTTTAAAAATAGTTTGGTTATAAGAGGACATGATTTAAAACTAGAAAAGCCTCGTAGTAGGACAACTCATTGCTTGAATCAGTTTTCACGACGAGTAATTAAAACATGGAATAATTTACCTTAATGTAGTAGATTGTAAAAGTGTCCATGAATTTAAAATCAAGCTGGATCATCACTGGACCGGAGAAGTACCATACCAAATTTAAGATGTTAACTGTATCATCATGTATGACATATACAACAATGTAAACTGAAAACTGTGTAAGTGCATATAAATAATTGTACTAGCGATGAGACCAGCATGAATTACATTATTGTAGTGGCGAAAGTTTGACAAAAGGTGAGAGGCTGAAAAAGGGCCTAGCCCTTCTATCAGAGCCCAAAATCACCCTACAGGTATCCTACAGGTATTTTGGCGATGGTTCCCGAGTCATGTTAATACATTTTCAGGTTACGCATATTTAAAAGGTAAGCAATGATTGATTCAATAATAGTAATATGTTCATGCATCTACAAGATAAGGAAAACAAAAGAGGAAGCAAGCTGTCCCGAATCAATATAAAGTGCATAATAATGCTTGAAATCCGGAGTTACTTCGACTTCCCTTCGTGGCGTGCACGTCGCTCGGAGGAGTTCATAGGTCACACCAGATGGTGACCTAGTTAGGTCACTTAGCTGGTGTGACCTAACCAACGGCGAAGGGTGTGGCTCTACGAAGTGCTGCTGTCTCCAGTAAGAGGTGCTTTTCCTTCTAATGTCATCTGCATTAAAGATGCGACGAACCTAGTCCTAGGTCGAAAGACGGCTTGAGAAGACCTCCGTTGCAGGCTCTACGACCAGCGACGTAACTACGACCAGTGACGTAACAGAGGCTGGTAGTCTGGGACATATGGCATAGTCGGCGCTCAGTATAAAAAAACTAAAATCATCATCATCAAATTGGGAGTTGGTATTTTGGCAGTGCGGTGAACAGTCTACATTCCTAAAAGATATACCTAATTTCTATATTCCTAGTTGCACAGTGCATAGCGCTGTGATAAGGCTAAGAACTATTAAGTAGAAAGAAAGCAAGGATTAAAGATTAGCAAATAAAGAAGGATTTTATTGGTTGATATATAGAAAACGTGATCGAGATAAAATAATGTTTAATAGGATTTCATTGGATATAAATTTCATGAGTTGTTTAAGACGTATATAAATCTTTCTTTTTTTTCAAATATAAAAAGAAAGTCTCGAGGAAAATAAAATTAATATATTTAATTCAATTTGGTGATCCATGCACATTTATTAAGTAATACAGATCATTGGTCTTTAATCAAATAATCATAAGGCAAAGAAGCCAGAGGAAAATTTACACATGCCTCCTGATGCGCCAAAATATTCCAGGAGAACTTGAAAATCAAATGTACCAGATTTTTAGGAAAATAGAAAAGGATCACGATACATTTAATGATTTACATTTCTGTGCAATTAAAAATTTTGCAGTATTTATCACCATATTTTGTACCTTTTTTCATTTTTTTCATGGATATGAATTTGGAGACATGCTGCTTGAAATCTATAATACGCAAGATGATTTTAATCAGTCTAACGATTCATAATTCTAGCAAAAACACAGCCTTAGTAGTATGAAAACTGAAATTTAAAATTAGATTTAAGGGTTTTATGGATTGGAAAATCAATAAAGTAGTATGGCCTATGTGATAAAGACATAAGTGTAAGGTGGTATGTGACATATTCGTACTTCATATTATTCTTAATAACTCAGACATCGTGTTTAGAATGTTACGTACTGAACACTTTTGATATCTCTATGTCATTGTAATTGTTTCTTGGTTGTTTTTAGGAAGTAATCAGTATTTTGGGGAATTTACCCGAAACTAAACATTTGGGTAGCATTGTATGTGCTTATGAATTTCCGATTGGAGGTTAGAAAGTTGAAAAATCAAGCATTGTCAGTTGGCGCCAAACAAGTAAGAAATTTTGGAAAATCTAAACGTATGACTGACAGTGAATTGGGGATTTTTGAAATCGCCATTGATTTCACTTTGTGTTCGTGATACTTTTTAAAGGAATTTGGCAAATTCTGGAGTATCTTGCACTTCCATGACTTTTAATTGGGGAGCTCACCGGCCTAGCAGAGTTCGAAGAGTCCTGTAGTTCAGCAGGCACCCGCGCAGCTGCATGGGCTTCCCCTAACACCAAGTCACCTCTGGATATAGGTTCAGATGTGTGTCGGGGAGAATGTGTAGCTTCCTTGTGCTGAGTTGTGTCTGAAACATCTGCTCAGGGGGAAAATGCTGGTTGTATGTTCACTGAGTACAGTAGATGACTCCGAAAACCGAAAGGTTGGATGTATGTTCACCGGGGAAAAAAAGAGACAAATATGAATCCCTAAAGAAAGCCCAACACGGCAAAATTGAAAATGTTGCAGGCTAGGTTTGAATGAGCCTGTTCATGGACGGTACTGTCAAGTGCAAACTGCCGTCCACGCCCCCTAGCACCGGCTTAAGCAGAATTCAACATTTAAAAAGAACTGGTAAAATTGAGAATTTTGAAACATCCGCAGATGTGTTCATATGACGGTTATCATGGAACCGTAAATGTGACAGGTTAGTGCCATTCCATGAAAAGCGGCATATGGTCATATGGGCATATAATTATGTCAAGCCAACGTCAGGCACCGCGAAGCGGGCCTCATGAGAAGCACCGTAATAACACTGGTTCACTGGTACCCCGGTACATACAAGAGAGATGGTTAGGACGGTCTGAAGTATTTCAGTAAACGATACTCTCCTACTATGAGGTTTTAGTTGCGAAAAATATATGTGGTTTATGGGATGCATAAACTCAGTTCGTAACCGGTCGTCTTGCTTAGCCTGGGACGAGGCGTAAGGGTATCAACCGAAGATTGGTGTTCTACCGACCTCTGTCGCATCGGGTCCCAGAGAATCTCGATGATATCTGTAATAGGCTGAGCACCCAAATTCAAACATCGGAATGACAAACCCACACGGGATATAATTACGGAAAAAGAAATTCCCTCGAAATGTCTGTGTCATTGGGCCATTATGGCCATATAAGTATTATTATTATCATCATCATCATCATCATCATCATCATCATCATAATTATTATTATTATTATTATTATTATTATCATCATTATCATCATCATTATTGTTATTATTGTTATTATTATTATTATTATTATTATTATTATTATTGTGTGTGTGATTTTTGGTGGGTTGGGGTATATATAAATTTCTATAAGTCTTTTTGTTTGGAGCAATGCATGTAAACTATCATTTTCTTCCATTTATTTCATATATCCTTGAATATTGCAGTGCAACTGGTTATCTGCCTGTGTAAAAGGTTTTGAAATATATGTAATTGTGTTTCTGGCCAAACTGTTTTTCAAAATTGTTAATTTTAGGTCGGCTGCCACTAATACGAGTCAACTAGTAACGATAAATCTGAGATAACATATTTATTTAAGACTAACATGATTGTCGTACTTGTAGAGGTGATAATAAACGTTAGTTCAAAAAGTTTATTATACTTTTATAATACTGAGAAGTTTACCATGTCGCCGACCTTTAGTAAAAAGTTATTGGATTTTCAACTTTATGTAAATGTTTTATCATGAAAAAAAATCCATGGAAAAATCTCTCAAGGGTAATTAAATAAAGCATTTAATTGAGTTAAAATTAAGGGTTTGGTGCACTGTTTTGGAAAAAAAACGGGATGTTTCGTGTAACGTATCCCTCAATCTGCAATTATATAAGCATTCGGTTAAAAAGTCCCGAACAGACACCAAATGACATATGTTTCTATGAGATGAAGGTCAGTCTTAAACTCGTTTCAAATACGAAGAATTTTGTCATCATGGAATTTTAAATAATTTTAACTGAACGAAAAAAAATAAAATGAAACAATAAATAAATAAAATGTACTGTAAGCAGATTAGGCTGAAAACATCATGATTAATTTAACCTCAAACATTTGTAAATACGCAATAATATGAAACAAATATATTTGACTTTGTGTAAAATGTTTATCGGCATAAATAGTTCATTTTATGGTCATGAAAATACCATTTTAACGTCAAAACTTGTTGAATTACGTGGGATCTTCTACTTTTTAATTAAACATGGAACAAGATATTTGCGCAGATAAATGAATACGATGCATTACTTTGGTAATGCCAATTCGCCTACGGCTTCTTATTAAATAAATTTATAAAATAGAGTATATATATTAATACAATTGATGAAAATATTATAAAACAAAATAGGAATTTTTAAACATATAGTCAATTTGTTGAAAAAAAAAACAGAACAAAACAAAAACAGAACAAAACAAAAACAACGAATAATTGATGAAAATATTATTATTATAACAAAATAATTATTAAAACTTAAAAAAAAATAATTCGAGGAACAAAACATCTGTGCCAAAATAAATGGATAACAAACTTTTCCTTATTTCTTTTCTAATCAGTAAGTACTTTTTTAATCAAAAATAAAAAGAAATTGTAGTTTTGATAGATGGGGAGGTATCACGAATATTATGTGGAAAAAAAAACAGTTTATATAGTACATATTTTAGCGAATCGTTTATCTTTTGTATTTATTTCAGAGAGAATGGTCTGCACGCGGGAACGATTTGTAGAAAATATTCACCGCTCACATTTTGTTACTATAATGTTCGGATGAAATGATTATGAGGTGGTAGGCAAAGCCAAGCGTAAATTGCCATGGTTGTAAAAAAACATGAAACTCTCAAGTGAAATTTTCTAATTCTTCTTTTTTGGAAAAGGGCGGATAATTTTAATTTTTAAACCGTGTGCTATTTGTTATTTGAATATTCGCCTTTTTCACGGTTAGTGCTGGACAGTTAAATTTACAGAATTTCGCCATTCTTGATCTTTATAATACTATAAATAAGAAAAAAACATGATAAATATTGAAATAGAATTAATAATTTGTGTTAAAAACGGAAGGCTGTCAATAATCTTCGATCATAATTCTTCAAAATTCAGATGCCATATTATTCCATATATAATGTATTGAACGTTCAAAGTTTTTCTTCTTACATAAGAAGTATGAAGTATGTAATTTGATATTTTGGCTTTAAAAGTGTGACGGTCGGAGTGTGAAGTTTTAAGTATGACGTTAAATGTTTGAAGTTTGATGTCATCATATATTTTTACATGTTAACTACGAGAGTTTCAAACTTCGTACTTTGCAAGTCACATTTTACATTCCACACTTAAACTTCACAATTCGCAATGCTAATTACATAGTGCAGCTTTGAAATTCTTATTACAAACGACCCAGTTCACACTGAAAATTACAGAATTCAGCTTTTAAACTTCGTAAAATTTAAATTTCAAAACAGGCATCACACTTTTATCTTCATACTTGAAGCTTAACACTTCATTATGCCACACTTTGTGAGATATCTTATATGAAGTGTGAAGTCTGAAAAGAGTAGACTGAAGTTGAAATTTGTCAAAGTCAGCTAAAACGTTCTTGCTCAATCTGTTTCTGTAAATTATAAGTGTTGGGGCAGTATCTTCTAATTTTTAATATGATTGAAATATAGACCGAACAACTTTTGGGGTTTAAGTAATTACAAAAAGAATACATAAAAACTGCGCACTATTTACATCTTGCTTAATAATCATAGAATTGTTTATGTAAATACCTTAAGGCTAATTATACATGTATGTTGAAAATTTAAAGTACATTAAGTTTACATTAAAAGTTAATTGATGAAAGATTGTGATCTAGTTATACACTTCACGTTTGTAACGTCGCTTTTCATTGGATAATCATGAAGTTTATATAAATTGTTATAAAGATTGTTGACAGGTTATATGGCCCTATATAAACGGTTGTTGTAAATATTACCCAAGCCGCCAGGTTCATATTCGACAGCAGCCTTGTATATAATAAGTTATAAAGATTATCACTTTTTTCTCTAAAAAAGGAAGTTTGCAGTATTATAAATTCGGCGGCTTGGGTTGGTTGTTGATAATATAACCCGAGTCTAGCGGCTCGGGTTATATTTACAAACAGCCGTACATATTGGGCCATATTACCCGTTAAAAATCTTTATAACTAATAATATACAATCATGTTTTTCACCTGAGCACAGTGTGCAAGTGATAACTATTAAAATCATTTAAAATGTCCGTCGTCCACAATTTTGGATTGTTTACAAGTATGAGATTATAAATTTTGATATCTTTGACACATATATTTTTTATTTAGTTTTTAGAAGATTTGATATGAAATTGACCATAGGCTAGTCAAATACCTTATGCAACATGTAAACACATATGTCAAAAAATTGATTAAGGACAGTTCCGAACAAAATGGGAAGCTGGACAAAACTGATTCAAAACTTCAGCATGCTAAAGACCCATTTTGCGTCAAAATGTTTTTTCTTCATTAGAATTCGAAGTACCAGTCATAGGTTCAGTAATATTTCGATTATGGATTTAAAACATATGTGATGCTCAAATCCAAACCGTGAAATCATTATTCGTAAATGCAGCAACATGTAAACACAATGGTATTTTGCTTTCCATACAAAGTACAAGATCTTATCAAAAAGCAGGAATCAATGCTTTTTTGTTGTTGATGGTGGTTTTGTTGTTGTTGTTGTTGTTTGTTGTTGTTTTTTTCTTTCAGAAATTGTAACAGGACACTGAAAATAAAAATATTTTGAGAAATTACAAAAGGAGCATTTTAGGGGCTTAGTGGGCCTTTAAGGATAAATGAATATGAAAAAAAAACATTTGATACGCCCCAGCAATTTATCAATTATATATTTATAAATGATGTCATATATGACGATACATCTTATTACTCATACAGAGTTTAAGAGGTTAAGTAATAAGAACAAGTTTTTCTTAAAACCACAAAATTTAATTTCTATGATTAGTCATAGAGTAATAATACATAGGTTAAGATCCTCAGAGAAACCGTTAATTAGATAACTTATTAATAAGTTATTTTAAGATATCGAACCGTTGTTTACGAAAAAAAGACAGAAACACAAATCAGATTTTTTAAACATTCTAAACCGTAACAAAACCACTTGGTCAAACTGTCTTACGGAATGTCGGTGCTTTCACTTAACAAAATAATGAATGAAAATTCACATGAGATATCGAGATATCCCTCCACCAGTAAAGCTGAACAATTGTCACTTGACCTTTGCAATTTCGGTGTAACTTAGAACCCAAAAGAACAAGCAAAAACCATGACAAGTGGCCGTAAACTTTATTTGTTTTTATATTTCGTTACTAATGTAATGGTATATAATTGATACAAAGAATGATCAATTATTTCATGTTTTATAATACTGCACGTTAGTAACATCGCTTTTCATTGTCTGATCGTGATGTTTATATATTTTTATAGACGGCTGTCGTCAATTTATGAAGAAATTACATTTTATAAAAAAGAACGTTTGTTTTATTATAATTTCGTTATAAAGATTATTGACAAGTTATAGAGCCGTATATAAACGGTTGTTTGAAAATATAACCCTCGCTCGTTAATTTCAGACCAAACAAGTTTAATTTTAGTTTGTCCTGTGATAAATAAAGCACGGACTTGCTTAGTTTCTCGTTAATTTCAAACCAAACAATACGTATTTCAGCTTAACATCCGATAAATACAGCACAGCTTGTTACTTTCTCTCTTATGGCATGCCAAATAAGTAGCAACTGAGCGTATTCTTTGAAAAAGATATCACACATTTGTTAAGTTTCTCTTTTATTTCAGGTCAAACAAGTAGTATCTTAGCTCGCTCTGTAATAAAAACATATGAAAAATCTAGTGATGTAGCAAAATGGACTGTATTTATTGGTATAAAAAATGACGAATGTGCTGGCCTACAGGTCAATTCAGACTGGATACTCACACTCGGAGAATGTGTTGACTCAAGGTAACTAAATCTTCTATATTATACTTCATTTTTGTAACGTCGCTTTTCATTGGATAATCGCGACGTTTATATCAAAATGATTTTTTAAAATTTGATACTGCACGCTTGTAACGTCGCTTTTCATTGGATAATCGTACGTTTAATTAGTTTTATATACACGACTGCTGTCAATTTATGAAGAAATCCCCCAAAAAGATGCTTGTTGTATATAAATTCGTTATAAATATTCTGACAGGTTATATTGCCGTATATTGTTTGCAATATCGCCTAGTGGCTCGGATCATATTTCCAATTATCCGTTAATATAGGGCCATATTGTCAAAAATATTTACATGTATAACTAATAATATACACGGCTGCTGTCAGTTTATGAAACAATCTCACTTTTCCATACACAAAAAAAAAAGGTTTGCTGTATTATAGATTTGTTTTAATCGTCCTGACAGGTTATATGACCATACCATATATAAACGGTTGCTATTACTGATCATTTTCAGAAAATTATCGAAGATTAAAGTAACTTTTTCAAATGGAAAACAAAGTAAAGTCATTGCTGAGGAAAGGGTAAGTTCTTTAACGTATTACATCTAAATTTCTAAAATAATGAATTTAAATTTCTTTATTTTTCATGGCTAGAACATTATTATTATATTACTTAAGTAAATTTGTAAGAGCTGGAACAGTTTCCCTAAGTATAAAAAGTCCATACACATATTTCAATATTATTACACTGATTTTATCCCAAGTAAACGAAATTTATAACCTTTTTTAAATTATAGAAATTATTGTTCAATTAAAATTAATGAATATATATAATTTAGATACGATTTTGTTCAAACGTAATAAGGTTTGCTATTATGTGTAAACATTATCTTATGACGTATTTATAAACGCAATGTTATACTATGTATACGGTCCAAATAAGATTTTATAATGCCGGTAAGGATATCTTAAAAATAAAATTTTATCCAAACGAAATTTAATGAATGTGGCAACAAGAATATTATGTTTAACTATGATGTCACATTGAAGACTACATACAAATTGTTTGTTGTATATCAGTTACTCTGAACTGTTATTCATTTAAAATCAATATGTAAAAACTAATTGCGTTACATATTTCTGCGGCATATACGCATGACGTCATGTGGTAGTAATTGTTGCACTTACTTTGATATTTTAAGAACATGAGTACAAGATTTATTTTATCACATGTTGTAAGAAAGCGCTAGCAAGCACTTCAATGATTTTAAAAAGCCAACTATGTATCTAATCTCTTATTTTTTATTTGAAAGAGTCCCGAGGGCAAAGGTCTTTTGGTGCTCCTTAAGTTGGATGCCACCGCAGGGGTCATGGACAAGTTTACAGAGTTTGCATCGAGCTTAGTACCGAACAACTATCAATATCAATTATACAATTTAAATTCTAAAGGTAAGAACGAATATTCTTTTCAATACATTTATATCTTTATTAATGTAATATTGTAATAAAATTCCCATTGAAATAATAAACTCAAAGAAATTATTCAAAATATTAACATGCAATCGTAGTGTTAACCGTCCTTGCTTAAGTTCCAATGCAAAGACACCGTCTTATTTGCATCATAGGGTGAGCACATCACCAAGGAGGACATTCGTTAGGATTTATAGTAAGTTTATTACAATGTATGTTTTTACCACATTTTTTCTTTAGATGCAAATGTATATTAATATGAACAACAATTCCATTGAGGATGATTAAATTGAATGTTCAACCCCGACAATTATTGTTTGATGTAATCCGAGGCAGCCGAGACTCGAGGGTGAACACTCCTTTTTAACAACCATGAATGGAATGTCATATTTATTTTATTATACCGGACAAAATCGATATTTAAGATAGTCATCTCAAACAATGTTACTAGTTAATTATATCATTAAAAACGGTTTTAGGAAGTTTTCATAAAGACGAATAGGCAGAATTAAAACAGAAAATTAAAATAGAATTTCTTAAAAGTACTTACCATGTTGTAACAATACGATAACATAAATAGTTTAAGCGAAAATAAAATTGAGTGGCAACGATCTCACTTTTGTGTTATAACATAACTTGACGAACATTGATTCTAAATTATTGCCTTATTTGAGTTCATTTCAAGGGCGGAAAACATAAAAAAACTTGTTTTTTACTTCTGGATTATGTTCTTTCTTTTCATTGTTGGCCACAATGCAAAAAAGCACGCAATTCCATAAAGCATTTCCGTTCCAGTTTCCAGTTTGAATAAAGGGACTTAAAATTATTTAAAATATGCCAGGTTTTATGACTTAAAGGAGAGAGAAAAGGCAGTCCGCTCTTTATTCCTTCTATGACTCTAAAGGACGTTAAGAACATGACAATAAGAAAAAAAAAAGATAGTGTTACCTTCGGTGTGAATTATCTGCCCTTGAATAAAGCAAACAAAGTCCAAAATTCATGACAGATAACTAAACTAAAAAAACAAAGAAAAACAAGAAGTATCTTAAAAAAGATATTCAGCCGAACTAAAACTGGTTTATTTGCATATCGTGTCTTTGGAAACATGGAAAAAATCATTAGAATTATGATATTGAGCCTAGTATCTGGGACATACGTTAATTACCGTATGTCCCAGCTCGATCGTGAAAAAGCTAAAATAATCTGTAGGATACATGGAAATATGGAACTTATTACGTGTAGGAGAAGGCATGGTTAAAGAGAATTTAAAGATGTTCTGTCATCCTTAAGAAAAATATTTTAATCCCATAAATTTATTGAAACCACTGAAACTTTTATTGAATATGTTCAATTTGAATAAAAGAATTAATAAACTATGCATGAGAAGCTGCGTTCTCTATTACGGGGCAAGTAAAGTTGGTCCTGTCTTTAAAAACTGCCAGTTTTTACTACCTATAGTGTTAAGTACTTTAAATATGTATCAAGTCAGAACGTGTTTATTTTGTATATACAAAAAGACTTTGTAGCAATTATAAAAAATTCTTATAAAAAATTTGAGCATAGTATATCTTTAAAGACCCTGTATGTTTTGTGACTGATATTGTTCCTGTGTGAATACTGTGTGTGTGTGTATTTGCGTTTATTTATACTCGCCACCGGTTGCCCATATGGGCGAGTCCTCCAGAAGAGTATTAGTCATTTTATTTTTTTGGAGGATAGTGCAATTACAGATACAGAAAGATGCCCCAATTCCAGAAGCTTCTCCTGGTTCTTTAGCGTGCCAAGTGTTTAAGCACCCATACACGGGACCTCGATTTAAAGTCTCATCCGAAAGACTGATTAGTAATTTTTAGTTGGCCAGCCCGGGAATCGAACCCACAATGTCGAGATTACAAGTCTCGCGCTCTAACCGATTGAGCTATGCGGGCTGGTATATGTGAATACCACACATGCAAAATATCATATAGTATATAATTATGCCAATTAAACAATTTTCGAACATCGAAGAATATATAAAATGTGTACTGCAAATATTTGTGCAAATTATATTGAATCAATTAATTACATGCATTCTTTTCTTATTGGAAAATTTGACCTAGAATTTATAGAAAATAAAATTCTAATTAGCTCCCTTTATTTACATGAAATGTTAAATTGGGTAATATCTCTATAAATAATGCTTATTGGAACTTACAATATTGACATATCTTGAGCATCATATTTATGAAATAAAACCATAAAAAATTGTGTTACAGGATCTTTAACTTGATAGTCAAAGAACTTATGAATATAGATATTTCGTTTCAAAAAAATTAGACGCATGTACCATATCAGAAAAAAATCTTTTATGTTATTTTACTAATTTTAAAATGGCCAATCAGATTCCGAGATTTCAGAGTGTTATTTTGAAATGACCAATAGAATGGCAGGGTACAGTTGCGCTCAAAATAGAGTTGGCTGACTTTCCCTGTTGCCATTGCAAATGGGGAAAAGTTCGAAAGGGAGGTTACTGTTGCTCTTAAAATCGAGTCGGTTAGAGTGACCTCTCCTGAAAATGTTGTTAATGGCGTAAGAGTTCAAAAGGGAGGTTATCCCTGCGCAAAAGAAGAGGTGGTTAGAGTGACCTCCCCTATAACTATTGCACATGGCGTTAGGGCTCAATGGGGAGGTTACAGTTGCGTTCATTGAAATTAAGAGTCATTTAGAATTACCTCCCCAGAAAACATTGCAAATGGCGTAAAGGTTCAAAGGGAGGTGACTGTTACGTTACAAAAAGAGTTGATAAGAGTGACCTCCCCAGATAGCATTGCAAATGGCGTTAAGGTTCAAGAGGGAGGTGACTGTTTCTATGAAAATAATCGGTTAGAGTGACCTCCCCTGAAAACATTGCAAATGGCGTTAAGGTTCAAAAGGGTGGTGACTGTTGCGCGAAATGAGAGTCAGTTAAAGTGACCTCCCCGGTAAACATTGCAAATGGCGTAAGCGTTCAACAGGGAGGTGACTGTTGTGTTAAAAAAGAGTCAGCTACAATAATCTCCCCTGATAACATTGCAAATGGCGTAAAGGTTCAAAAGAACTTTGCATGAATGCATGTAGGAAGTTTAAAAAACTTTCTTATTCTGTATTTAGTCTTTTAAAGGTATTTGATTTTTTTATTTCTCCTAATTAAGATTACAAAATTTGGACCAAAACGCCTTTGTTTACGTTATCATAATATTTAAGATTTTCGATCATGCGACCACATACATGCATCGAGGAAATGTTTGAAAGAACGTGACCGTGCGACCACATACACGCATCACAGAATTCCCTCTCTCTAATGAGAAAGGGACAAAAATCCTTTTTCGTAAGAGAAAGGGACAAAGAGTTGTCCGCCTTTTTATTAAAGGGCAGACTTAAAACATATGCCATTGCCTTATCATATTGATAAGAAGGCTAATTTTCACATATAGGTCTTGAATTGGTTTATATACAACAATAGTAATGCAAACCAAGCGGGTTATCAGTTTACGTCTTTTTAAGTCCGCTATGAAAATTTAAAAAGATAATATTTAACTTCTTGGAAAATTTTGAGTTTAAAGTGTATTCTACTTTTCATTCTATGTATATAACAGAATTATGTTAATTGTGCAAAACATGAACGTATCAAAAACGTTTTATTTGCATTAAATATTAGTGATTTGTTTCACACCTTGTTTTCACATATTAACATGGGGGCATTTTTGCAGAAGTATTGTCCAAGGACGATAACTTGGGTCTATGTTTACATAGAAATTAATAACGATGCGAAAAAAGGGAAAGCAGGTGAAGCCTAATAAATGAAACACAGAGTAAATTGTCATAATTATTTTAATGTGCCTTGATAGTGCAGTAGGCAAAGCGTCCTTGTCAGTGTTGTTCCATGCATTTAGATGCTCGTATCATAGTTAGGTACCATTACATTTGAGTGTTTTATGTATCTTTTTCTTATTTGACCAATTTTTTCCTTGCATGAGTTAAAATATCTTTTGTACACAGGTTGATATGCAATTGTGTAAGAAATATAATGAAATGATGTGTGTGATATCCATATATTCAAATTATTAATATTTCGTAACCGTAGTGTGTTTAAAATCGTTTGATTTTTAAAAATTTTAAATAAAATTAACAAAAAAAAATGTAGTTAGTTGCTAAAGAGTGAAACACAAATGGAATATAAAATAAAGAAACATAAAATAGAAATAGAAATTCATAAGAACCGAATATAATATACAAATGATCATACAAAGGACCAAGTGAAAAAGGGAGAACAACAACAACATCATAGTAACATGGCAGAGCGAAGGGTTTAAACATATAAGTGCAAATCATTAAAAGTAATATACGGTGACTACGGTGACATTGATTTACCAAGTGAGCTTCTAACCAGGCACACATTGTTTTAAAATTATACTATATATAGTTGTTGAAACTTTCATTCTAAAACTTGAGCAGCACGCAAACATGACACTGAAAACCTTCGGCCGAAAAAACGAGAACGGTGTGACAATTAAACATTTTTTTTTTTTTTTTGGGGGGGGGGGGGTGTTTTTGCTGAAAATGTTTTTGTTATCGTATTTTAGCCACATTTTACCCTGTTTCAAAAAATTATCGAATAGTTTTTGTTTTGCCTATATGTCTAGATACGTCTGTGAGCAAGGGAGGTAACCGATGCGGAAAAGAATAATCCACACCCGGTAAATGTGTACAAGTAGTTTAAGTAACTAAAGGCATACCAATTTAAAATATATCATGGTAACCATAATAAAGTTACAGTATACAAAAGCTTTCAAAGACTTTTAAAGTTGTTCAATTCTGATTGATTTTTCAGACGTGATTACCAGTAATGACGTCACATATGTCAATTCAAAAGAGTGCACAAAGGATAAACGTTTAAAACAAACATTTGATCAGAAACAATACACGTGCTTGAATGCAGACGTTAATAAAAAGAATAAATGCGTTGTAAGTATAGAAAAAGCAATGAAAGTATGTATTTGTATATTTTTATGGTGGCTTATTTGTGCCATGTCATATTTTCTCTCTGTGTCGCGCCAGGCGCAAACACAACAATATGACAGTGTTCGTGACTGTCGTATCATCGTGTTTTCACCTTGCGCCCCGCGGAGCGTAAGTGAACAAATCAGTCATCCTTATTTTAGTGACGTTTTCTTTCATTTCTTTCTCTTTTTTTTCTTTTTTTTTGTATTTTTGCAGCTGTTCTTTTGTCGATTTAGAAGTATATTTATTATAAATCAGTTTCGGCTCACCGTGTTTACTTTAGTTCACATACACTTTTTTAAAGACCGTCAAGGTCTTAAACAGTATATTGAAAAGTCAAAAAAAATAATATTGTCAGTGCTGTAGACTTTAACACTATTGATATTGAGAACGAGAATCACTTCATTCAGTAAATCGTATAAATGTTATAAATGTCAAACAATACTTAGTTTTTGTTCGAGTGTATTACCTGTAAGGTATATAAAACTTACATAATTCTTTTTCTATTGCATTTTTTACTTGTTAATCGTTTTCAGAATTGCACAAAGTAATAAAATCATAACATTTCATCTATTGAATTGTCGAACTACTCTGCATTGTTACAGAAAATATGCACTGCATATGAAAAAGAATTTAAAGACACCATATGGCGTCAGATGTGACGTCAATGGACAATATATGACCAAAATAAGTCATTCATAGTTTAAATAGTTTATGAGTAATGAACTTCATGTCTTTTTATACAGTAAAGGTACTATACCAGTGTAAATAGAAAATGCTAAATTGTGTAGTCTTTATTTTTAAGCCGGGGTTACCTGTATTTGGTACAAAAAAGAAAAGTACCCTTTTACAGGGCCTTTCAACAACGGGCGAACAGTTTTGCGATTCTAAAGTTCAAGCAACGGTTCCAGTCAGCCTGCACAAAACTTGGATAGAAAGTGTTATAACCGGTATCAATTTACTATCTATTTTCATATTTATTGAAATTTTTTTTTTTGGTGCGCACTCGTTGTAATATTCATATATTCCGATCTAACAATGAACTAAACAAAATATTCTCTATAGACATGTATATTAGAGAGGAAATTAAACCATTGAATTTGCTGAGTAGAATAGCAAGCAATATGCAAGAGGTTTGCTGGTTACTATTCTAATCACCTCGTTCAGTGTTGAACTTTCACTCATTCAATACCCTCAATACCCTCTGAACAATGCCTATGTCATTATTCATCACATAGGATATAATACAGCCATATTGTGGCAAGAGGACCTTCATCTATTGTACATGTCCATAAATATACATAACAACACAAATATAATTATGTCACTAAACATATCCAGTTCGTATGTTTTGAATTATAAGAAACTAAGTACTTATTACGGGGCTCGTTTCACATTGAAGACGATATGTCTAGTTCAATGAAGCATGATAGTTATTTTGAAAATTGGTCATTGTAACAGAAACAAAAGAATATTGATTATCTAGATAATTTGCCGAATATTGTAGCTGTCAACACTGATTTCTTTATAAATGTATTTGACTTGAACTTCCCTTTATTCAATAAAATATACATAAAAATGAAATAATTATAAACAGCTTTTTAATAATATTCAAAATGTTTCAAGTTGAATAGATAATGTAACTTTTTGTATATTTCATAATTAGACTGTGGATCCCCGAAAAAGATTAAAAATGGGAAGGTAACCCTGAAGAAGAAATCATCGACTGGTGTTGGTTCAAAAGCAAGTGTCCAATGTAAATCTGGATATAAAGCAAGTGTTTCTACTATAAAATGTACATCTTCTGGAGAATGGGAAACGGCAACGTGTGACCTGATAGGTATCTGCATGTTCAACTAATTTAGTGACGTCATGACTAAGTGGGTAACGCGTCGGACTAGTTATATAAGGGTTGCTGGCCGCATGGGTTAAAACCCTAGTCAGGGGCAAGCTGTTGTTTCCTTGAGCAAGAAAGTATCACTCATTGATTAGTACTGGTTGGTTCCAGGAATGGATTCAAGAGTGTTCCAACACAATCGAACTAATATATATTTGCATAAACAAAATAATTTTCAAGATTTTTTTTTTAAAAGCAGCATGCCTCAAGAGTCATGCTGATCTTCGTGAAAAGTTTGAAAAAATATTTAAAGTAAGATATTGTGAAGTGAACAAAGAAAGTAATTTACGCATTGCAAATGGCACTTACAACCCACGTGAATTACACAAAATATGCAAAAATAGCCCTTACTGAGGTAATCATGCAGTAGTCTTATGGTTATTAATATCACGAAGTAAGAAATTAATCGTGCATAACGTATATTGAATCACTTTACTTTTTTTAAAATCTTGGTACATTTCTCAAATAATGATTTGTTTAAGATATTTTTGTTCATCTGGTGGCATTCAGTTTTAATTTATAATTAATTCTACATAATAATATTATATCTTATTTTATGATATACATATTCTCTTTCAATGTTTGCTATTGGAAATCTTGTAAAACCAAAGTCTTACTGGCTATTGTTTAAATGGTAATTTTCATACATGCGTTTTAAAGATAATTTGTTCTGTTTCTGGCTTAGTATAATTATCTATAATTGTCATTTTATGAAAAACTCAATACATTACATGTCGGTAATCGGTAAACCACCCACGTGACATCTATGCAATTACAAAATCGCTTGTCATTATTTCATGTTTTAGATTGTGGTTCCCCATCAAAGATTACGAATGGTAAAATAACCCTGGATAAGAAATCCTCGTCGGGTGTTGGAGCAACAGCAAGTGTTAAATGTACATCTGGATATAAAGCTAGTGATCCAACGATTACATGTACTTCGTCAGGAAAATGGCCATCTGCAACATGTGACTTGATAGGTAATCATAGAAATAATAAATTGACGACAGATGTTAACGTATTTCTTTTGATCAAACCATTTCATTCTTTTTTTTAACATATATTCTAACATTTACCTTATTTTTTTCAAATCCTATTTTGGCAAACTGAATCCAACATATTATGCTTATTTAAAAGTTATTCATAATCTTTGATACATTAGATTTTACGATGTTGAAAGTTTAAGATACACAAAAAGTTGTGTTCTTTTCTATGTAAAAAAAGTATTTGGCACAGATGACAAATGTTCATTAATGTTTTGTTAATATCGGTTTCGATTCATTTTTACTATTTGAAATTATATTTAAAAGCTCTAGAATGTCATTGCCCTTAAACATTTGTCTTATGTGTCATAACTGATTACTGTATTTCTCTACTTAATGTTGAAAAAGGAAAAAGGATTCCGAAAAACAGAGAGGGAAGTTTACACAATGATTGAGAAAATGTCATTATCAAGCTTAAATGGTATTTCAGATTGTGGGTCCCCATCAAAGATACAAAATGGAAAAATAACGCTTGCTAAGAAATCCACGTCGGGTGTTGGAGCAACAGCAAGTGTTAAATGTAAATCTGGATATAAAGCTAGTGATCCAACTATAACATGTACTTCGTCAGGAGAATGGCCATCTGCAACATGTGATTTAATAGGTAATCATAGAATTAGTTAATCAAGGACAGATTTTTAGTGAAGAAACCATTTATTTATTTTTTTTCTTTATTTCAATTTGTATATGCATTGCTTGCACACTTCTTCGTCATAGGTCTTCTAACAAATCAATGTATGTTATTTGACACAATTACTCAAACTTCGGTCATAATCATACCTTAGAATGTCAAAAGTTTAAAATTAGTATTACAGATATATTCTATGAAATGCGCACCACGCAAACGAAACACTCATAAAAAATCGGAGAATTGTAGTTCACTATTCATGTAGAACCATATGTAAGATTCCAATGCCCTCTAAAGCAAGATATATCTTGATGTTGTGGTAATGAAAGAAAGCAATCACAATAATAAGTGATATTTATAAAGATAGATATAAGATTCTAATACATATATTTTATTTTTAGACTGTGGTTCCCCATTAAAGATTAAAAACGGAAAAGTGACCCTGGATGACGAATCGTCTTCGGGCGTTGGAGCAACAGCAAGTGTCAAATGTAAAACTGGATATGAAGCCGTTGATTCGACGATAAAATGTTTATCTTCAGGAGAATGGAAAACAGCAGCATGTGTCTTAATAGGTAATATATATCTCTTTGTTTATCCACTGACCGGTTTCCCTTGTATTATTTAGTACTTATGTTCATTTTCTTAACAGAAACATTATGCAGTTTTGCAATAATGATAATTTATATGTCAATCAGAATGCAAGATGTTTAAATAACTATTATTGCAATAAGAAATACTTAAATATTAATACATTCTGCTCAAAATTGTGTTCCTGTTCATAACAGAATAAACGCTACTTGGAACCGGAAGTTGAACACGAATCTCCCGTCACCATGCTTCCCAGTTTTACCTATTTCCTTTTCTTGTTTACAGAATTTGCATGTCCCGATCGAGAGTTACTGAAAAGTTTCAGTGCTGTAAGAAAATGACTTCTGAAACGGCGTTAAGAGTTAAATACAAATTACAAAGCATGTTCTCACTTTTTGTACGAATATGCAACAGGTGCATGTGACATTTAGTTAAGCAAATGTCAGATATGAAATGTCAATGACTCCACAGCACGTGTTCAAATCTACTAGTTGATCTGTTCGTTCTAATCCAATGATGATTATTACAAACTTATCCATCCATCAATGTAAAAAAAAAAACAATTTGCTACATAAGATACTGAAAAAAGATCAGTTTTACACATAATATCGATTTAACAATGTTTTTTTTACATACCATTCTGAAGGTTGGTGGTTGGTTTTCAGGTGTTAAAATCTAAATTCCAGACTGTGGTGGTCTTCCGTCAATTACAAACGGTGTTGCTACACTGGATAATGCTGGGACGTCTACATTTGGAGCCACTGCAAGTATCAACTGTACTGCTGGTTATCAATACAACAAGGCGTCTATTTCTTGTCAGAAAAACGGAAAATGGACTAAAGCAAACTGCATAATAAAAGGTGAAACTCTGCCAAGAATATATGAGCCGCGAAATGACAAAGCCAACATTATGCATTTGCGACCAGCATGGATTCAGACCAGCCTGCGCATCTGCGCAGTCTGATCAGGATCCATGATGTTCGCTTACAAACTCTATTACAAATAGAGAAACTGTTAGCGAACAACATGGATCCTGATTAGACTGCGCGGACGCGCAGGCTGGTCTGGATCCATGCTTGTCGCAAACGCATTACGTTGGTTTTGTCGTGACGCGGCTCATATCATACCTACCAAGTTAAAATACACATTTCCGTATGATACTGTTTTATCAATTATCGTAATAGATGGAAGCCATTTATAATAAAAATGGCGGAAGTACTTTTTAAAAGTACCATGGTTGATTTTATAATACATGTATGAAGATATTTGACGTAGTATATCTTTGTATGTTAAGGTTATTTTTTGGTATGATATATAAAAACAAAATAACACACAATTTCAAATAATTTCACTTTCGTGTCATTGTCATTGTTGGATTTGAAACCTGTTTTAATTGTTTATTTGCTTTAAAGAATGACATATTTCTGTTAGAAAGATACAATTACAGTTTTTACGTAGATCTGAGAACATTTCTTCACTGTGTTTTGCGTCGTTTTAACTACTTCAGTTGATCTATGTAAGAATTGCAAATATTAATGTTTAAGGCTTTAAGAAATCTTCTGGTTTCATTTAAAACAATGCAAACAATGTATTACTCTCAACTATTTGGCAGAGTGTCATTAAGTTAAAGGAGCTTGTCATTAAGGAGTATCTATACAACATGCATAGACTTCGTTAATTTCCGTGACAGTTACGTAAACGCACGATCAATACTGAGTTAATGAGTCATTCTTTAGAAAATCTACAAAGAAAGTGTACATATTTATTGTATATTTTCTTCTTTTTTCCGATTCAAACTAAATAAAAATTGCAATATTATAAAACAGATTGTATAGTTTGGTCACGATATCGCGAGCGCCCCGGGTCATATAGATTTAATCGTATTTCTGTAATGAATACACATGTATATATTCAGCAAACTATGTAGATAATATATAGTGTTGCTTTATTTCACTACAATAACGGTACTATTTAAAAAATGGTTATGGTTACGTATGAATGCTCTATAACCTCTTCAAAATTAATATTTCCTCTGCCCGATCATTTTTTGATAGAAGGTTGGCGGCTATTCCGAGTGGTTAACGCATCGGACTAGTATTCAAAGAATTTCTGGCCGCGTTGGTTTAAAACCCTTCAGTTGTAAGATGTTGTTTCTGCGAACAAGAAACTTTACACTCATTACTAAGTACTGGTTGGTTCCAAAAACAAATTTAAAAGGTTTCATTAAGCTTATAGCTTCCACTGAACTAAAGAATTATATTAGTATTAACTATAAACTAAAGGGGATTGTTTTCCTAAACGTCATGTTGTTGGTTCGACTAATTGTCTGACATATACCTGATGATTATGAATTATTAATTCTTACCGATGTGGTTCATGCATATTATATATATTATATATTGCATGTTAAACTTGATTGATAGTTACTATTAATGTACATTTATTCTGATTCATGTTATGAATTCGTATTAAAGATATAATATACGTTTTTTAATGTGCTTTTCCGTCAAGCAAGGTTTCAAACCGGATTTTAGCTTATATTTTCTTTGTATTTTGATATTTAAACCCCTTAAACTTTAAATAAAAATTTCAAAGGTTTCAAAGTAGCAAACCGATCAAAAGATTATTGGTAAATCAACACTTGCAGTTATCTGTTTCCGTCAAATATAATATTTTAAAATTTGAGATTGATGTTATAGGTTTGCATCACCAAGGATCTAAGATCACGTGATGAAGCTCACAAGCTAGCTGACAGAGCATCAGTGATTCTACCCACGTGCCCGCTTATGTCTAAAATATTGCAAGGTGGATCACCTTAGATCTTCCTCAACCTATTAAACTGAAAATTCGTCATATGACCTCTGCATTGCTGGTGCGACGTAAAACCGAACAAAACAGTAATTTTCTATCATTTATAACTGCATGCCTCCAGATGAACCAGAATATTTCAAGAAATTAAATCTTGAGTTAAAAAATTACTTTAATTTAAGTAAAAAGAATTAAGATAGAATAACTAACTTATGTTTAAACCGATAAATGACTTTCCCGTCATCTTTCTATTGTGTTACAAACTCAGTAAGGACTATTTTTGCATATTTTGACCTATTTTGGTAATTTACATAGGTTGTTTATGCTGTTTGCAATGTAAAAAAATATTTTCTTTGTTTTCATTTACATTTTCAAATTTTTTATGAAAAAAAAAACATGACTCTGGAGGCGCGCTGCTTTAAATGGTTACACATATTTTTACCATTCTGTATTAATTTGCTTTTCACTTAAGATTGTGGATCTTCATTATCCGTGAGTAATGGGAATGTGACATTTACAACAACAACGTACGGATCAAATGCTTCCCTTGTTTGTGATACTGGATACGAAACAACTAAGGCAACACTTGGTTGTCTTGATACTGGCAGTTGGGAAACATCGACATGTACTATCAAAGGTATTCATTAAGAATTGTATAGCACACGGGCTAAAAAGGCTCATGCATGCTACGAATAATTTAGCAAAGACAGATATAGAATATCAATAACTCCACAGCACGTGTTAAGATCTACTAGTATTTGATCTATTCATTCAAATCTTATGATGATTACTCAAACTAGCCATCAATGTAAAGCGAAACCATTCGTTAGATAAGATAACGGACAAGATCAATAAAACATATCTTATCGATCAAACAATGTTTTTATACCATTTTAACGTGGATGGTTTTGAGATGTTAAAATTCTGATTCCAGACTGTGGTGGTCTTCCGTCAATTACAAACGGTGTTGCTACACTAGATAATGCTGGGACGTCTACTTTTGGAGCCACTGCAAGTATCAATTGTACTGCTGGTTATCAACACAACAAGGCGTCTATTTCTTGTCAGAAAAACGGAAAGTGGACGAAAGCAAAATGCATAATAAAAGGTTAACATCTGCCAAGATTAATTGTAAATTGGTTATCATTTTGAAAAAGTTGTTCGAGACAATCATAAAATTTTGTATACAACATTGTATACTATATTATTATTATTCCATGACATCATAATTAGTCCTTTCCTTTTAGATTGTGGATCTTCTTTGAGTGTGAGCAATGGAAATGTGACATTTACAACAACAACATACGGATCAAGTGCTTCTCTTGTTTGCGATACCGGATACGAAACGACTAAGGCAACACTTAATTGTCTTGACACTGGCAGTTGGGAAACATCGACATGTACTATCAAAGGTATGTGTGTAACCGTTTTCTAAAAATTACGCACTTCTTACGAGGTGGAATTGTTGGTGCACAATTTTATGCCAAAGTAATTAATTTGTAAACAGGCGTTTAATACAAAAATTTCCAGATACAAGCATCTGTTTACAATATTTGAATATATTGTTAAGCGAACAATGTTATAAAGAATCAAATGCACAAGAGAACTATATAGAACAGAAGAACAACCTAATGCAATTTTAAACGTTAAAAATAGTAAATTGAACCATTGTATACTTTTCAAACTAGATTTAATAACAATTTTCATCATATAATAGTGTTTCCCTTGAATGATATAATTAGATTGCGGTTCTTCATTGAATTTGGGGAATGGAAATGTGACATTTACAACAACGACATACGGTTCAAGTGCTTTCATTGTTTGCGATACCGGATACGAAACGACTAAGGCAACACTTAATTGTCTTGATACTGGCAGTTGGGAAACATCGAACTGTACCATCATAGGTATTAATTGGAGCCCTGACTATATTTTAGTGTGTACATTTATAGTTTGAACGTGTTTCGTTTTAGGAATAATTGCTACATACTGTTGTACTGTCAATTTGAGTGTATCATTTGTGTTTAAAAAAATGACAATTTTTATTTAAAAAGCAAGATTTGGTAACCTAATATAAAGCAAAGTCAACATTGCCGCAAAATACGCCCGTCACAAATGCTTTTGTCAGAGATGTGGGCATTACAGGGATGTATATTGAGATACGCTCAGGTTAACATTTAGACAATATCCGGATAGTTTATCACCTCTAGTGACATTTACCTCACAAATTTAAAATAAATTACATTTGTTTCACTTATTATCATTTGCTACTATTTGTATTACGATCCATTAAAAAATGATGCCTAAATGGTCCCTTAAATCAACCTTTGACTTCTGTAGTAGGGAACTGGTTTATATACGATATATTTAGCTTTACAATGGTAGTCATGATGACCATTTGTCCTTAAATCCCTCAATAAATGATGACTTAATAGTCTGATTACATTTTTTCATATTTTCTTCTGAACTTTGACCTAGTGACATTGACCTTGGTTGGAGTGACCTAAATTTTGCACGCGACATTCTGACTCACAGTTGTAAATATTTGAGCCAAGTTATATTGAAATCCCTCCATGTATGTAGAAGTTTTGCTCCTGAAAAGCGTTTTTTTATTGACCTCTTAGTGTTACATTGACCTTTAACCTTGATATCTGGTTCATGTGCGCGACAGAGCTTTTTATAGTGGTTAATATTTCTACGAAGTTTAATTAGAATCCCTTCAAATGTTAAGGACAAAATGTCTATATTTTATCATATTTATTGACCTGACTATCATCTTAAAGATAGTGACTCTTACCTTGCATATATTAACCTAACTTTCATGTTCCAAACCAGTAGTCATGTAAATCCTACAATAAATGATTATTGAATAGTCCGAGTACATTTTTTCATATTTTTATCAGAATTTTGACCCCTATGTGTGACCTTAATCTTGGCTGCAAGGACCTTAATTGAGCACGCGACATTCCGATAACAATTGTGAACATATGTGCCAAGTTATATTGAATCCCTCCATACAAGAAGTTTTGCTCCGGACAAGCTTTTGTCAAAGACTTATAAGTGTGATCTTGACCTTTGATCTAGAGGCCTGGTAATGTGCGGAACAAGGCTTCTTATAGTGATGAACATTTCTGTAAAGTTTCATTAAAATTCCTGAAGACATGTAGGAGATAAGTTTGGACTCTACCCGTCGATCGACCACACAACGGCATGAGGCGAATTATTATACGACCCGTTTTTCAAACGGGCGTATAAAAATGAAAAGCATTATCCAAAAAACGTTTATATTAAGCTTTGAATTTTTGAAAGAATTACATTGTCCACATGTATTTTTTTGTAATATTGAATAATATCATCTTACACCATTGGTTTTGTTTCGGTTTACTGACTCTTTCATAATCTATACCAATTAATTGTAATAACATGACAATCCTTTTTCAGATTGTGGTTCTTCTTTGAATGTAAGTAATGGAAATGTGACATTTACAACAACAACATACGGATCAAGTGCTTCCCTTGTTTGCGATACCGGATACGAAACGACTAAGGCAACACTTAATTGTCTTGATACTGGCAGTTGGGAAACATCGTCATGCACCATCAAAGGTATTTATTTAACTTTTGATTGTGTAAAAACACTTTTAAAATTTCGCCCTTCTTACAACATAGAATTGTGTGCACAATTTCATGCAGAAATGAGATATTTTCTTATTAATTTGTAAACAGGTTTCAATTTAAAATATTTCCAATTGCCAGCATCAATATTCAACATTTCATGATATAATTCAGCAAACAATGATATAAAAAATCAAATAATTAAGAGAACAATAAAATATGCATTAATTATTTTATGCAATATTGAACGTCAGAATATAGTAAATGGTAGCATTGGTATTACTTTGTTTTCAAACTAGATTTAAGTACTTTTATCATACTGCTGTGTTGTCATTGCACGATATAAACCTTCCTTTCAGATTGCGGTTCTTCTTTAAGTGTGAGCAATGGAAATGTGACATTTACATCAACAACATACGGATCAAGTGCTTCTCTTGTTTGCGATACAGGATACGAAACGACTAAGGCAACACTTAATTGTCTTGACACTGGCAGTTGGGAAACATCGACATGTACCATCAAAGGTATTCATTGTAGTCTAAACAGGATTAGGTTTGTGGAATAGTTAATGTATACAGTTATACAGAAATGTCAATTTCATTATGACATAAATGTTTATAAAAACGACAATTTTTATTTATTAGCATAATCTTAAACAAGAGCAACATTGCTCTAAATACGCCCGTCACAAAAGCTTTGTCAGGGATGTTGGCATTATATAATTATATGCATATAGGAGATACGCTCAGATTAGTATCTAGAACATATCTGGATATTCTATCATCTCTAGTGACCTTCACCTCGCAAATTTAATTTAATTACATTTGGCACACTTGTAGTCATAAAAGTTATTATTTGTATTACAATCCATTAATTAATGATAAATGGTCACCATACACAAGCTTTGACCTCTCTTTATGACATTGTTTTTGTTAGCAGGGAACTGGATTAAATGCACAATACTTAGCTTAGCTTTTACAATGGAAGTCATGATAATGAACACTTGTTTTTTAATCCTTCAAATAAATGATGACTTAATAGTCGAAATACACATTTTTTTTATTTTCATTTGAACTTTGATCCCTATGTTTGACCTTGACCTTGCAACCTAAGTGACAAGTTTTACACCAGTTTTCATGTAAATGGCCATTTGTGTTACGACCTTTCAATAAATGATAACTAAATAGTCCGAATACACTTTTTCATATTTTTATCTCAATTTGACCCCAATGTGTGACCTTGACCTCGTTTGCAGGGACCTAAATTTTGCACATTTTGCGCGACATAGCTTATTTTACTGGTCATCATTTCTGTAATGTTTCATTTAAATTCATCAATGCGTATAGGAGATAATGCTCCGGACAAATGTTGGTGTATAAAGGTATATAAAAAATGACAAGCATAATCTAAAAAGAGTTTATAGTAAATTTTTGAATTTTAAAAGAAATACATTGTCCACATGATGTTTTTATAATGTTGAGTAATATCATCTTGTTCCACTGGTTTTGTTTCGATTTACTATTTCATAATTTACATATTTTTTTTTTGTATTTGCAAAACACTCCCTTTCAGATTGTGGTTCTTCTTTGAACGTGAGCAATGGAAATGTGACATTTACAACGACAACATACGGATCAAGTGCTTCTCTTGTTTGCGATACTGGATACAAAACATATAAGGCAACACTTAATTGTCTTGATACTGGCAGTTGGGAAACATCAACATGTGCCAAAGGTATTTCTCTGTCTAACTCTTATCTTTGTGATGGTTTCTAACACTAACGCACTTCAAACGAAGCGGAATTATGGGTGAACAATTTTCAGCAGAAATGACATATTTAAAGGTATTAATTGGCATTTTGTCTTTGTTTCATTTTAGTAAATATTCAGTATGAATGGGTTTAGGTTTGTTGAATAATTGATGCATTCAATCAATTGTACAGTAAAATCAATTTAACTATGATATTTAATTCTGTTTTAAAAAATAACAATTATGACTAATAAAAGTAAAATTTCAATACATAATAAAAAATATGACAAGTACATTTCAAAGACCATCTTCAGGGTAACTGGAGGGAACTTTAGGTTTACCGTCCGTCCTACTGTCCGTCCGTCTGCTCTCACTGGACAGTTAAAATGTGGCTTGAGGGGCAATAGGTAACTGTTTTTTTTTCTTTGAAGTCATTCATTCCGTAATGCTTTCATGTGCCTATTTTCTTTTGTGTGGCTAAAGAGAACAATAGAAAGAACAAAAGAGTAGCCACATTATTACTGTTTCGTTCAAACGTCTGTATGTCAGTCCGTCCGTATACAAAACTTGATCCCACGACAACGCAAAAAGTACTGAAAATATTAGTATGAAACTTGATATACGAAAAGATGGAAGCCTGGAAATAATGCACGTCCTTTTTTTTTTCTTTTCATGTTGAAATTTCAGGGATAACGCAAAAAGTACAGAAAATATTTCTATTAAATTTGAATTGTGGGTAGATGGCAGACTGGGAATTATGCAAGTCTTTTTGTGTTTTTTTTCCTATGTTAAAAACTTTAGTTGCTATGGCAACAAATAGACTGAAAATATGGCTAAATTAACACATAAACTGGATCTAGTGAAAACGCAAAAGTTTTAAAATATTTCTATGAAATTTGAATTATTGGTGGGTGGCAGACTGGAGATTATGCAAGTTTTTTTTATACTTTGTTGAAAATCTTAGTAACTATGTCATCAAAAAGTTTTAAAATATGGCAAATATAACTATGTTTGTGATGAATCAAAAAGTAGTGAATATATTTTTATGAAAATTAAAATATGGGTAGATGGCAGTATGGAGATAATCAACATCATTTTAATATTTACTTTACATGTTATAGGGAGTATAATGAGATCTGTTCTACTCATCAAGCGTCGGCATCCTCGTCAAGAATTCCGATTAAAGTTTTTAAACTTTTATACTATAAGTTCTTTACTTATTATGGTATTTACTTCAAACTTCAAATATATGTTTCTTATCATCAACCACATCATATGTGACAAAATTTACAACTCCAGTACAAGAAGAATTATCATTACCCCCTTGATCTTAGAATTCTCATGGAGAAAAGATGATTTCTATAACTTCCTTATTTCTTTATGTATCTACTTAAAACGGCATGTCTATGTGTCTTATTATTACTCAAATAATTTGGGAGAAGTTTGAATAATCTACCTTGACTTTTTCTAGAACCCCTGTGAACTAAGATTTTTCTATCAGCTTTTAATGTCTTTAACTCAACCTTCTGCATTTCAAATAGCATTTTCTTCAAACTCCAACATCATTATAATATGACAAAGGTTATAAAGTTAGCATCCATTAAGATTTACCCTCACAGTGTCTGTCAGAAAGTCTGTCTGTCCGTTCCTAAAACCTGTTTCCTGGTATTATTTTTATAGAACTTTTCCAGCAAATTACTTAAAATGATTAACAGTAGTTATTCATACTATCCTGAGAACATTGGATCTTTCCTTAACCTGTTGAATGAACATAATTTCATTAATAGGCAGGGAAACTTAACACATTACTAAGATATAGACACACTAAGAACTCGAAAGGACCACAATGGAAATAAGAGCTTGCTCTTTTTTGTGTTATCCTTGGTTTTGGGAACATGTCATGGTTTACATAATATAGTATTTATTCATTTATTTATTTATTTATTTATTTGTAATTGCTTTAATCTATATTGTGTTTGTTTATCATGTAACATGTTTACCTTTATGCCGAACTAAATCTATATATCTATCTATAAAGATTTTAAGTGCTTTCATGTCGTTCATTCATTCATCCAGTGGTATAATTCAATGACCAATAGACTGTCAGAATGTTGCTGGGGTTCTGACCGTTAGGGGACTTATGGATTGCTTGCAATACTATGAAAGTTGTTTGTTACTTTTGAATTTTGAATAAATGCAATGGCATTGTGCATATTATTTATGAAATTGAAACATTGTCTGGTAGAATAGTACTATCTTGTACCATTGGTGTTTGTTAGTTTTTTTTGAAATAATTTATAATTATCATGATTTATTTTGTATCATGTTATTACAGGACAATTCTTTAAAGACCTTGGTTCTTCATTGAATGGGAACATATTTAAATAGTTAATTTGCCAATACGCTTAATTTGAAATACTTTCCAGTTATACAACATTCCATGATATTTTTTTAGCAAATAATGTTATCAACAATCAAATGCTAACGGAATTGTATGTAATACAAAAACAATTTTATGCAACAACAAACGTAGAAATACAAGTTTACACCATTGGTATTAGTTCCATTTTCCGAAGAAGATTATATTAATTATATCATTATGTTTCCCTTTTACGATATAATTATTTCTTTCAGATTGTGGTTCTTCATTGAGTGTAAGCAATGGTAATGTGACATTTACAACAACAACATATGGATCAAATGCTTCCCTTGTTTGCGATACTGGATACGAAACAACTAAGGCATCACTTGGTTGTCTTGATACTGGCAGTTGGGAAACATCGACATGTACCATCAAAGGTGACGTCTTGTCTATGTATTATTTTTATTAATTTTAAGTCTGAACAGATTTAGGTTTTAGGAATAATTGATTAATACATGTTAAAAACTTGTCAATTTTACAACGATAATTATTTAAAAAACGACCACTTTGATTTATATAAGTAAGATTCTGCAACAGAATATTAGAATATGAAAACCAACGTATTCATTATTTTGAATTCATTAGAAAATTCAAAGGCCTGATGCATATTGTTTCTAATTTTGAATGTTGAATGATACTATCTTTTACCATTTGCTGTTGTTAGTGTTTTGAATTTTTCATCAGTTAAGTGATTTTTGTTGTACGATGTAGCATGAAAATCCTTTTCAGATTGCGGTTCTTCTTTGAGTGTGAGTAATGGAAATGTGACATTTACAACAACAACATACGGATCAAGTGCTTCTCTTGTTTGCGATACTGGATACGAAACAACTAAGGCAACATTTAATTGTCTTGATACTGGCAGTTGGGAAACATCGACATGTACCATCAAAGGTATTTGTTTTTCTAGCTCTTATTAGTCCAATCAGTTCTAAAAATTACACGTTTTAAACGGCACAATTTTTGAAAAAAAATTATTTAGAGAGTAAATATGTAAACAATCTTTAATTTGAAATACTTTCCTGATATCAGCATCTGTTATTGTTAATTTAACGTGGAATGATAGTTTTATGCACCATTGGTTTTGTTTATTTTTTTTGAATTTATCATCAGTTAAATTAATTGTTTGGAACGTCCTAGGCCGAGTTGTTAAGGTCGATGACTCCAAATCACTTGCCCCACACTGCTGTGTGTTCAAACCCGTCAGGGACTTTGTATTCTTTCATATGAGGAAGCTATCCAGCTAGCTTACGAAACGTCAGCGGTTCTACTCAGGTGCCCGTTCCTGCCTGAAATATGCACAGAAGTACATCTGAAGTCTTACTCCACCAGTTAAGCTGGAGCGTCTTGATATGACCTATACTGTGTCGATGCCATGTAAAACCCATAAGAAACAAACAAACAGATGGATTTTTTGTTGCATAATATGAAATGACAATACTTTTCAGACTGCGGCTCTTCTTTGAGTGTAAGCAATGGAAATGTAACATTTACAACAACAACATATGGATCAAGTGCTTCCCTTGTTTGCGATACTGGATACGAAACAACTAAGGCAACACTTAATTGTCTTGATACTGGCAGTTGGGAAACATCCACATGTACATCAAAGGTATTTATTTATCAAACTCTTATAAATGAAACGTTTCTAAAAAATTACGCACTTTAAACGGCACAATTTTCGGAAGCAAGAAAGACATATATTTAGATAGTTAATTTGTGATACCAACATTTATTTATACTTAACTGATACAGCATATGATATGTTTGTTTAGGAATCAATGTTTTATAGAATCCAATGCTAACAAGAATTTATTATATTGTATGCAAAAACAAGTTTATGCAATATCAAACGTAGAAATATAAGTTATGGCACCATTGCTAAACATCGACATGTATTGCAGTCTTGCCTTTGTACTATTGTTGTAAAATCTCAGTCTGAACAGATAAATCTTATTGAATAATTAATAAATTCAGTTGTATTGACATGTCAATATGACTAAAATAATTACAAATAATGGTAAGATCTTGCAAGAGAATATGAGAATATGACAGGCAACGTTTTAAGTATTTTCAAATTTTTAAGAAAATTCAAAAGCCATGTTTGTGTCACAGGGTGACAAGAATGAGCAGCTTGACCGGGACTCGAACCAAGGACCCTCGGAATACCGTTCCGCGATTCTACCGACTAAGCTATCCGGCCGCTTACACATTTTCTCCCTTATTAAGTGAACAGTTCTGAACGTGACATATGCACATTGTTTGTAATTTTTAACGTTGAATGATAGCTTTATGTACCATGAGTTTTGTTTAAGTCTTTTGACATGTTTTCTTCTTTTAAATAATTTTTTGTTGCATGTTATGACACGATAATACTTTTCAGATTGTGGTTCTTCTTTGAGTGTAAGCAATGGAAATGTGACATTTACAACAACGACATACGGATCAAGTGCTTCTCTTGTTTGCGATACTGGATACGAAACAACTAAGGCAACACTTAATTGCCTTGATACTGGCATTTGGGAAACATCGACATGTACTATCAAAGGTATTTATTTATCTAGCTCTTATAAGTGGAATCGTTTCTAAAAATTACGCACTTTTAACGGCACAACTTTCGGAAGAAGTGACATATATTTAGATAGTTAATTTGTTAACAATCTTTAATTTGAAATACTTTCCTGAAACCAGCATCTGTTTATAACATTATATGATGATGTTTATTAAATAATGTGTTAAAGATTCAAATGCTAACAAGAATTGATTGTATGGTATGAAGAAACAATTTTATGCAATATCAAACGTAGAAATACAAGTTATGGCACCATTGGTAAACATCGACATGTATTGCAGTCTTGCCTTTGTACTATTGTTGTAAACTCGCAGTCTGAACAGATAAATGTTATGGAATAATTAAAAAATTCAGTTGTATTGACATGTCAATTCGACTAAAATAATTAAAAGCAATACAGCTTTGATTTATAATGGTAAGATCATGCAACAGAATATGAGAATATGACAGGCAACGTTTTAAATATTTTCAAATTCTTAAGAAAATCTAAAAGCCATGTATGTGTCACAGGGTGAGAAGAATGTGCAGCATGACCGGGACTCGAACCCAGGACCCTCTGAATACCGTTCTGCGACTCTACAGACCAAGCTATCCGGCCGCTTACACATTTCCCCCTATTAAGTGAATAGATCTGAAAACATGACATATGCATGTTGTTTGTAATTTTTAACGTTCAATGATAGTATTATGTACCATGAGTTTTGTTCAAGTTTTTTGAATTTTCTTCTTTTTAATGTTTTTTTTGTTGCATGTTTTGACATGATAATCGTTTTCAGATTGCGGTTCCTCTTTGAGTGTAAGCAATGGAAATGTCACATTTACAACAACAACATACGGATCAAGTGCTTCTCTTGTTTGCGATACCGGATACGAAACGACTAAGGCAACACTTAATTGTTTTGATACTGGCAGTTGGGAAACATCGACATGTACTATCAAAGGTATTTATTTATCTAGGTCTTATAAGTGGAATCGTTTCTAAAAAATACGCACTTTAAACTGCACAATTTTCGGAAGAAATGACATATACTTAGATAGTTAATTTGTAAACAAGCTTTAATTTGAAATACTTTCCTGATACCAGCATCTGTTTATAACATTATATGATGTTGTTTAGCAATCAATGTTTTTAAGAATCAAATGCTAACAAGAATTGACTGTATGTTATACAAAAACAATTTTATGCAATATCAAACATAGAAATACAAGTTATAGCTTCATTGGTAAACATATATAAAATGATTTTTTGTTGCATGTTATGACATGACAATCCTTTTCAGATTGCGGTTCTTCTTTGAGTGTTAGCAATGGAAATGTGACATTTACAACAACAACATACGGGTCAAGTGCTTCTCTTGTTTGCGATACCGGATACGAAACGACTAAGGCAACACTTAATTGTCTTGATACTGGCAGTTGGGAAACATCGACATGTACTATCAAAGGTATTTGTTAATCAAGCTCTTATTAATGCAATCAAATCTAAGAATTACGCACTTTCACAAGCTTTAATTTGAAATACTTTCCTGATACCAGTATCTGTATACAACATTTTATAATATTGTTTAGCAAACAATGTTGTAAAGAATCAAATGTTTACAAGAATTGTATGGTATACAAAAACAATTTTATGCAGTATCAAACGTAGAAATACAATTTATAGCGTAGAAAAACAATTTATAAAATGATTTTTTGTTGCATGTTATGACATGACAATCCTTTTCAGATTGCGGTTCTTCTTTGAGTGTGAGCAATGGAAATGTGACATTTACAACAACAACATACGGATCAAGTGCTTCTCTTGTTTGCGATACCGGATACGAAACGACTAAGGCAACACTTAATTGTCTTGATACTGGCAGTTGGGAAACATCGACATGTACTATCAAAGGTATTTGTTAATCAAGCTCTTATTAGTGCAATCAAATCTAAGAATTACGCACTTTCACGGCCTAATTTTGGAAAAAAAATATATGTTTTTAGATAGTTTATGTGTAAACAATCTTAAATTTGAAATACTTTCCTAAAATCAGCATCTGTTTATAACATTTTATGATGCTGTTTAGAAAACACTGTGTTACAGATTCAAATGTTCATAAGAATTGATTGTATGGTATACAAAAACAATTTTATGCAATATCAAACACAGAAATAAAAGTTATGGCAGCATTTGTAAACAATGGCATGTACTATCAAAGGTATAGATATAGAGGTCTTGTCTATATACTATTTTTGTAAATTCTTAGTCTGAACAGATTAAATTTTATGGAATAATTGATAAATACAGTTGTATAGACATGTCAGTTTGACAAAGATAATAGAAAAATACAACGTTGATTCATAATGGTAGGATCTTGCAACAGGATATAAGAATATGACAGGCAACGTTACATGTTTTTTCAAATTCTTAAGAAAATTCAATAGCCAAGTATGCATATAATTTGTAATTTTAACGTGGAATGATAGTATTATGCAACATCGGTTTTGTTTAAGGATTTTGAATTTTTCGTCAGTTAAACGAACTTTTCGAGCATCCTCGACTGAGTTTTTAAGGTTGCCCCTCACCGCTGTTGGGTTCGAATCCGGACAGGGACTTTGGATATTCAATGTGAGAAAGCTATCCATCAGACTTACGGTACGTCGGTGGTTCCACTCAAATGCCAGTTGTGCCTGAATTAGGCACGGAAGGGCATCTGAAGTCTTACTCCACCAGTTAAGATGGAGCGTCTTGATATGACCTATACTGTGTCGATGTTATGTAAAACCAATAACAAACAAACAAACAAATGAATTTTTTTGCATGTTATGAAATGACAATCCTTTTCAGATTGCGGTTCCTCTTTGAGTGTAAGCAATGGAAATGTAACATTTACAACAACAACATATGGATCAAGTGCTTCTCTTGTTTGCAATACTGGATATGAAACAACTAAGGCAACACTTAATTGTCTTGATACTGGCAGTTGGGAAACATCGACATGTACTATCAAAGGTATTTATTTATCTAGGTCTTATAAGTGGAATCGTTTCTAAAAAATACGCACTTTAAACCTCACAATTTTCGAAAAAAATGGCATATACTTAGATAGTTAATTTGTAAACAATCTTTAATTTGAAGTAATTTCCTGATACCAGCATCTGTTTATAACATTATATGATGTTGTTTAGCAATCAATGTTTTTAAGAACCAAATGCTAACAAGAATTGATTGTATGGTATACAAAAACAATTTTATGCAATATCAAACATAGAAATACAAGTTATAGCTTCATTGGTAAACATATATTAAATGATTTTTTGTTGCATGTTATAACATGACAATCCTTTTCAGATTGTGGTTCTTCTTTGAGTGTGAGCAATGGAAATGTGACATTTACAACAACAACATACGGATCAAGTGCTTTTCTTGTTTGCAATACCGGATACGAAACGACTAAGGCAACACTTAATTGTCTTGATACTGGCAGTTGGGAAATATCGACATGTACTATCAAAGGTACTTATAGGTATTTGTTAATCAAGCTCTTATTAGTGCAATCAAAACTAAGAATTGCGCACTTTCACGGCCTAATTTTTGAAAAAAAAATATATGTATTTAGATAGTTTATGTGTAAACAATCTTTAATTTGAAGTACTTTCCTGTTATCAGCATCTGTTTATTACATTTTATGATCCTGTTTAGGAAACACTGTGTTACAGATTCAAATGCTCATAAGAATTGATTGTATGGTATACAAAAACAATTTTATGCAATATCAAACACAGAAATAAAAGTTATGGCAGCATTTGTAAACAATCTTATGTACTATCAAAGGTAAAGAGGTCTTGTCTATATACTATTTTTGTAAATTCTTAGTCTTAACAGATTAAATTTTATGGAATTATTGATAAATACAGTTGTATAGACATGTCAGTTTGACAAAGATATTAGAAAAATACAACGTTGATTCATAATGGTAAGATCTTGCAACAGGATATAAGAATGTGACAGGCAACCTTTCATGTATTTTCAAATTCTTAAGAAAATTCAATAGCCAAGTATGCATATTATTTGTAATTTTAACGTGGAATGATAGTATTATGCAACATCGGTTTTTTTAAGGTTTTTGAATTTTTCGTCAGTTAAACGAACTTTTCGAGCATCCTCGACTGAGTTGTTTAGGTTGCCCCTCACCGCTGTCGGGTTCGAATCCGGACAGGGACTTTGGATATTCAATTTGAGAAAGCTATCCATCAGACTTACGGTACGTCGGTGGTTCCACTCAAATGCCAGTTCGTGCCTGAAATAGGCACGGAAGGGCATCTGAAGTCTTACTCCACCAGTAAAGATGGAGCGTCTTGATATGACCTATACTGTGTCGATGTCATGTAAAACCTATAACAAACAAACAAACAGATAGATTTTTGTGTTGCATGTTATGAAATGACAATCCTTTTCAGATTGCGGTTCCTCTTTGAGTGTAAGCAATGGAAATGTAACATTTACAACAACAACATACGGATCAAGTGCTTCTCTTGTTTGCGATACTGGTTACGAAACAACTAAGGCAACACTTAATTGTCTTGATACTGGCAGTTGGGAAACATCGACATGTACTATCAAAGGTATTTATTTATCTAGGTCTTATAAGTGGAATCGTTTCTAAAAAATACGCACTTTAAACCGCACAATTTTCGGAAGAAATGGCATGAACTTAGATAGTTAATTTGTGATACCAACATCTGTTTATAACATTATATGATGTTGTTTAGGAATCAATGTTTTATAGAATCCAACGCTAACAAGAATTTATTATATTGTATGCAAAAACAATTTTATCAAACGTAGAAATATAAGTATAAGTTATGGCACCATTTGTAAACATCGACATGTATTGCAGTCTTGCCTTTGTACTATTTTTGTAAAATCTCAGTCTGAACAGATAAATTTTATCGAATAATTAATAAATTCAGTTGTATTGACATGTCAATATAACTAAAATAATTACAAATAATGGTAAGATCTTGCAACAGAATATGAGAATATGACAGGCAACGTTTTAAGTATTTTCAAATTTTTAAGAAAATTTAAAAGCCATGTTTGTGTCACAGGGTGAGAAGAATGAGCAGCTTGACCGGAACTCGAACCAAGATCCCTCGGAATACCGTTCCACGACTCTACCGTCTAAACTATCCGGCCGCTTACACATTTTCTCCCTTATTAAGTTAACAGTTCTGAACGTGACATATGCACATTGTTTGAAATTTTTAACGTTGAATGATAGCTTTATGTACCATGAGTTTTGTTTAAGTCTTTTGACATTTTTTCTTCTTTTAAATGATTTTTGTTGCATGCTATGACACGATAATACTTTTCAGATTGTGGTTCTTCTTTGAGTGTGAGCAATGGAAATGTGACATTTACAACAACGACATACGGTTCAAGTGCTTCTCTTGTTTGCGATACTGGATACGAAACAACAAAGGCAACGCTTAATTGTCTTGATACTGGCAGTTGGGAAACATCGACATGTACTATCAAAGGTATTTATTTATCTAGCTCTTATTAGTGCAATATCAAACGTAGAAATACAAGTTATGGCACCATTGGTAAACATCGACATGTATTGCAGTCTTACCTTTGTACTATGGTTGTAAACTCGCAGTCTGAACAGATAAATGTTATGGAATAATTAATAAATTCAGTTGTATTGACATGTCAATTCGACTAAAATAATTAAAAGCAATACAGCTTTGATTTATAATGGTAAGATCATGCAACAGAATATGAGAATATGACAGGCAACGTTTTAAATATTTTCAAATTCTTAAGAAAATCTAAAAGCCATGTATGTGTTACAGGGTGAGAAGAATGTGCAGTATGACCGGGACTCGAACCCAGGACCCTCTGAATACCGTTCTGCAACTCTACAGACCACGCTATCCGGCCGCTTACACATTTCCCCCCTATTAAGTGAATAGATCTGAAACATGACATATGCATGTTGTTTGTAATTTTTAACGTTCAATGATAGTATTATGTACCATGAGTTTTGTTCAAGTTTTTTGAATTTTTCTTCTTTTAAATGTTTTTTTGTTGCATGTTTTGACATGATAATCGTTTTCAGATTGCGGTTCCTCTTTGAGTGTAAGCAATGGAAATGTCACATTTACAACAACAACATACGGATCAAGTGCTTCTCTTGTTTGCGATACCGGATACGAAACAACTAAGGCAACACTTAATTGTCTTGATACTGGCAGTTGGGAAACATCGACATGTACTATCAAAGGTATTTATTTATCTAGGTCTTATATGTGGAATCGTTTCTAAAAAATACGCACTTTAAACTGCACAATTGTCGGAAGAAATGACATACTTAGATAGTCAATTTGTAAACAAGCTTTAATTTGAAATACTTTCCTGATACCAGCATCTGTTTATAACATTATATGATGTTGTTTAGCAATCAATGTCTTTAAGAATCAAATGCTAACAAGAATTGATTGTATGGTATACAAAAGCAATTTTATGCAATATCAAACATAGAAATACAAGTTATAGCTTCATTGGTAAACATATATAAAATGATTTTTTGTTGCATGTTATGACATGACAATCCTTTTCAGATTGCGGTTCTTCTTTGAGTGTGAGCAATGGAAATGTGACATTTACAACAACAACATACGGTTCAAGTGCTTCTCTTGTTTGCAATACTGGATATGAAACAACTAAGGCAACACTTAATTGTCTTGATACTGGCAGTTGGGAAACATCGACATGTACTATCAAAGGTATTTATTTATCTAGCTCTTATAAAATGAAACGTTTCTAATAATATCGCACTTTTATCTGCACAATTTTCGGAAGAAATGACATATATTTAGATAGTTAATTTGTGATACCAACATCTGTTTATAACATTATATGATGTTGTTTAGGAATCAATGTTTTATAGAATCCAATGCTAACAAGAATTTATTATATTGTATGCAAAAACAATTTTATGCAATATCAAACGTTGAAATACAAGTTATGGCACCATTGGTAAACATCGACATGTATTGCAGTCTTGCCTTTGTACTATTGTTGTAAACTCTCAGTCTGAACAGATAAATGTTATGGAATAATTAATAAATTCAGTTGTATTGACATGTCAATTCGACTAATTTAAATAATTAAAAGCAATACAGCTTTGATTTATAATGATAAGATCTTGCAACATAATATGAGAATATGACAGGCAACGTTTTAAGTATTTTCAACTTCTTATGAAAATTCAAAAGCCATGTATGTTTCACAGGATGAAAAAGAATGTGCAGCATGACCGGGACTCGAACCCAGGACCCTCGGAATACCGTTCCCCAACTCTACCGACTAAGCTGTCCGGCGGCTTTTCTCTTAAGTGAACAGTTCTTAAACGTTACATGTGCTTATTGTTTGATATTTTTAACGTTGAATGACAATGTTATGTAGCATGAGTTTTGTTTAAATTTTTGAATTTTCTTCTTTTAAATGATTTTTGTTGCATGTTAAGACATGATAATTCTTTTCAGATTGTGGTTCTTCGTTGAGTGTGAGCAATGGAAATGTGACATTTACAACAACAACATACGGATCAAGTGCTTCTCTTGTTTGCGATACCGGATACGAAACGACTAAGGCAACACTTAATTGTCTTGATACTGGCAGTTGGGAAACATCGACATGTACTATCAAAGGTATTTGTTTATCTAGCTCTTGTCAGTCTAATTGTTTCTAAAAATACGCACTTTTACCAGCATCTGTTTATAACATTATATGATGTTGTTTATTAAATAATGTGTTAAAGATTCAAATGCTAACAAGAATTGATTGTATGGTATACAAAAACAATTTTATGTAATATCAAACATAGAAAAAAAGTTATGGCTCATTTGTAAATATTGACATGTACTATCAAAGGAATTGAGGTCTTGCTTATGTATTATTTTTTTTTAATTGTCAGTCTGAACAGATTAAGCTTTATGGAATAATTGATAAATACAGTTGTATAGATATGTCAATTTGACTAAGATAATTACAAAAATACAACGTTGATTTATAATGGTAAGATCTTGCAGCAGAATGTAAGAATATGACAGGCAACGTTTTAATCATTTCAAATTTTCAAGAAAATTCAAAAACCAAGTACGCTTATTGTTTGTAATTTAAACGTGGAATGATAGTTTTATGCACCATTGGTTTTGTTTAAATTTTTTGAATTTATCATCAGTTAAATTAATTGTTTGGAACATCCTAGGCCGAGTTGTGAAGGTCGATGACTCCAAATCACTTGCCCCTAACCGCTGTCTGTTCGAAACCCCTCAGGGACTTTGGATTCTTTCATACGAGGAAGCTATCCAGCTAGCTTAAGAAACATCGGTGGTTCTACTCAGGTGCCCGTTCCACGGAAGGGCATCTGAAGTCTTACTCCACCAGTAAAGATGGAGCGTCTTGATATGACCTATACTGTGTCGATGTCATGTAAAACCCATAACAAACAAACAAACAGATGGATTTTTTGTTGCATGTTATGAAATGACAATCCTTTTCAGATTGCGGCTCTTCTTTGAGTGTAAGCAATGGAAATGTAACATTTACAACAACAACATATGGATCAAGTGCTTCCCTTGTTTGCGATACCGGATACGAAACGACTAAGGCAACACTTAATTGTCTTGATACTGGCAGTTGGGAAACATCCACATGTACCATCAAAGGTATTTATTAATCTTACTCTTATAAGTGGAATCGTTTCTAAAAATTACGCACTTTTAACGGCACAATTTTCGGAAGAAATGACATATATTTAGATAGTTAATTTGTAAACAATCTTTAATTTGAAGTACTTTCCTGATACCAGCATCTGTTTATAACATTATATGATGTTGTTTAGGAATCAATGTTTTATAGAATCCAATGCTAACAAGAATTGATTGTATGGTATGAAAAAACAATTTTATGCAATATCAAACATAGAAATACAAGTTATGGCACCATAAGTAAACATCGACATGTATTGCAGTCTTGCCTTTGTACTTTTGTTGTTAACTGTCAGTCTGAACAGATGAATTTTATGGAATAATTAAATAGATTCAGTTGTATTGACATGTCAATTCGACTAAAATAATTAAAAGCAATACAGCTTTGATTCATAATGGTAAGATCTTGCAACAGAATATGAGAATATGACAGGCAACGTTTTAAGTATTTTCAAATTCTTATGAAAATTCAAAAGCCATGTATGTGTCACAGGGTGAGAAGAATGTGAAGCATGACCGGGACTCGAACCCAGGACCCTCGGAATACCGTTCCGCGACTCTACCGACTAAGCTATCCGGCCGCTTACACATTTTCTCCCCTATTAAGTGAACAGTTCTTAAACGTGACATATGCATATTGTATGTAATTTTTAACGTTGAATGATAGTATCATGTACCATGAGTTTTGTTTAAGTTTTTTGAATTTTTTTCTTCTTTTAAATGATTTTTTGTTGCATGTTAAGACATGATAATTCTTTTCAGATTGTGGTTCTTCGTTGAGTGTGAGCAATGGAAATGTGACATTTACAACAACAACATACGGATCAAGTGCTTCTCTTGTTTGCGATACCGGATACGAAACGACTAAGGCAACACTAAATTGTCTTGATACTGGCAGTTGGGAAACATCAACATGTACTATCAAAGGTATTTATCAATCTTACTCTTATAGGTGGAATCGTTTCTAAAAATTACACACTTTTAACGGCACAATTTTCGGAAAAAATACATATATTGAGATAGTTAACTTGTAAACAATCTTTAATTTGAAATACTTTCCTGATACCAGCATATGTTTATAACATTGTATGATGTTGTTAAGGAAATAATTATTTAAAGAATCAAATGCTTACAAGAATTGATTGTATGGTATAAAAAAATAATTTTATGCAATATCAAACGTAGAAATACAAGTTATGACAGCATTTGTAAACATTGACATGAAATGTACTCTTAAAGGTATAAAGTTCTTGCCTTTGTACTATTTTGTCTATTCCCAGTCTGAACAGATTAATGTTATGAAATAATTGATTAATACAGTTGTATAGACATGTCAATTTGACTAAGATAATTAGAAAAATACAACTTTGATTCATAATGGTAAGGTCTTGCAACAGAATATAATAATATGACAGGCAACTTTTCAAGTATTTTAAAATTCATAAGAAAATTCAATAGCCAAGTATGCATATTATTTGTAATTTTAACGTGGAAGGATAGTATTATGCAACATTGGTTTTGTTCAAAGTTTTTTAATTTTTTTATCAGTTAAATGAATTTTTGGAGCATCCTTGACTGAGTTGTTAAGGTTTTTGACTGCAAATCACTTGCCCGTCACCGCTGTGGGGTTCGAATCCCTACAGGGACTTTGGATTTTTTATGTGAGAAAGCTATCCAGCAGGCTTACAGAACGTCGGTGTTTTAGCTCAAATTCCCGTCCGTGCCTGAAATATGCACGAAAGGGCAGCTGAGGTCTTCCTACACCAGTTAAGATGGAGCGTCTTGATATGACCTATACTGTGTCGATGTCATGTAAAACCCATAACAAACAAACAAACAGATGGATTTTTGTTGCATGTTATGAAATGACAATCCTTTTCAGATTGCGGTTCCTCTTTGAGTGTAAGCAACGGAAATGTGACATTTACAACAACAACATATGGATCAAGTGCTTCTCTTGTTTGCGATACCGGATACGAAACGACTAAGGCAACACTTAATTGTCTTGATACTGGCAGTTGGGAAACATCGACATGTACCATCAAAGGTATTTTTACCAAACTCTTATAAGTGTAATCAATTTGACTAAAATAATTAAAAACAATACACCTTTGATTTATAATGGTAAGATCTTGCGACAGAAAATGAGAACATGAGAGGCAATGTTTCAAGTATTTTCAAATTCTTACGAAAATTCAAAAGCCTTACGCATACTGTTTGTATTTTTACCGTTGAATGGTAATATTATGTACCATTGGTTTTGTTTAAGTTTTTTGAATTTTTCATCAGTTAAATGAATTTTTTGTTTCATGTTATGGCATGACAATCCTTTTCAGATTGCGGTTCTTCTTTGAGTGTGAGCAATGGAAATGTGACATTTACAACAACAACATACGGATCAAATGCTTCCCTTGTTTGCGATACTGGATACGAAACAACTAAGGCAACACTTACTTGTCTTGATACTGGCAGTTGGGAAACATCAACATGTACTATCATAGGTATTAATTTTAATAAAAATTAATATTATTGTATTCTTTTTAATTTAGCACTTTTAATATTATACATACTTTTGTTAAACAAGAATTCCCAATAATCTTTAGTTTTAAAGAAAATTGAATATTCTTAGAGCAAATACATAGCAATTCAAAATGATTCTTTTGATGATTGCAAAAGTAAATAGAGCAGTTTTCTAATAATATACTGATTTATGATATATCGGAAGTATATTACCAAAGCAGTCTTCCTTGCCAAGACCTCTTTTTTATCTTTCCATAGTTTGTGCCAAAACATATAATTGCAAATTATCCTTTTATACATAACCAAATTTTCATCACTTTTCATTTATAAATGACTTAAGTCTACCCTGTTTAAAATAGCATTTCTTTTTTCTTAAAGAAATTCACTCTTCGTACGTAATTATTTTTAAATAAATACTAATATAACAACATATTTATGTAAAATTATGCATATTATTATGTTATTTACGTTATTGTAACAAGTAAGTATAAATAAACGGGCCTTGAACGTGATTCTATTTCGAAAAAATGTAAAACGCAATTTTTTGTTAACAAAATTGTAAAACCATATATTTCAATAAAAACGGATAAGCAGTTTTAGTCACATTGTGAAAGTATATACAATTTAAAAGACATAAGACTTTTTCTGCAATTTCCATTTAGCACTCATTTCTACTGTTCTCATACAGCAGCATTAGTCTACACAGGGAACTAACGACTATATAGTTTGTTCCTGTCAATTAATTTGGTTATAGTCTTTAAGTATTGGACAACTTAACAGTTAAATCTTGAAAAGATAGAACCGTTTTTGCGATTTTTATATATTTTTATTAGACGAATATTTCATTTTCCATCTAATACTATCAGTAAAGAATAATAAGTAGGTATAACAGTTAGCATTATATTTCCACAATGACATATTTGTTTCAGTATTGAGCTTTTGTGTCAGACTTGTTGTTTTTTTTGTGTTTTCTTTCCTTGTGAGGAAGCGCTTTCAAACTACGATGTGTCCAAAACTTAAAAACATATGTTTTTAGCGTTACAAAAAATATTGATCACACCTTATCAAATTTATAATAAATACAAACAAAATTTGAAAAGGTAAAACAAAATAGACTACACTTTAAATAATTATTCATTTGTCATTTTTACTTAACTAAAACCCTTCTATTTCCTTTATTTAGTCACTTTATTTAGTCATCGCTTGGAAATTGTCATTCTCAATCAATATTTTAATATATTTAATATATTTTATTTTATATATCTTAATTTATATATATACATATTTATATCTGTCACGATTTTTCCTTTAACTTGTTCATTTGGAGTTACATAGCATTTCTTTCCTTTAAAGATTGCGGTAATTCTTCAATCAGCAATGGTATCTTGACTTACTCAACAACCACATACCAGTCTTCGGCTACTGTTACATGCGACAAAGGATATACTGCAAGTACTGATTCCATATCATGCGAAGCAAATGGATCATGGCAATCTGTGACTTGTGACATTGTTGGTGAGTAAGAACTACATCATGTACAAACTGCCAACTAAAATTGAACGAAAATTATCAAATAATAATCAAGAATACTTGACACCGTAGACTCCGTTATTTTTAGCAATAGTAATCTGAAATTATTTAAAGTTTAGCATTAGTAATCTGAAATATGAATATTGAAATCTTTTTTAAGATACACAACTTAAATTACAGAAATTTTATGAAATCTAGATGTTTTTCCACTGAATATGTCTTATGTCAATAATGGAATGATCAAACTTTGTTTGGTAAGTTGGAAAGTCCTCAGACTGTTATATGTTTGGGAAGTTGTATTTCCTATAACTGGCCAAGTTAATTTGTTCCTTTTTGTGTTGCCTTGAAAAGGTGACTTAGGGGTTACTTTTGTCGGCGGCGTCGGCGGCGTCTGTGTCAGCGTCGTTGTTGGCGTCGTTGTCGGCGTCGGCGTCCCCTAAAGCTTGTCCGGAGCATAACTCAGTCACTATAAGTCTGATTGACTTCAAACTTGGTATGCATGCTTCTTTCAATAACCCAACGTGCATTGCACAAGGACCGGTACTCTGCAGTACTTATTTTTTGAGTTATTGCCCTTTGTTAATTTTCATACTTTAATTTTGTCTGGGCCATTTCTCTTCAACTAAAAAAGCTATGGACTTGAAACTTCATAGGATGATAGATCTCATTAAGAAGAAGTGCAGTGCACAAAAACCGGTACTCTGCACTTCCTAATTTTTGAGTTATTGCACTTTGTTAATTTTCATACTTTATTTTTGTCCAGGCCATTTCTCCGAAAGTATAAAAGTTATGGACTTGAAACTTCATAGAATGATAGATTTAATGAAGAAAAAGTGCAGTGCACAAGAACCGGTACTCTGCATTTCTTAATTTTTGAGTTATTGCCCTGTGTTGATTTTCTTACTTTATTTTTGTCCTGGTCATTTCTCCTCAAGTATGAAAGCTATGGACTTGAAACATCATAGAATGATAGAGCTTATTGATAAGAAGTGCAGAGCACAGAAACTGCTGCTCTGCACTTATATTTTTTTTAGTTATTGCCCTTTGTTATTTTTGATATTTCATTTTTGTCCAGGCCATTTCTCCTATACTACATTGTTCACAAGGCGACACATCCGACTCGCGGAGTTCTAGTTTTCATAATTTGCCTTGTTTCATTTAATAACTCTTACGTTTCACATCCACATCTCTTTGTGCACTCAAAAGAATTTATTTTACATTTGAAATGGGATAGGGGTGATCAGTATTTAAAACTATCAAATTAGAGCATAGTTTACCTTTAAAAACTTGTAAGCTGAATTATCGCCATTGTTTCAAAGTTCATTAAACTTGAATACAGGGCGCCATTTCTCCCTCTTTATATATGGTCAAATAACTAAAATGTAACACAAATGGACAGTTTAGTCTCAAAATGTGTGCTTGTATAAATTCATTCTATTTATTTCATTTATTTTTATTGATCATTCTTTTATCACCAAGATACGTTTTCATTGAACTAAATTCTTTTCATTTATCTTAAACATGTTCGTAGTTATCTGTATATTTGCAGTGGATTTAATTCAATATTTGCAGTAAGGGACGCTTGAGTATCTGTAAATAAATAATATCTTATTAATTGCGTTCATAATTTTCCACCTTTTTAACAAATAAAGTCACTAATTATTTTCTTCAGGGAAGAATATATATATCATTGGTAATGTGGTAAACTGCAGAAATGGTTTTGTTTTTGTTTTACTTTCAGATTGTGGATCCTCTTTGCCATCAATATCACAAGGCTCAGTCACTCTTGATGATCCATCGTTAACTACTTATTTGTCTAGAGCCACTGTCGCTTGTGAAACTGGATTTACATCAGATAAATCCAGTATTTATTGTAAGGCCAACGGTGCCTGGTCAAAGGCAACCTGCACATAGATAGGTATTTTCATTTGTTGTGTTATGTGTTCCTTAGAAATAAACATCAATAACAACAAGTAACTAAATTTTTCAGTGGTTAAACTTGATCTTAAAGTACATCTTTTCATGTGTAGCTTTTAACAATGTATACCTGAGAGCCTTAACCCTAATCGAAAATACCAGAGTTTAGCTGTCAATGCTGTAGTGAAAACACGGCCATTATCAAGAATTTGCATGAAACGAAACGATACATAATGTAGAATTAAGTACAAGTATTTATGTGTTCAATGTCAATAAAATAATTTTTGCGCATCTTTTCTAATATTTTTATGTCCCCACAAAGTGGGGTGCATATAGCGTTGCACTTGTCCGTCCTCTTTAACCGGTTGGCTAATCGTGCTTAAACTTTCAGGGATGAACAACCTTAATGTGTAATGGTAGTAAAGGAAGGAATATTCGCTGCGACCAAATTTAACAGAATTATGGCCCTTTCTGGATTTTTTCACTATATACTTTGTAGAAATTTTGTGAAGGCAAATCCTCTTAAACCGAATGGCAGATATTGTTTTAACTTCTAGGGATCAACAACTTTAATGTGTAGATGGTAGTTAAGGAAGGAACTTTTGCTGCGACCAAATTTAACAGAATTATGGTCCTTTATTAATTTTTTCACTATATACCATATAGAAATTTTATGAACGCAACTCCTTTTAAATCGGAAGGCAGATTTTCCTTAAATTTCCAGGGATGAATAACCTTAATGTGTAGATGAAAGTAAAGGAAGTAATTTTTGCTGCGACCAAAATTAACGGAATTATTTTTTCACTATATATCATATATATATGTTGTCAGTGGGGGCATCCGGGTCCTTTGGACACAGTTCTAGTTTTTTAATTGATTGTGTTGTAAACGGTAGTTTTGCTATGATTTGTGAAGGTGGTGTAGTTTTCGTCTGTCACAATATTCCGATTTCGATAATTCGAACCTATCGATTATTCGAAGTAAATATTCAGTCCCAAGCACTTGAAATAAACGGGGTTGGACTGTAGTTTTTCCGAAATTCAAAAAATAACTATTGCACCTGACAGTTGCAATAAGGATAGAAAGCTGATATGAAACCCACTCTTAGGAATACAAAGAATTTCAACATCTGATTTTAGTCATAATTTATGTATCTTTCCACAATGTTAAAGTACAATCAATATGCCAACAACGCCGGTGTTGAACAGTTTTATCATGTGCTATTTCAAAAATAAATGTGAAAATGACGTCGGAACGAGTGACAAAAAAAGTAAACAGACATCATATTTTAAGCAGAATTTTATTAAAAGAGAGGAGAAATCGTGCATGTAAATGAGTCCGTGTTTATAGAAAATGTCCTCGTTTACATGAAACGTAGTGGACTTTAAAGGGAGATACAGGCTAAATTTTCATTTCTTAGTTTTGAAATTTTCATTCATTATTCTATAAATGCCCTTAAAATGAATATATTAGACAGTCATAGGAACAAAACTTTTCTCCATATAAAGAATAAAATGGTGGTTTCCTAACTTGACCCGCGTAGGTCAGGTTAGAGTGCTAGCATTTCACAATAGTTGTCAAAGTGAACTCTGGAAACGTTTAAGATCATGTCAAATGAATGACTTAGGCTTGTTTCAATCATACAATATCCATAATATCTGTTATTGTAACTTCATGGGTTTGTTCAATTCACCTGACTTGTTTTAAAACTATTTGGTGATTCTATTGGCGTCTAAATTTTGTTCAACATATCTAGAAATATTAACGCTTCAAACCCAAAATATATAGGATTTAAACAGAAATTCATGCTTAAACTTCAAGAAAAGTCATTTAAGCATGATTTGAGTACATAAGATCATTTTAATATTTTTGTCATTATTTTGCCAGAATATACCTGATTTCAGTTACTTCAGTTATAGAAAATGAGCATTTCATTGCAGACGATGTAATTGCGATTCAGGTATTTAAAAAACCATGAAAAATAAACGTCCGACAACAACTAAAAACATTTTGAAAATTATTAAAAAAGTTAATTGAATTTGAAAACTGTAGTGGAAAAAATCAGGAAGTTTTAAACTACTTGCTTGAAAAAATTTCTGGAGCTCTGCTGTAAGTCATTATGGCCCTTCAGGCCTTTGATTATATATTTTTAGCAATAAACCAAAAAAAAGAAATAGATTTAACTTTAATCTTATTTTCATGGCCGCAACTCTAAACGCGAAACCTAATATGAAATTGCAACGTGTATAACGATGAATAGAACTACGGCATATTTCTTTTGTGTAAATGTTGATATTTCCTTTCCCAGTCAATTGTGGATATTTATCTATAAATTTTGATATATTTACTTTTTTGAATACATTAATGATATCTTTATTTTAGATCATGGTTGTGAGTGGTGGAATTTAAAGTCAATAGCTGGAAACATACAACACCTGTTTACATTGAATTACTCTTGATAAATAATAATGAATTGACAATGAATATTTTAAAAAGCCAGAATCTGGAACCAAAAAAAATGTTTGTTTTCTTTTAGGCCTATCCCTTAACAGTATACACATTTCTTGTAAAACATAGATAAAGAAAAACAAAGTCTAGACTGATTTAATGGAATATTAATTTGTTGAACTGTTAGAAACGAAAAAAAAATTCGCCAATCTTTACATACTACAAACTTAGTTTTTGTAAAAGGGTTTCATATAAAAATGTGTTAATGAAAATATAAGTTTTTACAATTGCTTTCTAAAATATCATTACTTAGTAATATGCAAGAAAAAGAATCACACAACGAATGGCGGTACAGAACGGAATCACTAGCACTTGGGTAATTGTTTAGCGGAAACTCGACAGAGCCTCGTTAACGCCGTAAACAGTTACCATCGAGCTAGATATTTCGGTCTGTACCGGTATCCGGTGTAAGATTCTGATATGAAACACTCTCGAATCCGTTCCTGGAACTAACTAGTACTCTGCAATGAATGTAAAGATTTTTGCTCAAGGGAAGAACGGTTTGCCCCTGACGGGGTTTGAAACCATGCGGCCAGCAAACCTAAGATTATTAGTCCGACCGGTTAACCGCTCGGGCCACGCCTAATTATCGCTACATGCATGAAATAGCTTATGTAGATCTAAACTTTTGTCAGATTGATATCTACACATTCACAGATGGTTTGGCTAAACTTATGTTTATTTTTAATTTGATATGTGGCTTCTTTTAATTATACGCGCAACGCATGTCAAGGTCTATTTTACATGTACATGTATGTTAAGTATGTTCTGCCTTGGGCTGGAAAATGATCTGTTGCTATACAATTTGAATGAACTACTAAAATGTTTTAATTTTAGCCATATTTTGCCCCCCCCCCCCCCCCCAAAAAAAAAAAATAAATAAATAAATAAAGTAAAACGCGATGAATATGTAAATAAACTTTGTATAATTCAATCCGATGCATAAACACTTAACTTTTAAGACATGTGATTTTGCGATATAAAATGCGACAAAATAAAAATCAACTTGAATGTTCATGTATCGCGATATACAAACGCCTCTGTGAGAGACGCGAGGAACTTTAACACATAGGCGTCACGCCCAATACATGACGTTTGGTTGGGCGCAAGGAACTCAAGCAATGCATGGCGATGTGTAGGGCACAATGAACCCAAACAGCACACGGCAATGTGTAGGACGCAGTGAACTCGAATAATGCATGACGTTGTGAAGGATGCAGTGAACTCAAATTGCATGGCAATGTGTAGTGCGCAATGAACTCAAACAATGCAATGACAATTTATTTATTGATATTGGCCACCGGCCCATTACACCATTATATACATTAAGATATAATTTCTTGACTGGTGCCAGTACAGATTGATATTAATCGTAATAAATGATAACATATTCTTTGAAAAAGTTACAATTATTTTATTATTTTAACATGGTATGGAGTATATGTAACCGAAGGCAAAATCCTAGAATTGATCACAATAATTATAAAACATCTTTGATAATATAATTTGGGATGGAAATATAATTATCTAGCTTGTAGGTTTACTAAGCAAATAATACGTTTTCAATTAACAATACAAATATTTTAACTAGAATATTGCAAACAATTACTCACGAGACAAAAGTTAATTTACAACATTGCTTTAAGACATTGATCGATAAAAACAAAACTTTATACTTCCGTACCATTCACATCGAAATATATCATATTAACTGGAATATAACATGTATACAATGGTTCATAATAATGTTTATATTAAAACACACAAAATATTATTGAATAGTTAACCAAGGTGCGTGTCGATCTAAACTAAAAACAAAACATATATAAGATCTTCACTTATGGCTATTATTTGCAAAATAAGAAATAAATATTATAGCCTTAACATCAAAGGCAATAGTGCTTTGCTCAGACTAAAGCTTCGTACAACATTGCCTGAAATGTGAGTAATTCCATTTATCACATCACTGTAGAAACTTATTCAACACTGAAATTTCAAAATTGAAAACAACAACAAACTAATCGCTTCCTTAAAAGTAACATAAATGATGTTATATGCATATTTTCAAATCTTATATAATAACATTACAAATTTAAGTTTCTGTGTTACAACATACAAAATGCTTCCGTGAATATGATATCAACAATATAATAAGCATATCCTCAATATTTATTAATATAACATTTTCTAACTGTCAGTATTGGACATGAACAATGCATGCCAATGTGAATGGCGCAATGAACTCAAACACAAGAAAAATAAAATGGTCCTGAAAAATTAGCTGCATTTTCTTAATTCAAGGATGGGTAAACTTAACGGGTAGTTTCTTCTAAATATTCTACTTTTTAAATAAACCTATTCTTCCTTACTATAACTTAAAACATTTTTGCGGTTTTCGTACAAGTGTACCCCCTCAATACCGTGTTAACCAACGTACTTACTTTAATCTTTATATTGTCAACGATTTAATCTTTCAAAAGTTAAAGTACTTGAGGTGACAGATAAGAACGTCCTTATTGTTTAAATATTTTATTAAAATCATAACAAGATTTGTGAAATATTATGACGTACAATATGAACTTTTGCAAATAGTTCAACGTAACCCACAATTTTACATTATGAATTAATGTACTGTTGTCCGGGGTTATTATCGAAGAGCGGCCGCCACCCAGTGGTTACACTTAACATGACATGGTTTGAAAAGTTGAAACGTAAATGCAATATGTTTATTAAATATCATATAACGGTATAAATGAGGCGGAATGTGATAGACGATGACTTGAAATGCTTCAGAAAGCTTAATTGACTCAGTAGATTTTTTCAGACTAGAATTTTAAGATTCGGGCATGCATGTTCTGAAAAAGTTTTTTGTGTACCTAATATTCATCAGAAGCTTCTATTTTTCGCGTGTGTTTGTGCGGGGAACTGTACAATAACGAAGGTGTAGTTTGATATTTTCAATCATAAGCGCCCCAAATCCGAAGAAAATGCTGGTTCCATGTCAGATTCCATCACAAAGTGTAAATTTTTTGCTAGATAAGGATAATAATTTCAGTTAGTTTCAAAGAATTCTATATGAATTAAATCAGGACTAACAACAGACGGACAGACAACAGAAATTATCTGTATTATTAACAACCCAAAAATGTCATATCATTTTTTGCAAAAACGAACACACAATGAGAGGCGGACGGACGGACAGATAAAAGACAGATAAAAGACGAATATACAGCAGGGTAGACAGAAAAACAGAGGTAAACGGACAGACGGACAGAAACACTGGACACGGAAGGACTAAAATATATTGCAAGACGAACATAAAATCAGATAACAAATAAATTTATATCATGTCACCATGTGTTTGTCTTACAATGAATAACGCATTTTTTATTTATTGTATCAGGTAATTAAAAAGCAACAGCTACACTGAGTACAGTTCCTCAGCAAGCACTGTTCGCGACCTGTAAACGACCACTACTACGAATAGTCCACCTCACGGAGCTCTTTTGAAAAGGATACCTAAAGTGTGGGACGGGGCTCGGGCATATATTATCCCTGATTTAGCCACCAGTATAAGTCACCGCTCCCATCTAATTATCAATGAAAATATTTATAGTACAAACACTCAAGAAATATGAATTATAATCCGCTTAATTTATTTGAATTAATTATTAATTCAACAACTGTTGACTATAAACATGGAAATGCAAACTTCAAGTATCCAAATCTGGTCAGGCTGTACGGATTAACATTTTAATCCGGCGGCATAAAAACAATGAGAACTAAATGTCTATAAAATGCATTTTTCTGTCTCTGCCCAGCTTATCTCCGACATATATGAATATTGTATCTTATTAAAGTAAACATTGTGAAATGTATATTTTAACTTATATCAAATAGTTTTTATTTATACTGGCCCACAAATTTACCTTTCCGAATTATATAGGTATGTCGCTTATATCAAAAGAAAAAAAGAATAAAATAAAATGTTGGTTATCTTTTCACTTTTTTTTACTTGTATTTTCTCCTCTCTTTTATTCTTTTTCTCTTGTCTTTTCTTTTTTCCCCATACATTTGTACGTCTCAATACTGTGTTTATCATTCTTTTAAAGTGTTTGTTTATGCGTCAGAGTGATAAAAAGTTTAGATGATCGAGTAAAATTAAAATGTCGGTAAGGAAACCGGAAAAAACAAGTATATTAAATATACACGTTTGGCAGTGTGTTTTAAAAATAGTGTTTGAAAAGCCTTTTAAAAATACAAATAGCTATAAATAGATGAAAGGACTCGTCCGGCGACTGAAATATAGGAAAGTGACGCGTTACGATTTAATGTAGAAAAATTGTCTTGATTTTGAAAAATTTGATTTTTTTAATATCAATCTGAACACTTCTAAACTTTAAAAATCCACATGTATAAAAAAACTGCCTTGGATGCTTATTCAAAATCTAGATCTTCGTTTATAAGCACGAAAAATTTAAATAACCGTTACAGTCTATCACGGTAATAGAGGCTAGTTTGAGTAAAACATGTTTTTGATAAATGTGGTCTCAAAAGATTTTTTTTTCGAGTTTAAAATTTTTCATGTAGTAAAATAGCAGTCGTATTTTCTATGGATGGGAGGCGAGTATTCCGAAGATGTCTCAAGGCGTGGTTTGACTCTAGAGTCAAATGTAATATTATAATATTTGTAATCATATATTAACTTAATAAGGAAATGGTTAACCGTATAGTTATGACTAAAAACCATTACACTAATTTGTCTATCCCTTTTTTTACAGCCCCTGGGTATTTCAATACACACCGGCTGTCGGCATGCTATCCACTCAACCGGAAGTACTTGTGACAGCTTTAAACGTTTGATTTATCGAGAGCTTTAATAATCGATTTAAACTTAATTAGATAACGTTATACAGTTCATAATTTATGTCAAACGAATTTCAAAATTTTCAATATACTGTCATAACAGACGATAAATTAATAGTTTTGTTGTATTTTTACATTGATCTACCGACAAGCGTGCTTTTTAGCGCCATTATCTTTTTTAGGAATTACAGTTATTACGGAAAAATACCGGTCGGAAAATAAAAACGTACGAGGGAGGAAAATGGAACGGTGTCAGTGTTTTTGAACGCAAATTATTATGAATTTCGTGGCTAATACGAGTATGGATTATTCTACATAGAAATTCAACTATTTGGTGAGCTGATAATCAGCTGTTCGTATGTATGTTTAAACGGGCAAGATAACAAGAGTGAATTTTATCTTAAGATCCGCCGAAATATATACATGAGTTTTTCTTTATTATCTACATTGTATATTTGCAAACGATGGATTACTGCAGCGTCCGAAATTAACACAAAATGGAAAACCATTGAAACAAACTTTTTCTTTTTCTTTTTTTTAAAGCAATAAAATATAGTCGAGCTTTGATATTACGTTAACATTGTTATTCTTAATTGATTTTTTCTTTATTACCAAAACATGTGAATTTTAATTGGAATAATAGTGAATTTCGCCTAATATAATAAAAGCAACAATTTCGCAATACACGGAGTGACATAATAATTAAATTTAGATTTTAAAAGAGGGTGGACTATATACATAGTGTATTGGAAAACTTTAAGATAGAAAAGCAGAGGAACATAATTTTCAGTTTGTTTTCGTTGACCTTAGCAATCTGTTCGTATTTGCGTATTTCGGAATTGCTGGACAACCATGTTATTTCGCTTGACACTTTTCAATCTGCTGATGTTGGCGCTATTTGGAGTTGCAGGTAAATTGGAATGTTTATTGATTTCTCTGAAAAAAAGCAATATGTTTTAACCTTCATGTTAAATCTTTTTTACGGTTTGATTCTCCTCTCTTTTCTTATCAAACAGATCGAAACAGAACATGCAAAGTACCAATTGTCCATCATTGCTACGAACTGCTTTGATTTCTGTGCAAATTAATTAAATTATGAAAAAACAACAATTTTCCATCATTGCTATGAATTGCTTTGATTACTGTGCAAATAAATTAAATTCTAAAAAAAAATGTGCGTCGGCCGGGAATCGAACCCGGATCGACTGCTTGGAAGGCAACCATGCTAACCTTTACACCACCGACGCTACATATCTTATAGCAAGAATAGTGTATGAATTGTGATAGCTATCTGTCAAACATCCATTAAAAATATATAACTTGATATTGTACAGTATGTCATTTAGTTATATATATGTGCATATTTTATGGAGGCTGCGTTGAGCCATATTGTATATTTGCTATTTTGCCATAGCAAATGCGAAAGCAAGAAGATACGGCAAACCAAATGTACAGTATTCGCATTCTTTGGAAAAAAATATGTGTAGTGTTTTTGCCTTTTATTTGTCGTGTCTTTGCATTTTTGAATATTTGCCTTTTCAGTATTTTCGCATCATTGCATTTTTACTTTTTTGCATTGTTTTATTGTCACAATTTCGCATTGTTTCATTTTCATTTTTTCACACGTACGCATTGATGTGCGCATGCGCTTCTTCGCATAAATTCGTCTGCATGGAGAAAATTCGTCTGCAAAGAAAAAAATGCGACAATGCAGCAAAGCGAAAATGCCACAATGCTAAAAACGAACTCACAACTTTTTGTTTTCGCATTTCTTGCAGCAAAATGCGACATATCTAATGGATTTACTATGTCGTATTGACGCCCTTTTCTATTGTCCTTTTCGAAGCGAAAAAGTGAAAACCCGAACATAGTTTGGCTTTGGTAATTGTCATGCTAATTTTCATACAATTTAAATGTATCGAAAAGTAAAATACAAGTATTGTGAAGTTAACAAGGAAAGTAATCTAAAAATTAAAAACGGCACTTACAATCCACGCAAATTACTAACAAGAGGTCAAAAGATCAAGATATTCATGCAGAAATAGCCATTAAGTACTGCGTTAGAAACGCAGTAGATATATGGTGATAAATACTGCAATATCAGCTATTAATCGCTCATAATATGCAAATTAGTACTTAATACGAGGGTTGTCCCAAAATATCGTAGACAAAGTCTGTTACTCAATTAATTATAAAACAATAGAGTCGTCAAGCTCGTATATCTTGATCTGTTTTACTTTTCTAAAATCTTAAGTACATTTGTCTCTAGTTTGATTTTCTTGAAATATTTTGACTCATCTGGAGGCATGCAGCTTTAAACCTTCCCCGGGTTAGAGAATCCCTCGGGTAACTGATTCTGAGTAATTCGATCCTCACTTCTGTGGGATCGAATCCCGGCGAGTTTTTTTCAAATTACAGACCATTATAACTAGAGATACCGATTGCACTTTCCTTGCTTGGTTCTAAGCATTAACGGGGTATAGTTCAAAGATTTGTCACCCCAGCATGTAATCGGCATGCTTCCAGATTCATGCTTATTTCCTTTACTAGAACTTTTTGACACTGTACGTATTTAAAAGAAAAAAATAGTGTGACGTGAACAAAGGAAGTAATTAAAGCCTTACAATCCACGGACATTACCAGAAAAGAAGATCAAAATATGCAAAAATAGTCTTACTGCGTTAGTCACACAGTAGAATATGGTGATAGATACAGTAAACCAGTCTTGAATCGCACATAACATTTAAAATATTACTTGAATTTTGAATCTTTTTTTACTTCTCTTAAAATCTTAGAACAATTTTCTTCAAGTTTGAATTTCTTTATATACCTTGGCACATCTGGAGGCACGCAGATTTAAGTTGTCACCCCACCATTGATGTAATGTAATTGGGTGAGATATCGTGTCACTGATATGCAAAGCCTTATTTGAATGTGCAATAGAACTGCAACGTTAAAGTGTATTTAGATATGTATCTGCTGCTGCAAAAAGAAATGAAATGATAGCTGTATGGAACAAAATATGCCGCGTCACGACAAAACCAACATAGTGTGTTTGCGACCAGCAAGGATCCAGACAAGCCTGATTAGGATCCCTGCTGTTCGCTATCAGTTTCTCTACTTATAATAGGGTTTATTAGCGAACAGCATGGATCCTGATCAGACTGCGCGGATGCGCAGGCTGGTCTGGATCCATGCTGGCCGCAAACCCATTATGTTGGGTTTGTCGTGATGCGGCTCAAATATGCATATTTCCTTAAAAACGAATGGAGCAGGCGGCATAAAATCATTGCTCAACGGTTATTACTGTAATGTCTTCCAAAAAAGGGAGAATAACATTTTGTTACTGAGCATTTTATTAAGTTTATAAACAATTTTCATATCTGTTAAATAGCAGAGACATAAAGTATTCGTATAACTGTTGCGGGTATCTATCATTAGATAACAGAACATTACTTTACTGTTACTAAATTTTGTGTAAAAAATTTCATTAGATATTAGATATATTAAACATTGTGATTACTGCCAAAACAGAAATAATAATACAATAAATAAATAGCTATCTATATAAATGATAGACTACTTTTAAATGAAATGAGTAGCCGTCCGGTTAGCTCAATAGGTAAAGCGTTGGACGGTGAATCTGATGACCCGAGTTCGATTCCCGGACGGTGCAGGTCACTTTCGTTGTTATTGATCATGTAATCCTTTCTAAGGTCATTCGCACTGTACCTCTGCTCTGGCATGTACAGAAGTTTCAGTTCCATGCGAAAGTGAAGGCAACTAGTACTGGTAAACTGCTTGACAGTCTGCCCAGAAACGATGCGGTGTTTCAACTGTGCCATGGTGAATTCAGTGTGGCTTACCGACGTGATCCGGAGTAAAAACTACCAACACTATCACCACCTAAATGAAACGCCAAATTCTGACCAAGTCACCTCATACATACTAGTATAGGTCAACATACATTTTTTTTTTACTTTTTGCTACATTTATTACATTATAATTTCACATTAAGCGCTATACTCTTCAAGTGATTAGTATCTTACATCAAAATTATGCGTTCATTATTACGCCATTGTTAAACACAAGTTTGCTTATTCTTCACAAAGAAAAAAGTCATTTATAAGGCTCAGTGCGTCTTTAAAGAGTAAAACGCTTAATATACAACGCTTAAAAATCTTAATATAAAAAAATATTAAATATTTCAACAATAAATTATATTTGTATCGTACTCAAAAGGTCAAGAGGGTTGTAATATAGAATGTTTCTATTATTTAACACACATTGTACGTAAACAGAATAAAATGTTCCACAACAAATATCATTATACTGTTTCAAGTAAGCTTTTATCCGTTTAGCAAATGATTTCGTGCATCCGCCATTCGCTTTTAAGGCAATTTACTTCCATAGTTTTTGTTCATACAAGCATTTTGGAGGTACAACACGAAATTTAATGTATTCTTTTTTCAAACATTGATTTTTGCAGGACATAATTATACAGCTTTATACACTTTAAGAACGATTACATATAGCTTTATACACTTTAAGAACGATTATATATAGCTTTATACACTTTAAGAACGATTATTGTAAGGAAGGAACCACGCAGTTGAGAGCCAGTTGTTTTATGGTACTAAAATTTATCACATTATATTCAGACTCTAGAACCCCGTATGCTTACCACATAGAGTCCGAGCACGAGTCTCTTGTCGGACACATCAGCCATGATGCAGAAAAAGGGTCAAAGGTCGTTGCGGAAACCGCTGAAGAGCTGGCCTCAGAACATGGTCATGAAGAGACAGAAAAAGAGATTATATACCTAAAGGTTTTGATTGAACAGACGCAGAAATCACTCCATCCAGAAAAGGTTTGTATTAATAATATACAATCAAGTTTAAAATAATTATTCCTTTCTTATGGAAGGCCTCTTTTAAATCATTTATTAGTGGGATGTTGTGTTGCTTTTTATTTCTGTACAGTATTGTACGATGTAAAATGTTTTCGATTTGGATACAAATTTTAAAAAACGATCTTGTTCCCCAATAATTTGATTCTATTGATAACTTAAATTCGAAAATGGTTATTTTTTGTTCTACAATATTAATCCGAAGATCAAGTAAACACTACTGTATTGCAAAGCGTCCGATTTTGTTTGAATAGTAAAACATTTTAAATCATTCTAGAATAAAGACACAATTTGACAACGTGGTTACCCATAAATCATCTTAATATAATTAAAATCAATATTTTATTTTTGATTGTTCCATTACAGTTAACAACAGAAAATTTCGACGTTTCGATGGTAACGCATCATGACAGGAAGACAACTCATGGTAAGATTTATTTAATTTAACAACTAGATTACCTCCCTTTTCAGAACAAAGCTCTAGCGCAAATTTCATTCGTTTAAAAGTGTGACGGAACTTTTTTTTTAAATTACAATGTAAAGAGCGGTGTAATCATGTAAAAGTAATGTTTAAACGTTTCTAATGCGTGACGCGCCTTTACATTTGGACATACAAGTTTAAAACATTTTTTAATTAAATAATAGCTGTTTAAATCTAGATAATTGCGTAACCATATTGTTTCCTGTGCATTCCTAGTGACTAATCCTTAGATGGTAACAAGCAAAGCAAATTTCTTTAAAGTCAGCATTTTCTTACAACGACTTTAAAAAAATAGCATTGCATGCAATAAATTTTGAGATTTACTGTTTGTACGAATATTATCACCAATATTGCACCAAATATTTAGGTCAATTGCTTTTATTTACATTTATTATAAAGTTTAAAGATAAGTTGAGTCTTAGCTCAGTTGATATGAAATATAAACAAAGCTTGTCCCAAGATTATTTTCAAGGTTACTGTCTTGACAAGCAGTTCTGTTGGTCGGCTTCTTATTAATAATAAGATTCGAGCCCATGACCTTGTGCTTAAAGTAACATTATGCCTCAGAAGTAAATATATTTTTTTACTTCTTAAAAAGGACAAACATGAATTTTATAATGCTGAAAGAATGGCTTTAAAGAATGTTAATGTTTGATGCATGTTACCTGAAGAAAATAGCGATAAATTATTTGTCATCAGAATATCAAAATGTAAACGAAGAAGTTTTTTTTTTACCTACAAAAGTGCAAATTCTCTATAACTGTATTTATTGCCAAAAAGCAACAGATGAAAAAAGGGTTAACGTAATTGGCTAATGAGTAACTTTTTGGCTACTATCAAAGTGTACCAAAATTGAAAAGCTTTTGAGAAATAAAATAAGACAGCATTTGTGAGGCATAATGGGCATTTAAACTTCCAAAATACCTGTAATAAGATATATGTTTGTATCGTTCCTGAAGAGCGCGAATTCCATGTGTCACGGTTCAGAACTGTTCACTATATAGGGGAGAGGATGTGTAAGCGGCCGGATAGCTCAGTCGGTAGAGCCGCGGTACGGTATTCCGAGGGTCCCGGGTTCGAGTCCCGGTCAGGCTGCACATTTTTCTCACCCTGTGACATTTGGCGCCCAACGGGGGACCGTGACTGATAAAGCTCAGAGTTTAATTTACATTGCTCTGTAACTCTGTGAAATTCGAGGACGAATTTCAATATAGCAGGGGAGTATGTCACGGTTCAGAACTGTTCACTATATAGGGGAGAGGATGTGTAAGCGGCAGGATAGCTCAGTCGGTAGAGCCGCGGTACGGTATTCCGAGGGTCCCGGGTTCGAGTCCCGGTCAGGCTGCACATTTTTCTCACCCTGTGACACATGCACGAAATTATTGATAAACTTAATATAGTAATATAGCAAATTTTGTCGGGGCATTTTATTTTGTATACAAAATTTATTATGTTAACATACAATGTTCAAGTGCGCTGAATAACAGAGACATGCACTTTATGGTTCAGTGTTTTCGAGAATCTATCATATGATTATGACAACAACATACAGGGTGTTTCCTTATATGTGATACTCTTTTAATCAAATGTCTCGTTTATGTAAGAATGTCAGTAATAATGAAAAATGTACCATATTAAAGGGAATGCTGTCCATTTATAAAAGTGTAGTTTTTTCCTTATTTAACATACCAATAATATATTTTGGCTACGCTTAAAAACAGGGTCCATTTATAGCATATACTCAAAATGACGTCCATTATGGCGTCGCACCATCTCCACACGTTTCATGAAGTTTTCCATCACATTATTGCACATGTCACTAGTAATCTTTCTTATTTAATTAACATCTTATGGACTGTTTAAGCTGATCTGTTGTCTTTGTCTGCACTTTGTAGACTCTGTCCTTGAGATAGCCCAAAAGAAATAAATCCAAAGGACTGGGATCTGTCATCCAAACGGAAAAATCAAAGCGTTGGTTGACATCACTGTCTTTCAAATGTTGGAGCGCTGACAAGTATTGTATAAGGTGTTAGTTTGAGATCAAATATTAGAGTCCTGTACACACTTGTCACACTTGAGGAATTTGAAATATCAGAGAGAATTCTTCTTACAGACCTTTGTGGTGTTTCACTTATCACCTGTTTCACATCTGCAACGTTTTCGTCACTCCGGCTGGTCCTAGGGCTGCCCTGGTTACTGTGTCTCTGGTCAAGTACACTTCCATGCTGCTCAAATCTTTTAACTACTCTGCTTACTTGTAGCCTTGTCACCCTTCTATCGGCAAGGTACATTTTCCTCATTCTTCTAGTTACAGATATGATAGAATGGAGTTCATAGTACAATTTTATGATATCTTGACACTTTTCCATAGACAACGCCATCTCGAAAATAACAGATAATAATGACGTCATAGATGACGGCATGACGTTAACGTTTTCCCGTATTTTACGTCGCATTCAAAATGGTGAAGTGTCTAGTTTATTTTGGTATAAGCATTTTGTTTGTAGCTATAAAATCAGTAAAGCAACAATTATTTGAAAGTGTATCACATATTATGAAACACCCTGTATTTTTACTGTTAAAATTTCTGTTCATTAGACTTTGCTTCATTCCTTTAATTATAACTTGTAGAGGCAAGGAAACAATTTTATATTTTATATTCTTTTGCCAAAATTAAATTATGAAATTCAATTGTGACATAACACCAACTCGAACGCGCTAACGTCCTATCTCTACTAAAATATATGCTATTCTTGGGGTTAAAGAAAAAACCCTATTACGTTTTAAAAAGTATCTTTTTCCTTATAAATTATGTAAAAATGGATTTTTACTGTAAATAGCGACAGTATTCGCCTATCGTGAAGCATTTTATTACCCTTGACCCTTTCATTCATAGATAATAAAATGTATACGCCGCTATACCAACATGCGATTCTCTAAAAACAGAAGGAAAAAAGCATATAAAAAGTTACATTTAACCCTAAGCAACATGTTAAACATTTTATCGAACAAACAAAAAACATTGTTTAAACTTATATAAATCAGCTATTTTTGCGTTATATAAAACCGTAAAATGATTAAAGGGGGAATGGCTCATTAATTGCCAAGTCATGACATATTGCTAATGTAGGGGAAAATCGCCTGGGGTGTACATAACTTTTCACTCTGCGTTACATCAGCGTATCGGTAATTCTTTGGTTTATTTCGGGTCATTTCCGATTTTATTGCTACGTTCGGGACCGTAAAATTCAACGTACCGACGTGCTGATATACACGTTACGTCATGCACAACGTTATGTTGAAACTTAAACATGCTGCAAACCGGCGATATTTTAACGTTTTATTGACGAGCGCTCGTATCGCTCATATATGAGTTTCGTATTATAAGTAACACCAAATATACATATAATCTTGGTTGGATGTCAAAACTGATCTACAAATTAACAAATACATAGTCCTACGTGTCTTTCTACAAAACCATAAAATAACAACACTGTTGTGCGTTGTTGATTAAGGCTTTTTTATTATTTTATTACATGTGGTATATGATGAATGAATTTTACATTTTATGTTAACAAAACTAGACCGAGGCAATGATGGAAAAATACAAGTTCTTTGTCAGTAAATTTCAAAAATATAGTCAAAATTTGAATAATCAATCCGATTTATTATATCTTTAGAATATTTACAATGATTTGATAAACAAATAGCAGTATCGTCTTGATTTTATATTACAATATATAATCACACATATATATGCAATGTTCATGTATATAGAAAACTAATTTACCATGTTTTTCATTTGAGCCGCGTCACGAGAAAACCAACATAATGGGTTTGCGAACAGCATGGATCCAGACCAGCCTGCGCATCCGCGCAGTCTGATCAGGATCCATGCTGTTCGCTATCAGTTTCTCTACTTGTTATAGGGTTTGTAAGCGAACAGCATGGATCCTGATCATACTGCGCGGATGCGCAGGCTGGTCTGGATCCATGCTGGTCGCAAACCCATTATGTTGGGTTTGTCGTGACGCGGCTCATTTCTTATAAAGTAAATTCTGACAAATTGTAGAAAAAAAATGCTTTAGATAGTATGTCGTCTGCCTATTTAAGACGGATGTTCAAACACCACTTCATTATTTGTTATTTATGTAATATTCGGAGTACAAAATGTTGTCAAACATCTCGTAAAAATGCTATAAAAATGTATAAAGACGCTGAGCTCAGATATTTAGCCGCCATAGCTATTTGCTTCTACATTGTATTTTTATTATAGCGAATCAATCAAATTTTAGAATGTCATTCAGAAATAATTACATCATGACGTCACGTGATGTTTCTTTAATATAGTATTTTGTTCAATATAAACCTTTACTACTTTAGATTTAATATGTATATTTTTTCAGACAATACCAATACAGGTTCCAATACATTTAATCACGTGCCAACACATACAGCCCGGATGACAGGAAATGACGTATTATCCAGCCACGTGCCAGGGGTTCATTCTTTGCCGAACTCTCAGCAAATGACGAGTGAAACTAAAGTTATAACGTCCCATGCACAACCAACTTCCCCTACCGGAGGTATTTCATCAGCCACAAACACGCACAGCGGATTGCCACACCAAGTCCACCTGACAACGGCAAACACTGGTGTTCAGCACAACCAGCATCAGTTAAGAAACTTGATACCCCATGGCCATAATATTCATATCACTCATCTTGTCCATGAACCAGTTCACCCTGCCGTTAATAAAAGAAGCGTAGACCTACCGGACAGCAGGAAGACCTTCCGCGAAAAACGCACATTACGCCGTCGAAACAGACGTAACTTCGCCGTCCCCCCGGAACATTTTCAGCCACGTGCTGCCGTTGTGAGAGCGACCGCCCAGAAGCCGGTGTTTGTTGTGACGGATATTAAAACTGATTCTGAGACTCACGCGTTCTATGTTGACCCTGTAAACTATTACTTAAGAGTGAATGACACATCGCATTTTGGAGAGGAACATAAGATACAAATCTTTGTAAGTATATTTTTAGTGTTTCACCCCAAGGTCGTTGAGAAGGTCGTCATTTGCGTCCAGATACATGACTGCAGCTGTTGATTTTCTTAAAGGCCCATTATGTCCCAAAATGCTTTTATTTTCATATCTGAAAAGCTTTTAAAATTTGGTGTCCCGATAAAGTTTCCAAAACATTACCAATAAGCTATTTATATGAACCTTTTTTGCTTCTACTGCATTCTGGCAGTTAGTACCGATATAGTGATTTATCATTTTGTATGGAAATCAAAATACTACTCTGTTTATATTTTGTTACTTTTATGACAAATTATTTCCCATAATAAGCCATTTTTCCTGGTAACAAACATCAAACATGTTCTTTAAACCATTATTTATACGTTGGAAAACTCATATTAGCCGCGCCATGACAAAACCAACATAATGGGTTTGCGACCAGCATGAATCCAGACCAGCCTTCGCATCCGCGCAGTCTGATCAGGATCCATGCTGTTCGCTTACAAACCCTATAACAAGTAGAGAAACTGATAGCGAATAGCATGAATTCTGATCAGACTGCGCGGATGCGAAGGCTAGTCTGGATCCATGCTGGTCGCAAACCCATTGTGTTGGTTTTGTCATGGCGCGGTTTATATGTGCTCTTGCTAAAGACGGAAAAGGTTTTCGTTTCTGAGGCATAATGTTCCTTTAAATGAACCTGTCTAGCTTCCAACTTTGAAACTGTCCATTATGAATTTTACGAATATCAAAATGAATAAAAATATGCCAGCATACTGTATTGGACCTGGCCAAACAGCACATATGTGCGGACTGGCCTCGCTCTTCAGTGGTGACAAACGCTTATCCCATACGGTTCCAACGGGGCAAGAAGTATTATGATATTCAATGTCACCTTCCAAGCTACTAAAAAGGATCAGGTCAACAGGTCTTATTAATTATGTTGGTGAATATATCAGTCATTACTATCAAGATCGCAAAAACTCATAATTTATAAAGAAGTACGTGTTAGTGTTACGAGCCAGGCGTAACTAGAAAGAAAAGCCAGCAACAAACTTGTAACAATAACAAATTTATTACAGAAAAATTATTAAAGAAAAATAAAATAACAAATTGTGTTTACAAATACCTGAAGTCCAAATAAAAATGTAAAATCTAATGTCTAGTCTGATCCTGGAATGATCCTTTTTGAATAGCACAGTTAAAATCCAAGTTAAATCCAAGAACACTTTAGAATAAATTCCCACAATAAAATCCACAAGAATAATTTATTTTAAAATCCAAGCTCCAATAATTCACTTAATATCCAATTTGAATAATACTCCAAATATATTGATGACTTAAAAAGTAACTGATGACTTAAAAGGTAAAGAGTAATGAAAAATGTCTCCTTATATATATTAACAAAGAAGTTTCTAGAATAGTCTTCCATTTACTACAGTAAT